GCCCGGAACACAGTACTGATAATACCGTATCGACATGCGGGCTGTCGTCCGCAGGGCGTAGACAGGGTGGGGCCCAAGAGTCAGCGCTGATGACTGGAAAACGGCCTGGTGCAAACCGTTGCCGGCTGCGCAATGGAGATCTGGCTCGCACTTGGACACAGAATCAAGAAGAAGGCCAGATTTTCTGGCCTGGAGAACAAAACTCTCAGACCGTCCCCTGAGGCTAGCGTTCCTGTGACTTCCATTTCTTCTTGATTATCTTCTGGGTCAATCAAGCAAGTGGGTGGATGCTCTATAACCTCAATCATACACAGTCACGCGGGCCCCGGTACACGGAGCCTTTTCGATCAAAGGTGTGGTTAATAGGACCCGTCGACACACTTGTCGGTGCTTAAAGGGGTGCTTGACAGTTGTCAATGTCCTCTGCGCCTTTCAATTGACCTCTGGATGCCCGCACGCCCTTGAGACCCGTTTCGGTCACTACTCCCCGTGCTCTTGTACCAGCATGGCTACCATGGATGACATGGACAAGTTTGTCAACTGGGACAACCCTGAGCTGGTCATGGAAGACGACCATCAGTTCGCCCTTCAGGACGTCGACGCCGCCTTTGCTGGGATGGATACCGACCTCGTCTTTGAGAACATCAATGAGGATGACTTCAGCTTCAACGCCCTTCAGCACTTCACTGACCAACACATGGCCGCCAATGGCATGGACATTCCAGCCCCTGTACCGGATGCCGTTCATGAACCAACGGTTCATGCTTCCTTCTGGGAGACACCTGCCGTCCCCTGCTCCCAATGTTCTCTGGGAGGGTACTCTTGCAAGAAAATCAGAGAGGGTCGGCACAAAGGCTACTGCACCAGCTGCGTAGCTCTAACCCTCGAGTGCAGCTTTGGGGGCGAAGTGCCTGCCAACCTGAACCCGAAATTTGTATCGGTCCCAGCGGCTTCAATGACGGGCCTGGACAGCGACCTGAGTGCAATTCTGGACGAAGCTGCCATGTACAATCGCGATACTACAGCAACAGCAGACCTTCTCAGCATTACCAATGCCGTGTCCGATGGACCTGTGCTCGTTGCGCCCAGGCCTCAAGCCCCCCCTGCTAAAATCGGTGCCCGTTTCTCGAGGGAGTCGGTTCGCATTTTGAAAACCTGGTTGACGACCCATAACAGACACCCTTATCCCAGTGACGAGGAAAAAGAGATGCTACAAAGAAACACAGGGTTGAGCAAAACCCAAATCACCAATTGGTTGGCAAATGCTCGACGCCGTGGCAAAGTCCAACCCCCCCGGTCTACTTCACCACAGGTTGGTAATTGGTCGTCGAGCGGCATCGGTTCCATCGATATTCCAAAGCGACGTGGAACACCCGCATTGGAAACCATGAATCCCCTTCAGCGTTGGGAACACTCTCCCCCCGAAAACGAACCGGCCTCAGTGACTGCCATTGCACGGGCCGTGACGGCTTCATCGTCTGGCCTCTCGTCTGGACTAAACAGCCCCTTCAGCACCGTTAATTATACAGATGATGGATCCAGTCGGTCACTCTGCAACCAGTCCTCGGTTAGCAGTTTGGGGACCTCGCAATCCAGCAATGGCTCACGGGGATCCGCCTACTCCTATGCATCTCGCAATTCATTTGGATCTGCCCGTTTCAGCAATCATGGCCGTCGGCGACGTCGGCGAAGGCCCACGCCGAATCAGAGCCAAGAGGAAAAGGGCAAGGGAATCAAGTCTGCCCCTCGAACCTTCCAGTGTACCTTCTGTACTGAGACGTTCCGAACTAAACATGATTGGCAAAGGCATGAGAAATCTCTTCATCTGTCTCTTGAGCGGTGGGTGTGCGCTCCACATGGTTCACGAGCTGTGAACCCCGAAACCGGGCTCCTAAGCTGCGTATACTGCGGCATAGTTGATCCAGATGAATCGCACATCGAAAGCCACAACCACTCAACGTGCCAGGAGAAGTCAGCAGCCGAGCGGACTTTTTACAGGAAAGATCACTTGAACCAGCATCTTCGTTTGGTACATAATGTCAAGTTTGCAGACTGGTCTATGAAATCTTGGAAGGTTGCGGCTCCGGAAATCAGGTCACGCTGCGGGTTCTGCGGCATTGTGATGGACACTTGGACAATACGTGTTGATCATTTGGCAGAGCATTTCAAGACAGGTTATTCCATGGCTGACTGGAAGGGAGACTGGGGTTTTGACAGCTCAGTGCTCGATATGGTCGAAAACTCTGTTCCTCCTTGTATGCGACCTTTACAATACCCCATAGATCAGCTGGACACTTCTAACACCTGAGAATATAGACCTGATTCATCATGAAAGGAATTCCCCCTTGCCTTACGTAGCAAGCCAGCCTTCGCCGCAATCACCTCGTAATGCCTACGAACTGATTAAACTCGAACTGGAATACTTCACAGCCAACTACTTGGAACAGAACGGAACCCACCCGACCGACGAGGAGCTCATGGTTGAAGGATGTCGTATTATTTACGCTAGCGAATTGTTGTCGCTTCAGGGAATCGCATCAGAGGTCTCCTGGCTTCGTGATGTCATCATGAAGATGGAAGAGCTGGCCCTCAAAGCTCGTTTTGGACCCCTTCGTGGTGCTACGGAAAACAGATTGGCTACACTCAAAATTAACGGCAAGGACAACCTGTTCGAGTTATGCCCCCTGGAATTCCAACTTCAAGAGTTCGTCAGGGCCAAGCGTCTGCTGGGCCTAACTGCTATGGACTATGAGTTGCAGCAGGAGGCTTGCAGAATTGTTGGTCGCGTCGAAGAAGTGTCAGTCCATCCTTCAGACATCGTTGCCAACTGGCTGCTTCGACTCATCCGGTCTTCAACCCACTGGCTAGCTGATTTCCGACGCCGAGCACACCTACCGAGAACTGAGGATGTGAAGAACGACACATGCCGATCAAACGACCCGACGGTCATCGATTCTACCATTCATAGTTATACAAGGTTGGAAAGCGAGCTGCGTGACTTCCTTCGGGATCAGCGTGCTTTGGGGTTGGAACCCACGGATGAAGACCTCCAGCGACAAGCCCGTATCATCATATACGAATTCGACGACGGATGGAACCAAACCGCTGCAGACAATGCTTTGTGGTTGAGAGCTTTCAAGGAGCGTCATCTCCACGACTTGAGCCCCGCGGGGACAGAAACTTCCCCAGGACTCTCTCTTACGAAGACGCACCCATCGACCACCACGGATACCCCGATCACACTACATTCCCCGGATGCCGTGAGAGCTGCGCCCAAAGCTCTCGATGTGAATGGAAACCTTCTCAAGCTGACTCCGTTCTTCCTCAACGATGCAAACTGCTATCGTCGACTGTCAAAGGAATTGGGACGGTGGGTCGCGGCTACCATGTCTCCCAATAATCCAAACCAGCACGTTCCATCCGACGAGGAGTTGAGACACCAAGCTCGGTACATTATTTATGAAAGGTAGGCCCAAACCATTATTCTAGACTGGCTCAACATGGTCAACTAACTTGATGCAGTGATGACCCTTGGAACCAAACAGCAGCAGACAACGTCGAGTGGCTGCAACGGTTCAAGCGCGACTCTGGGATCATTCATGATGCTGGCCCAGGTCTCCCAGAGTGCTCTGCCTGGGCTGTCGAGCAGGGAGGCTCTGGGTTCGCTCCCCCCTACACATTCCCGAAGAGCCAGCTCGAGCCGTTCAGCGGCGATGTACAAATCAGTATGAGGGCTGGGACCAAACCGTTCTCTGCAGGCCAATCAGGCGCCAACGGTTTCCTGGAGAATCTTACATCAAGAGATCAGCGGCCTGCCGCCATCTTCTGTTCTCGCGAGCTGGAGCGGCGACTGCTCGAGTTCACAAGGAACTCCGTTGTTGACACTGGCCGATTGCCTTCCGGGGATAGCCTGAGACGCTACGCCAGGGAGGTCATGAGGACTGACACCACACCAGTGGATGATCCGGTGCTTTTGACGAAATTCCAGGAATGGATAGTGCAGAAATGCCCCGGTGTCGAGTTGGCAGAACCGGAGACAGAGACGTCGTGCCTGCCGAAAAATATGGATGTCAACATCTCGGATGAGGATCTCGAGTACATGCTCCAAGATATGGACTTTGATTTCGGCTCTGGGCAATATGACAGGGCGGTAGAGTCAGATGGCGGAGTGTCCCTGATCGGTTTCAACGACTAGGGTCCGTTGTATGATATCCAAGAGGATGTCATGTATACACACAAAAAAGGTGATTTTGGCATGGGCGGAGTGCATATAGCCACAACTTGCTATTCGACGAGCGTGCATCTAGAATATGGGATTTGGTAAGGTTGAGAGCTGATATCTTACCTCGATTTAATTATCTGTTTCTTCGACATGGCAAAAAAAGATGAGGAATGTGCAATATTGCAGCATTGATTATGATATTCCACTCAATACGTTTGGATGTATGGATAATACCTATGACGGAGTTTTGTTGAAGGAATGGGCGCATTAGGCCGGTAGTTAGCACTAGCTGTATTACTTAAGATTACCAAATAAGCGGGTTTATCTTGTGTCAGACTCCATTCGTCCGATCCTGGCAGTGCTAAAAGATGGGGAATCCGGCATTGGGGGTCTCCTTACCTCTTATTTGTAATGATTATTCTTCCCCAAAACACCACGCTCATCCATCATACCTTGATTCTCTTAGTTCGAATTTGTCATGAGCAAGCGCTTTCCAGTGTTTTCGTGTACCATGACCAAGGTTCCGAAATGCTTCCTTAGGGAGCTCGTAATGATTAGGCATGTATTTACCTTGTGGTTGCTTTATTCCAATCACCGATTCAAGTTCAAGATTCTCGATCACGATCTATATGATTTGAACACGCTCATATATATACGTAGAGATGTTTGCATCTATACTTGTAATAAATCTTCACATTTCCATTGCGTCGCATTAGGAGTTGTAGCGTCAGCGTACTTGAACCGTTTCTTAAGATTCAGCATTGCATTCTTCATCAAAATGCCCACTTACCTGTGTCACGGCTTCCGATGGCATCGCCGGAGCATCCGCTTCTTTGTCATCATCTACGACGTGCTCGATGCGGCGCCGGACTGGATCATCGGCCGGGGCTCGTCGGCAGCAATACTGGCGCACTTCTACGAGAGATATGAATTTCTGCCCCGGCCACCTTCCTTTAGAGGGCACTCCGAGCCGCCTATACCGCGCCCCGAGGGTCTCACAGATGGGGACGAGAACGAGGACGACGATGACAACCGCACCGCACGCCTCGATCAAGACCCCGTACTAATTAACGATGAGTGGTCCGCCGTGAAGCTCCTGGAGGAATATGACCCCCGTGAGACCGTGGAGCCGTGCCGGCCGCATGCATATGTTGCCGACTATGCTGTCCGGGTGGAGCTCAACGCCGATGTGACGGAGGAGATCGCTCGTTATGAGCGGATGACCAACGAGAGAGGCGACAACTCTTGGTTTGAGAAACTGAGGGACACCCTGGAGAAGGACGAGGAGATCGGGTGGTTTGTTGTAGTGAACGGGGTCGAGGATGACATTGTTGAGGCGAAACGAGGGATGAGAATGATTGAGCAGATACCCGACCATTCTCGCGTTAATGAACCTGATGATAAAATAGAACAGGGAGAGATCGATACGAATCACGACAGTATAGACGAATCGGAGAAACAGCAGGATATGAAGAGATCATCGTCGAGGATGAAACGACTGAAAGATATCGTTTTTCGAAAATGACTGTGAGGTAGATATGCAGAACTTGCCTTTCCCCGCTAACTTAGACTTATTAGACAGCTTCATATACAGGTGCTTCTTGAGAAATCAATATGATAGCAAATATCCAAGACAATTCTCTCCGTCTTAACCGAGATGAATAAGTAAGAGTTTCGAGAGATTAATTGAGACTACTCCCAACTTATTACATAAAGTAGAGCCTAGCAATCTAGTGTACTCGATTCAAAGTGGCCCAAACAGTCTCTCTTGGCAAACGCTGGAACCAGCAACGGGCACTGGTTACCTGCACTGTCCACGCACATTTGGATCTCACCGTAATAATTAAACCATTCGGTTGATAAATATTTTAAATCCTGGCAAATATAACTGGAACAATCCCAAGGGGGTTGAAGGATTGCAGGAATGATATCAATGCGTCACGTGAATGTTGAACTGTGCCGCCAGTGTGGTTTCGGGCCGTCATCCTTCACTAACAGCGCCTGTAGTAAGCTGCCACTACCATCACCACCACAATTGGTCGATTAGACTGCGTCAAGGGGCAGCCGTTTTCTGAGCATGATAAAGTCTGTCGCCAGGCTATCGCGCTCCCGATGACAGACTAGCTCCGGCTCCTCCTCGACGGACGTCATGGCTGGCTATAATCAAAACTATCTTACCCCAGCCTCGGGCCAGGAGCCAGGCGAGTCCTTTGCCCAGACGGGGGCCGAATTCAGTCTCGACGACAGCGAAATCGGTAGCCCTGGATATCTCGCGACCCCGACACGAAGCCCCGGCTTTCGGCCTGGCCACATCTCCCCTTCATTCGCACAGACCGGTGCCGAGCTTGATCTCGACGATAGCGATGAGGAAGACGACGAAGACGAGGATGAGGACGACTTCGATCTACGCTCCGAGGTTGTTGGAAATGCCGGTCCGGCGGCCGAGGTATACCAGATGGTAGAGCAGAACCAAGCGCGGAGGGACCTCACCGTTGAGCGCCCTTGGGAGGGGAACGAGCTGATGTCACCCCGACCGGACATGCGTAATAACAGCACAAGCTCCGTCGCCAGCTTCCAGCTGTACACGCCGGACGAGGAGGTTGCAGTCCGGAGGAAGCTTGATCGCAAGCTCGTCTTGTTCGTCGCGCTGCTCTTCTTGCTAAGCTTTCTCGATCGCTCCAGTAAGATTGATACCTGCCTTCTTTGCTTGAGGCTCTGATCTAACCCTTCTCAATAGACATTGGAAACGCTCGGATTGCTGGGATGGACAAGGACCTTCAGACGAAGCCGCCCCGCGACGATTGGTACGACTGGTCTCTCACGGCTTTTTACATATCGTACATCTCTTTCGAGTGGATGGCGTTGCTCTGGAGGCTTATACCGGCTCACAAGTTCGTCTGCGGCATCGTCATCGCATGGGGCGCGACCGCAGCGCTGCAGTCTATTGCACCCTCGTATCCTGTGTTAATATTCTTCCGGGTTGTGCTGGGAATCAGCGAGGCGGGCTTCACTGGAATCCCGTTCTATCTGAGCTTCTTTTTCAAAAGGGACGAGCTTGCCTTCCGGACCGCCATGTTCATCTCTGGTACGTCTCCTTGCTTATGTCGAGATTCATGAGAATTCACTTGCTAACATGACAACTGCAAAGCTGCTCCTCTCGCCACTAGCTTTGCTTCCTCCCTAGCATGGGTAATCGTCAAGTGTGCCGAGCTGAGTCCAATCGCCCCCTGGCGACTCCTGTTCCTCATCGAGGGCTTCCCCTCAGTCATAGCAGGCGTCATTGCCTTCAGAGTCATCCCCGACTCCCCCCAAACCGTATCTTACTTCACCAAGCGCGAGCGTAAAGTCGCCAGGCTGCGCCTCCGCGGCGAGAAGCCAACCCCCACCAAGCCCGACCAAAAGGAAGACTCGGGCGGCAGCCAGGGCCAGGCCCTCCTCGCCGTCTTCCGCGACCCCGTCGCCTGGATCTCCGCCGCCATGTTCTTCCTCTCCAACATGGCCTACTCCTCCCTCCCCGTCTTCCTCCCCAAGATCCTCACCGAGATGGGCTTCAACAACCTCTCCGCCCAGGCCCTCAGCGCGCCCCCTTTCCTCGTCGCCTTTTTCCTCGTCCTCGTCACCGCCCACCTCTCCGACCGCTTCCGCACCAGGACCATCCCCATCGTTTTCCACGCTGCTGCCTCCGCCGCCGGGTACGCCATCCTCGCCGTCGCCGAGCCCATGAAGCTCTCCCCCGTGTTCCGCTACGTGGCCGTTTACCCGGCCGCCGCGGGGTTCTTCAACGTCGTCACTCTCATCATCACCTGGAGCATCAACAACCAGGCCAACCAGAGCCGGCAGGGAGGCGGCTTCGCTCTGCTACAGCTCATCGGCCAGTGCGGGCCCCTGGTCGGCACGCGTCTATATCCAGTCAAGGACGGGCCATACTACGCGCACGGCATGCGCACCTGCTTCTGGGCCATGCTCGGGGTCGCCATATTGGCCATCATTCTTCGAGTATATATGTCATATCAGAACAGGAAGATGGATAGGCTTGAAAAGGAGCGAGCCTCTGAACTAGTTGACGAAGAGGAGGAGGGTTTGGTTGGAAACGGGAGGCGGCAAACCCAACCAGACTCGTTTCGCTACATGCTTTAAACGTTCAAATAAATCTGTAAAATACCGATCTTCGGCAATTGGAATAAATATTATTTCTTGGGGGTTTAATTCCAATCTTGTGTGGATGTCGTCTACTCAGCCAATCCATCGTATGCGATACACCCAGTATTGATACCCAACACGTCCGCAAATTTTGGCCCTTGCTCGCCAACTGGTGGCCTATTTTACATTATACCGCAGGCTGAGCTCCCACCCCGAACACCATCCACGAAGGTGCACGATAACGTCGAACGCCCTCTTTCCACCAGTCATCCTTGTTGCCGTGGACACTCTTCTCTAGGTTGAACATGGCGTAGCTTGGTTGAGGTTTCCCTTTGATTGGATCACCTGGCCGTGCCCGCCGACGATTAGCCTTCCATGCTTCAAAATTTGATCTGCTGTGTTCATTCTGCTTCTTCAGTTTTGATTTGAGCTTGTTGAACCGGATAGTGCCTTCTTGAATAATGTCATTGGCAAAGGTTTTGAGCTTCTTGGCCTTCTTCGGGATATGGCTCGAGATGCTCTTAAGGGAAATGGTTGAAGGCTTTCGTTTCTTGCTCTGGAATTTGTCCCCAAAGTTGATGGGATGTAGCTTGGTGCCAAACTGAGGGCTTTCGAAACCGGCGGCGTCACCACCTCCGTCGTATTGACTTTTGATTGCACGGGTGCTTTCGAACGTGGCCCGGCTGCTACATTGGCACCTTGGGCACCTTTGAATCACGTCGGGTGGAGCGCGACATTGAGAGACAGAATCAGATGGCAGCACCTCTTCCTCTTCTTCGCACTTATCCAGGTCAAGCCCATCATAAGTGGAAATTTCTAGACGAGGTTCTGACTTCCACTCATTTGCGGTAGCAGCTGCCTCATCAGCAGCATCATGTAGAGTAGAACAAGGTGTGTTCGGACGCGGGCTCGAGTGTAGGTTCGAGAGCTGGTCATTTCCTTCGCTATATCTTGAAAGGTTTGTTTCATTGAGCGTGTTCAGGCTTGGTGGTGACGCTGGAGACCTGGCCCGGACCAGATCGTCGTCTTTGGACCCGTATGATGACGAGGTATCTCGAACCTTGGAGGCTAAATCGTCTTTTGACATAATAGACGGAGTATCCTCTTTTGACATGATGGAAGGAGCTTGTGTCGCTAGGTGAAGGGAATGTTTCATCATTTCGACAAGGTCGTCTTCTTGGCATAACGACACGGTGCTTTCTGAGAGATTGTGCACTCTGGCCGGAGCAAAATTGAAAGCAGACGCAACATTGTAAACACGCTCAGTTGGAGGTTCCGAACCGGGCTTGATCTCGGTTGGTAAGGTCTCTGAATCTTGGTCTGTGGGAGTCTCGGTGCTCCCCTCTCGAAGGCTTGGTAGCTCTTTGGGTAGAACCACCCTCTTCCAACGTCTGGGGGGGTAAGGGGGTTTAGTCTCGTTGATGTACCCTGGCATGCGAGATATGCCGCCCTGTGGAGAGAAAGATACACGTCGGCGGCTTGGTCGAGGAACCGGCAGGCCAGCATGGATGGAAGCCATGGCGCAGGCGGTCCAAGACGCGCTGAAATATATGATATTGGTGTTAGAATGAAGAATGGGGTGCTGGCAGCTCAGAGTGTATATTTTGTATGATGTTGGTGAGGAGACAACAAACTACTTGCTATCTACGAGGCGAGGAAAGTGATATTTCGAGCATCTACATAAACACCTTCCTCGTATCTCTGCATCTCCTCCATAGGAAGGAAGGCATCCATTTCGTATATGAGGAAGTCGCCTGCCGCTTCTCCTCCCTGTAACTGCTGAGTAGTTTCCACTGAAACAGGTAGGCAGATGATCGCATATTCGGGTTTGATGGGACTTGGGACTATTTACAACAAATAATCCTTCCCCTCCTTGTCTCCAGCAGCTCATTCGAAATAGCGACAGAGCCGAGTGAGGTGTGGCTTACAAGACATGGCAATAGCAACACACCAATTATAAAAGTCTTGGCGGACCGGGTAGATGATAATGTTTTCCCCTTTACCTGCATGCCCAAAGAGGCCGTTATGGTAAAGAGTAATGGCTCGTTGTCACACCACTCTAATCTGGCCAGGCTCCTGCAGTATAAATATAATCCACCAACCCGCCCATGTAGGGGTACCGTACCTTTCGTCAGCTCTCCATCTTTATATCATCTCCTTTAGCTCTGCATTCGTGCCTCGGTCTTTTACACGAGTCTTCACCTTTGTTCTCGTTCTTATATATTCCTTCCATTCTTCGTTCTTTCCCCTTGTGCTACTGGCGAGGACATGGCCGAGACAAGGTAGCAACCGATTGTCCACTGAACTTCTTTTGCACCTTAATCTCACATATGCCTGATGCTGGAACCATCATCTTCTGGGCTCTCAGGTGCTATGCCAAGGCTCAATTGGTCCGGTTGCTAGCCATGGCAAACCTCTTAACTACGTGGGCTTCGCATCCTTCGTGTTGGCTTCATACGGTGCATCTCACTGAGTAATGGATCCACTTTTCGATGGTTATTGTTAAGAATGACTTCTGCATCCACCATATCAATACGGCTAACCAAGTACTGCTTATCCGTTATGCTGACGCGCCGACTAAGCGTTATGCCAGTCGAACCTGCGACAAGTATAAAGAACTGCATGTAGACCATAACGCAAGCCGTTGTTCCATCGCGATATCCAATTTACCTTCCAAATTAAGTCCCCTTTGACTCTTTACCTTTCAGTTATTGCGGGCCAAAGATAGAATTCCAAAGATTCCATTCAGGCCATGAACAAATCCCAGAGTCTGGAGTGCAGGGGAACCTCAGAGACCGTCAGACCCCGGACACGACAAAGGTTATACAAGGCACCGCCCACTCTAGATGTCCCAGACATAGACCAGGACGCAGCCGAGAGGAAGAGAGTCCTGAATGTCTTGGCTCAACGCAGATATCGTAAGTACAAGGACACGCCCAGCCTCGGCGCACCGCTTTCCACCGGCCGGTTCACTGACTCGGTTGGCCAGGCGAGAGGAAGCGCCAGGAGCGCCTGAAAAGTAAAGCGCAAGATGAGGCCTCCACGGGCAAAGATACTGGAGATGGAGCTCCCGAAACCCAGTCGGAAGACCTTTCGTCCCCAGGCGACGCTGATGTGTCGCCCCTACCTGTACGCAGTAATGCAACAGTAGCAACGCAACCACAACCTTCAGTCGGTGGGGAAACGGGAGTCGCCCTCGCAGATCTGGAGCTGCTTCCTTGGGACTCATTGGATGGTCCCGATGTGACGGCTCTTATCGAGTCTTCATCCGACTCTTTTAGCACTTTCACAGGCCAGAGCGTATGCGGAGAAGCAGGTTTCTTAGACCAGTCAGGCTTTACGTGCATGAATGGCGCATTCACGCCGACATTCTCGTCTACTTTCGGATCATCACCGTCCTCCTTCGAGGCTCTATCAAGCTCCTCGGAATCCGACTTCGACTTCGTAGACAACTACCTGCTCCCAGTCCACGAGCTTACACTCATGAGAGCCTTCAAGAGGATCGCAGAACGTATCGGGTGCGCGACCAGCGCCATGTGGGAATTGGACTGCCTATCTCCGTTCAACCAGGGCACGGCCACTCCGTCAGATCAGCTACCCGTCGCCTGGCGCCCAACCATGGCACAAATCGCCATCCCCCACCACCCGATGCTCGACTTCATGCCCTGGCCGAGCGTGCGCGACAGGGTGCTCACCATGTTCAACATGCCAGAGTCGGCGCGGCCGCCTGGGGCGCGGGGCCCGCTGGCGCTGGTGAATTTTGCCTACGACTTCGAGGACAACGCGGAAGGTGTGCGCGTGGGATCTGATCCGTACGACCCAGAGAGCTGGGAGGTAGGACAGGTGCTCTTTGAGCGATGGTGGTTCCTGTTTGATCGGGGCATTATTGAAACGAGCAACCGGTTGCGAAAACGTCGAGGTGCGCCGCAGCTACTACTAAAAGGGAGCTGATGGGTGCCCCCTTTCTATACCTACCTACGTAAAAATATGATGAAGCCATGTACAGATAGATAACGAGAGGAATTAATGGGACAAACTTGTCTTTACGGGCATGCATGTTCCTAGAAATCAGTAATCAATGATGCATTCTGAGACCATAAGCTGCGCGACGAATTGGTCTAACATGAACGGTTACGCTCTCTGAACCAGCCAGTTGCAAAGAAGGAGGGCGGTGAGCAGCTGTCCCGTTCTGCCACTCTGCGTCATGCTCGTCCCCGTGGTGGTGTGGTCAATGCATCTGTCCATCCCTGTCCAAAAGTGCGGGGATCACGGAATGTGTCTCTGACTGACCATGCATTGTGGAAGTGTCCATGATACGGAGTCCAGACCCGATCTAGTATGCTGTTGCATCAGCGGCAATTAGCCATCTTGAGGGGAGCTGAATGATACCTAGGTACGGAGTAGGTAGGCCGCCGCTTAGGTTCTGCTAGGCAAGCCTCTACCACGGCGTCGCTACAGCACATGTTTGCACCCGGTTGAAGGTGACGAGGAAAAGCCTCCGCTAACCAGCGCTGCCACCGACACAGCCAATCAAGGCCCAGGGCAAGAGCAGCAGGCCGCCTTAGACGGAGATAATGTGGGGAGGGAGAAATTTCCATCGCTAGCGCATTTCCCTTCTGGATTTTTTTTCTTTGCCTGCTGGGCAATGCAATGGTACCCCTCCATGCCTGGCATGCTTGAAGACTGGCTGATGACTCTGGTCTGTTGGAGGGTTCAAGGTACATGTACCGCTCATGCCTGTACCCGCTATCGGAGGTCGCTGTAAGCCAGTACCTGTCACCTTGTAGCCCACAAAGACCCTTGTTCTCTTGGTCCGTGGCTCCATCTCCCGCTGCCTGGCCCGTGCAAAACTGCCGTCGACCTGCTCGCTTCGTGACTCTCTAGTATTGCCTCAACCTTTTTCCTTCTCTTCATTTTCTATCCTCACCTTGCCTCGCATCTGCGTCCCTCCCCGTGCAGATACACTCTCCCGCCCCTCCCCTCCCTCCCCCATCTCCCCCTCTCCTTTGTTCTCGATTGCCTGTTGGAAGCTCTCGAAGACCCCTACAGCGGCGCTGTTGTGTAGCTGGGAACCTGTTTCGGGTGAGTTAAACCCCCTCGTCCCTCATGCCCCTCCACCCCTCCAAGCTTCCCGGCCTGCAGCTATTTCAGATCGATCCAATTGCGTTCGATGGGATACCTGCAGGCTCACCGTTGCCCCTTCTGTTCGTTGGCAGCGCCGAACTTGTCTTCTCCTGCATCGGGTCCATAGCCATTCCTAACTGACAGCTTTGCTTGCCCGGCAGGTGTACCTTTTTGTCCTTTTGTCCTCTCCTCCATTTTATAGCCGTCGCTCTCTTCAGGTTACAGAGCTTGATCGCACTCCTACTTCCTGGCTTGAAGACGTAAAGTTCTTCTCCGACCGCCTAGAGCGTCGTCGTCGCCTATCCAGATCGAACCACTTCCCTCGACACCGCTCCCACACAATCCACCATGCATATCAAGCAGATGCTCACCGAGGCCGAGGGCACCGGCCAGCCGTCCTTCTCCTTCGAGTATTTCCCTCCCAAGACGGCCCAGGGTGTTCAAAACCTCTACGATCGCATGGGCCGTATGTACAATTTCGGCCCCAAGTTCATCGACATCACCTGGGGTGCAGGTGGCAGAATTGCCGAGCTCACCTGCGAGATGGTCCACCAAGCCCAGGCCGTCCACGGTCTTGAAACCTGCATGCATTTGACCTGCACTGACATGGGTATGGAGAAGGTCAACGATGCTCTAAAGAGGGCTTACAAGGCTGGCTGCACCAATATCCTCGCCTTGCGCGGTGACCCCCCTCGCGACCAGGAGAAGTGGACAGCCACCGAGGACGGGTTCCAGTATGCTCGCGACCTCGTCAAGCATATCCGGAAAGAATTCGGTGATCATTTCGACATTGGCGTGGCCGGTTACCCCGAGGGATGCGACGACAACAAAGATGAGGACCAGCTCCTCGACCACCTCAAGGAGAAGGTTGATGAAGGTGCTTCTTTCATTGTTACGCAGATGTTCTACGATGTCGACAACTTTATCCGTTGGGTGAAGAAGGTCCGCGAGAAGGGTATCGACATTCCCATTCTGCCCGGTATCATGCCTGTTGCAACATACGCCAGCTTCCTTCGCAGGGCCAACCACATGCAGTGCAAGATTCCCCAAGCATGGCTAGACCGCCTTGAGCCTGTCAAGAACGACGATGTTGCTGTGAGAGAAATTGGTACGACCCTGGTTGCCGAAATGTGCCGCAAACTGCTCGCCAATGGCATCTTCCACTTGCACTTCTACACCATGAACCTTGCTCAAGCCACCCGCATGGTTCTGGAAGAGCTCCAATGGACCCCATCGGCCGAGCGACCCCTGCAGCCAGCACTGCCCTGGAAGCCTTCCAAGGGCTTGGGTCGTCGTGACGAGGACGTGCGCCCCATCTTCTGGCGTAACCGCACAAAGGCGTACGTTTTGCGCACACAAGACTGGGACGAATTCCCCAACGGACGATGGGGTGACTCTCGCTCTCCTGCCTTTGGAGAACTCGATGCGTACGGCATTGGCTTGACTGGCTCCAACGAAGCCAACAGGAAGAAATGGGGGGAGCCTCGATCTTATCGAGACATCGCTGAACTCTTTGTCAAGTATCTGAAGAATGAGATTGAGACATTGCCTTGGAGCGAATCTCCTCTGACAGGCGAGGCAGATGCCATCAGGGAAAACCTGGTCAACCTCAACAGACGGGGCATCCTGACCGTCAATTCCCAACCTGCTGTTGACGGCGTCAAGTCATCTCACCCTGTTCACGGTTGGGGCCCCTCCAATGGATATGTATACCAGAAGTCGTACCTCGAGGTGCTGGTTCATCCTCGACTGTATCAGGAGCTGACCAGCCGCATGGCCAAGCATGAAGACCTGACTTACTATGCCGTTACCAAGTCTGGCCAGCTCGAGACCAACGCACCCAGTGAGGGCCCTAATGCCGTGACATGGGGCGTCTTCCCCGGCAAGGAGATTGTCCAGCCGACCATCGTCGAGAGCGTCAGCTTCCTTGCATGGAGAGACGAGGCCTTCCAATTGGGAATGGATTGGGCCAAATGTTTTGATTCAGGTTCTGCCAGCAGAAAGCTCATTGAGCATATCATGACCGACTGGCACCTGATCAATATTGGTGAGTAACAAACGGCCCAGCATCTTTCCTTGACAACTTTGGTTACCTAACAATTTTACCTAGTAAACAACGACTTCCATGACAACGAGAGCATATTCAAACTCTTTGACGGCCTAGAGATTGATTTCAAGGAACTAGAGTCGCCTTTTGAAGGTCAGACAGACAATCAGGAATCTGTGTCTAATGGCACCCACGCCTCCCAGGCGATTCCCAAGGAAGCTGCCGCCTTGGTGGCAAACTAACGGGGATTTTCCGAGTAACAAGCATTTATCACCCTTTGCTTGTTCTTAAAAAGATGATTGGTTACGTCTTTCATCTCCATCACTTTTCTTTTGAATCTTTTTTTCTTCTTCTTAGCTTTTTATCGCGTTTCCTTTTTTTAATGCATCGGGCGGGCGTTTACCACGAAAGAGTGTCTTTTTCAACAAAAAGGTACACTAGAACTCTTCGTGTAAGAGGTTCAATGGCTGGGTTTCATGATAACGAAGACATGTGCTACTATAAGACGGGAGGAGTGGAGTGAAGCATTGATATCAATGCGAGAATTTTCTAATCGCAAAGGAGGGTGATGGGCACAATAAGTGACCTACGGCATCATGCGCTGTCTAGGATAATGCTTGTTGTCGTCACATCTCCCTCCTTTCACGACATGACGAACATTGGGGAAGAAGACACGCACGCAAGGAGGAGAACGTGGAGGAAAAGAAAACACAAAACAACAAGAATCCCAAGGCCTATTCTTGTTCTTTCATATAGCATGCATATGATATCTCAACGATACCCCAGGCCATGGAACAGTGGAGGCAAAGAGACCTCCCATGACACCATAGATACTGTCTGCAGGGGGCTCTCCCCAGCGGAGGGGCCCGGTTCTTCACGCAGGATCTGTCAAAACAACTAGGCAAGATTCAAGGGGATGTAAGTGGGTAGATCTATTCATCTATCATGGACTAACTTACTTCCCTTTGGTTTTTGGCAAGAGGCGGATTGAAGGATGCCAACAGACAGAGAAAAATAGCAAATAAAAAAAACACAGTGAAGCCGAAGAGAACCGCCATGACTATTTAAACGTCTGGCGGCTCTTGGCTCTCGAATGGTCGTTTTTGACCCGAGATTTATCGGTCTCCATGTTGCATTTCTGGTGACTCTACTTCAACGAACTTCTATTCGTCTTAAATGCCCAAAAGTAAATGAACAAGAGCTAATACATTCAATCACCAATGGGAATGATACATTCTTCACATAAGCTTAGCAGAAGCTCTAAAAGCTCAACTGCCACCAAAAGTAAAATCTGAGCAATAGTTAATGTCAGATATATGTCTATTCGTTGTTTAATCTCGCTGATAAGGTAAGGGGCTAGTAAGCATCGGCATCATCTCCCTGCTGGTCGTAGTCGATATCCTCGTGCGCCTGCTGGGCCTGCTGGTGCTGGTTATGTGGCTGCGCACCCGCCTTGTCCTCCTCCATGCCCGCCATGACATCGTCTCTATCTTTGTCCTGTGGCGGTGCAACTGGTGGGAGGGGCGTGTTGACCCACGACAGCTCGAGCTTGCCCTCGACGCCGGGAAGCTCGCTGCCGTGGAGGCTGTTATAGAGCTTCTCGGCCGTCTTGCGGTCCCGGAAGGAGACAAATGTCGTAGTTGCCGAGGGCTCTACTGACTCGAACTCTCCGAGGCTCTGTGTCTCCATGTTAGTTTCATGTATAAAGCAAGAAAAATTGAAGCGGGAATATATAGTTGAAGTCGTAAGAACAACGTACCAAAAGGAAGTGGCGAAGGCTCTCGTCCTTGTCAGTCGCCGTGAAGTCAACGCCTGTGATCGCGAGACGCTTGGGCCTGTTGTCGATGGAGTATTGAGCATACGCAGCATGACGGCCGTCTACTCCCCGGAAGCTTCCGCGGCTCCCTCTCCACGCACGAGTCGCCCGTCCACGGAACGTTGATCTGCCCCGGTATCCTCCCCGCGGAGGGTATTCCACACCGATGCTGATGTCGTCCTCCGCGGCATTAGGGTCCAGGCCAAGTATTTTGGCTTCTTCTTCCAGAGAGGCAATCTTCGCTCGAAGCATGTCTGCCCCCGATGAAGGGGCATCGGGAACTCCGCCGTTCTTCTCTAACAGCTTAGCCTGCAACCGCTCCCTCTCTTCTCGCTGTTTCTGCATCAACTCCTGTTGTTTCTTCTCAAGTTCCAAGCGTTGCCGTTCCAACTCCGCCCTCTTCGTTTCCCTTTCTTGGAACTTCTTCTGTGCCTCTTCTTGCCTTTGCTGAAACTCTTCGGGGTCAATCTCGAAGGTATCATCCTCTGTGTACTGCATGTCATGATCTTTCGACCTATCTTTGGAGGAATGGGACCCATTTCCCGTGTTGCTCTCATCCTTCTGCCAATAGACTTTAACAAATCGGTTATCAAAGACGGCCTTTGGTGACTGATATGCTGCATTTGCGGAATCCCATTGATCGTACTTGATAATCGCAAGATGTTTGTTCGGCTTCATCAATACTTCATTGATATTTCCAAACTCTGAAAAGAACTTCCGCACTTCAGTCTCGTTCAGACTCTCGTCTGGTATGTTCTCCACCACGAGTGCGGTCTTTGAGGGGTCATTACTTGGGCCTTCGGCAGAGAAATGCGATCGACCTCCGCCCTTGCGGCCCGCCCGTCCTCCTTTGCGGCCCCCACGGCCACGATTATTCTCGGGCTTGAAAGCAAGAGGATTTAAAAAGGGAAATAAGTTGCCTTGGAGCATGGCCTGATCGGGGTCATATTCTGCGGGCAAATCAAACGTAGGTTAGCTATCATATGCCTTGTGAAAGGGGGAGAAAAAAAAAGACTATCTCACCATCGCCCTGAGGCCCAGAAGGAATATATAAGGACTCATTCCCATGATCATACATGCAGCTCGTTCCGCGAGAGCAGTACCCCTTGGAATCGAAGTCTCGGCATCTACCTCTTCGCCGCGGCTGGCCTCGAGAGCCATTTCCCATAAACTGTCCCATCCCAGGGTATTGCATGGCCATTGCCATGAATGCTTCCATAGTAGCCGGATTCTGGGGGTCAAATGAAGGCATACCCATCGCTGAGAAGTCCCCACGCTTATCCTCCCCTCGACCTCGCCCACGTTTTCGCTGCTGTTTAGCGGGCCGGCCACCATTGTGATGTCCATCTTGGTTCCCAGATGGATCGGCGTCGTCCCGATCATTGTAACTTCGTTTCTTGGAGCCAGAATGGCCCGCGCTGGGAGCTGCATCTACTTCAGGCGGTGGGGGGTCGGGCCTGCGAGGCTGGAGTTTGGGAGCGGGCGCAGCGCCCGGAATGTAGGATTTGTACGCAATCGCCTGGAACACATCGTCCAGGAAAGGCTTCGGATCTGTGACATGAGTTAATGGTGACCAGGTAGATTTGGCAGGAAACCCAGGCGCAATGCCAGCGCAGTGGCGAGGGAGAGCAACGGCACGGTACCTTCGCTCAAAAAGTCGGGGATCTCCTGTTCGCACAACGCGCGGACAGACGCTTTATCGCCATCGTGCTTCAGGAGCGCGATGATGTATTCTGCCAACACCTCGGCGTCTGCATTAGATCTAGAAAGCGGGAAGGTGATGAGCTCCGGCGCTTGAAAGGTGTGGTAAATGGTAGGTGGGAGGAAAGGAGGGCGTACGTGTCTTCGATTCGGTTCACAATCCATGTCTTCAGCAAGGGCGCATCTTCCTCGGGGAACATCATGGTGCCTCAAGTAAAGGCATCGAAGCCGGAGAATAAGGCGAAGGTCATGCACAGCTTGAAATTTTGGAAGGTCGGCTTGATTCTGTCGCGATCGCGTTCGCGCTGTCTTCGGAGGGCACTCGATGCGTCGCCAAACCAATTCGCCCAAAGGTAAGGTTGCTCTCGGCAGATTGGCACTCGGTAGATGTAGTTGATAACTTTTTCTTCCGCAGGCGCTCGTAAACTTTGAAGCACTCTGAGAATCAGGTCTGGCTCCCAAGATCAGATTCAGGCTCCACCTCTACTGGGTAACTCCAGGCACTAGCTACAGGCGCTACGATTAGGTAATTCGATTGTTTCGCAGCAAGGTGCGGTGAACAATTACACAGGGAGAGTGAGTATGTGCAACCACCCTCCTCGTTCCATATGAGATCTCATCCTCACGCTCACTTATTGGACGACTGAGAATAGATTCAGCCCAGTCTTGCTTTGTTTGTCAGGACCGACATGGGCATTCACAAAAACATGAATAGGATCAGGAGCCACACTTTTGAACATAAAAAGTCATCATTTCTTTTGTCATGTTTCCACTATCGGCACATCACTACATAAAAGCCAAGCGGAGAGCTTCCCCGTGATTATGGCCTCAATCTAGCCCTCAAATTTTATTTACCATATTTTTTTGGTTCCTTGTCTCGGCGGCTTGTCATTTGACAAAAGGCCACCGTGATGTCTTCGCAAGGGGCTTCTCTATGGGGCTCAGGCAGGCGTCCCAGGTCTTCGCTAGCAGCCTGTTGAGGTTCTGCATCCACAAGGACACAGGATCTGATATCATCCATTCAAGGTAAGTTCGCTTACAGCTTGTCGTAGTACTAGAAGGAGACATGTTAGCCAACACAGTTCGAAAACCTTTTTTGGATCAATAGGGACATAGCTTACGTTCTCAACACCGGGCACCTCAGCCTTGATACCCTTGCGCTTACGCATCTCAGTGACAATAGCTCCGACCTTCGAGCTGGAGTCGAGAGGAGAGCCACCGGGCAGAACCTGCCAGTGGTCGAACACGGACTGGGGGAAGGCCTGGCCGGAGGTGGCGGCACGGAGATCTCCGTTGAAGCCGAAGGACTCCAGGACGGGGAGGTAAGCCTTGATGTTGAAGAGGGGAGTACCAGGGCGCTGCTCCTCGTTGAAGACGTGACCACGTCTGCGGGTAAGGACACCGTAAACACCACCCATGGCGTTCTCGGGCACCTGAATCTCGACCAGGTAAACGGGCTCGAGCAGAGCGGGCTCGGCCAGAAGGGCAGCGGCGTACAGGACACGACGAGCAGTGGGGATGATCTGGCCACCACCACGGTGGATAGCATCAGCGTGCAGGGTCACATCAAGGATGTTGAAGCGGGCAGAGCGCATGGGCTCCTCAGCAACGGGACCTTCGCGGGTAGCCCACTGGAAACCGGAGACAACGGAATCCTTGATTTCGTTGAGGTACTGGACGGCCTTGGTCTGGTCAACCAGCAAGTTGGCGCCAGTGCCATCAGGACCGAAGGTCCAGATCTTACGGGCGTCAGTGACATCCCAGCCGAAGTCGTCAGCGAGGACACGGGCACGGGCCTTGAAATCGTCACGGGCGGAAACCTTGCCAGCCTCGATAGCAAGAGAGAGTTCCTCCTCAATAGGCTCAGCAACCATGTACAGACGGTTGTGCTTGTTGGGGGACTTGGAAAGAGCAGTAATGCTCGACTTGCCCTGGACAGTTTCACGGTACTGGACGACGGGGTCGGAGATGATCAGAGGGATACCGGCGTGGTCTTCCTCAAGATCCTTCAAGCAAATCTCGAGATGCAGCTCACCGGCACCAGCAACGACGTGCTCACCGGACTCGGAGGTGTAGGTAAGGACGCAAGGGTCCGACTTGGAGAGACGCTTGAGACCTTCGACCAGCTTAGGGAGATCCTGGGCGTTCTTGACCTGGACGGAGCGCTGCACGACGGGGGAGACGGAGAACTTCATGACCTTGAGGTTGTGGGCAGTCTCAGAGGTGGTAAGAGTACCAGACTTGAGCAGGAACTGGTCGATACCGACGAGACCGACAATGTTTCCGGCTGGCATGTCGTCAATGGGGTCGACCTTGCCACCCATCATCAGGACGGTACGCTGAATAGCCTTGATGAAGAGATCATCCTTCTTGCCAGGGGTGTAGTTGGGACCCTGGATGCGGACCTTGAGACCGGAGCGGACGGTACCGGAGAAGACACGACCGAAGGCGTAGAATCGACCCTTATCGGAAGTGGGCACCATCTTGGAGACGTAAAGCATGAGGGGACCCTTGGGGTTGCAGTCACGGATACCAATGGCGGCCTCGTCGTCAAGAGGACCCTCGTACAGAGTCTCAGCACGGTACTTCTGGGCAGTGACGGGAGAAGGAAGGTGGAGGATCATCATCTCCAGAAGGGCGTCGGCAGCGGGGAGGAAAGTGCGCATGACAACCTTTAGCAGCTGCTTGCCCTCCTTCTGGCGGTCGTCAGCAGAGATCTTGAGCTGGAGCTTGTCCAGAAGAGTGGTGATCTCGTCGTTCTTGAAGTTCATGACGGCGGAGAAGATCTTGAAGATGGGGTCCAGGATGAACTGGTTGAAAGCACGCTCAAGTTGCTTGCCCTCGTGGGTACCAGACTTGGACCACTTCTTGGTGTGGGGGTTGAAGTAGTTGTCGCCCTACAAGTGGTTCCGAGTAAGTACACAATCTTTGAAATGCGACTGGCCTGTACCGCCATCGTGGGAGGGGAGCATCTGCATTCAAGCAGGGAGGAGACTTACCCAGAGACGCTCCATCATCTTGTTCTTGTCAACACCGAACTTCTTGGCGTAGCGGACAGCGAACTGGCGGATAGTGAAGGCCCAGCCGTGGAGACCGGAACCGAAGGCAACGGTACCCTTGTAAGGGTAGACCTGGACATCACCGAGAGTCTTGTCAAAGTAGGTGGAGATGATGACGTTAACGGACTCGATGGTACGGGAGAAGGACTGGTAAAGATCCTCCTTGGAGACCTGAAGCTCGAGAAGAGCACGGTCGACCTTGTTGATGATGATAACGGGCTTGATACGCTCACCAAGGGCCTGACGGAGCACAGTCTCGGTCTGAACGCACACACCTTCGACAGTGTCGACGACGACGAGGGCACCGTCAGTGACACGGAGAGCAGCAGTAACCTCAGAGGAGAAATCAACGTGACCGGGGGAGTCAATCAGGTTGATCAAGAAGTCCTGACCATCGGTCTTCTGGCCAACGATATCCTTGATATCCTCGGGGTCATCAAGATGACCGTACAGAGAGATAGCAGTGGACTTGATGGTGATACCACGCTCCTGCTCATCGGCACGAGTATCGGTGGCACGAGCCTCACCAGCCTTGGCGGAGGAGATAATACCGGCCTTGGACAGCAGGGAGTCAGTCAGAGTCGACTTGCCGTGGTCGACGTGGGCAATGACGGACATGTTTCGGACATTGGTGGGCTTGTCCATGAGGGCCCGGACCTCGTCGACCGTGAAGCTATCATGGTGAAGCAATATGTCAGCAAACTCTGTTTTTTTCTTTCTGAGGGCATAGTGTTATCTCCGGAGGGGCAGGGCGCTGTTTTTTTTTGCGCTCTGGCGCCAGCGTCGTTCGTCGGGGACGACGAGGCGACGATGAAGGGATGGTGAGGGCAAGAGGAGCTGATCCGAGCAAGAATGGGCATCAGAGACAACTTACTTCACCATCTTGGCGGTATTTTTGCTTTTACCTGGCTTGAATGCCTGTAGGTGTTGAAGGAAAAAATTGGTGGTGATGTGGGAGAGGAAGAAGCCAAAGCGGGGTACTTTTATGGCCCGCGTTGACGTCTCAGTCACTCAGATCGGGCAGCTCAGTGGTGGGACACAGTGCTTAGCAGGTTAATTTGCAGCACCAAGAGGTACTGCTTGCTTTAAAAATTTGCCTTTTCGGATTGCAGGGAAGGTTCTCTTTTGATACCTAAGCAGGTAGAGAGCAGGAGCATACAAAGGCATGTTCGAGAACCCAGCTGTCCTTTTATCTAAACCGTGGCCAACCTCCATTGCCTCTCAGCACTGCTCCGGCACGCCTTAGGTATCCCTCTGTTCATGTACTTGACTGATTACATATGGTCTGTCGAGGCGAGGTACATGAAGTTCAGCGCATTGTTCCGCGCTTGGCACGGTACCGACAAGGACCGAAAAAAAATACCTACGATCAGGCGAGGATTGGTGGGGCAGAAGGCTCACCTTGCCCCACCATCGCGGCGATGGGTGACCTGAGCAACAAGCCGCCTACCAAAGTTAACAGAGGCTGATAAGCTGTGTGGGAGTCACACCGCAATGGGCTGTAGTCATATGGATAGGCTAAAGAAATTGTGTCTGGGAAAAAAGAAACTCAATGAGGAAAAGGCCACAACATGAGGCAAGTAAGTAGAAGTCACGCCAGGCCCAGGCCACTCAAGACTCCCACTCGCCACCAGTGAGGAGCAATTTTGGACTCGCGCCGCCGCCACGGAGCCTGGCCCAATTGATACCCGCAATGCGTGGTGGTAGGAAAAGGGCATAACCCTCCCCTCCCTCTACGCGCCAGGTCGCACTTGCCATACCTTTCCCCTCTACAACGGCAAGCTCCCCCGACTCATGGAGCTTCCTCAATCCGGAAACGTTCTCGGCGTGACTCAGCAGCCAATGCCACTCGCACAGCCCAGCAAGCACCTGGAGCTCTAAAATGATGCAGCTTCCCAGACCTGGAGTCATGCCGTCACATTTCCTTAGCTTGCTGAAACTCAAAACCAGGCTGTGACCTGGCAAGTCACACACGCAAAACGCGGCGCTCGCTGAATCCCCATGTATCGGTACGTTGTGGGTTTGGTAAGGTATGCTGAGTGCGTGCCAGAAGTGTATGTGCCTCGCTTCTCCCTACCCCGCTACAGATGAGGGGTGATGCGCTGTGGAACTCGCTGTAGCCATTAGGCACCGCCAGCCTTGGCAGCCACCAACGCATGAAGATCGCTAGTACGACTGGGTATATCACCTGTAGGTGAATGACGAGCAGCTCATGAAACACGTGCAGGGTTCAGTTTCTAGTGCAGCATTTCCAACCAGGACCTGCAACAAATGATACGCGAGGTCAATGATTTTAATATATCCCAACATAAGAATATTATCCAAAACACAGCCAACACATACAACACAATATATCCAATATCGTACCCAATGCCCTCATCTCTCATTTACTCATTCGTAATTGTTGCTGTTGCTGTTGCTGTCATTTCAAGAACTCAGATCATAGGTACCTACCAACTTGTGTATCATCGGCTGCGTGTAGCGTTTTGAGTGTCTCAGGTGTGAGGTCGAATAGTATTATTCCCCCAGATTTGATTACCACAATTTGGATTCTGCCGCTAGACACAGCTGGCGTTTTATTATTCAAATCTCAACTTCAACACATGCCATTACTTTCACATGAAAGACCATCCCGAGGTGAAATCGCGGTTGTGATGACTAAGCACTCATCATCTCCCTAATTGCTTCACCTGCGAAGCCGTGTCTTTGATCTTGATCAAACATATCATTCCCTATTGAACATAACATTGCGGCCGGTGACACACTGTGGCGTTGCTTGCACGCGATCCTCTACTCGTTCGAGGTGACACTGCCCAAAGCCCCTTATCTCGCAGCCTCCCAATGACTATCGCACCCCTGCTTCACATCACATAATAAGCGTGGCTTCGAGCGGCGTGATTGCCGCCCGGATGCTACTCTCCAAATTCCAGAAATGTCCCTAGACCGAAAGATAGGTCATGAGTTTGGACAGGCCATCTCCAAATCGACTCCAGGCCAGGCGGCTGGGTTGGTCGCGTTGTCGTCTCTTCCACCAGCTCTTCGACCCCTGGTTCGCGCCTATGTCACCGGCTACGCAACCACTGTCGGGCCACGTCTTCTCGCTCTAATCGTCAGTCACATCTCTCAAAACCGTCGGAAGTCATCGAAACAGTCCAAGACCGAAGAGACGCCCTCTTTAATCCATCCAATACTCCATGTTATCACAACTGGCTTTGAGCCTCAGCGCTTCCCCACGTTTTGCGCCGTGGTTGCGGGGGGCAGCACTCTGCTTCTGGTAAAACACCTATAACCCACCTCCACTCACCTACATATGCGTGGACCGGCTGCATATGCCGTAATACACAAGTCTTATAGACATACAAACGAACTGGTCTTTGCATCCTATCGTTCTTTTACTAATACTTTCCCCTTCTTTTTAGAAACCATTCTTTATTCTTCTCACTCGTTCATTTAAAAACCTTAGCGGAATAGCTCGTCTCAGGTATGCCAGTCTCACTATCCAACCATCTAGACTTTTCTTAACAATTCAAAGGTTTGCGAGATGGATATCTGCATTCATTTCTGCGTGGCTGGGCATGCGCCTTCTACACCAAAAAAGGGGTTCAGCTAGCACAACCCCAAGTGTCAATGGCAGTGTTGACCCTACCGCGAAGGACCCTTCTCATCCCAAGCCCGCACCAAGGTCTAGTGGTCATACACTAGATCTTACTTTATTCACAGTCACTAGAGCTCTGGATATCATCGTTGGAGAGCTATGGTCCCGGCATCGTGCCCGGCGCAGCCAAGCTCACAAGTGGACAAAGGCAAGTCATCAAAGAGCCGAGTCAGCCTCACATCCATAACTCAACTAACACCCATTAGGCTGAGGAGCTCACCGGCTATCTCACTGATCCCTCCATCTTTGTCGTATCATGCGCTTTCATCATGTGGTCCTGGTTCTACTATCCCAACAACCTACCGCGGAGCTACCAGAAATGGATCACTTCCGCCGCCATGCTGGATATGCGTCTCATCGAGGCCCTTCGCCGATGCAAGTTCAACGAGCTCCGCTACGGCGAGGACACCGGGCAGGCTTCTCTGCTCGGCCCAATGTGTGCCGGCTTGGACATGCCCGCCGTCTGGGGCGACCCGGCCAAAACCATCCCCTACCCGTGCGAGGTGGTCCATATGAAGCGCGGACAGTCCTGCGAGGCCCACGCCATCAGCCGTCTGGCCCGTTCCTGGAAATGGGCCATGTATACATACCTACCCCTAGCCCTCGCCTTCAAGGTCCGGAAGCTCGAGAAGAAACAGCTCCTCAAGGCGTTCATCTCCGCATCCCGCTCCTCCCTGTTCCTCGGCAGCTTCATCACCATCTTCTACTACACCATCTGCCTCGCCCGCACGCGCATAGGCCCCTATATTAACGGCCGGAGCACGGAGGCGTGCCAGCGCATGGACGGCGGCATCTGCGTGGGCTTGGGCTGCGGCCTGTGCGGCTGGAGCATCCTCATCGAGACCGCCAGCCGCCGCAAGGACATGGCCCTGTTCGTCGCCCCCCGTGCACTGGCGACCATCCTTCCTCGCAAGTATTCCTCGGAGAAACAGTACAAGGAAACACTGGCGTTCGCAGCCAGCGCAGCTGTAATTTCGACCTGCGTGTTGGAGAACCCGAAACGGGTGAGGGGTGTCTTCGGCAGGTTGCTCAATTCTATCATGCGAACATGAAGATGTTTGACATAATATTGTAACATGTTGGATAATTGGTTCTTTTCGGGGTTGTGTTCATGATCATTTAGAGTCACGTTGTAAAGTAAACCGTTAGAGTTCTGCGAGACATATATTATTAATACTAAACGCCCCGAGCGGGTGATTCTTTTTACTTCATTCAAATAGGCCGTCTATCGTATACCTCGACTTGATCCAACAGCCCATAACGTATCACTCCAATTCTCTTGCTCTCCACCATGAACAGACCCCAAGCACAAACATGCAAGCCAGGATATCCGCCCTCACTGTGGTGAATATCTGGCCGTACCGCAACACCACCTGGACGTACCCCTTGAACGGCTCGGGCAGGAATCCCACGACCGTCTGCACGATCCCGGGCGGCGGCGCCCGGCCCTTGTCGAGGAAGAATCGAGTGGTGAGCAGGCACGCCTCGGCCGTGGCGAACACCCAGAAGAAGAAGTCCTTGCGGTGCAGGTTCTCCTCGTCCGAGAGGGCGGCCAGCTCCCGCTCCATCTTGGTTCCCGTGAACGGGGTGAGAACGGCGATGTACAGGCCGAGCCCGAGGGCGACGAGGGCGTGGAGGAGGCGCCAGAGGGCGGTGTAGGTGTCGAGCGGCTGCGGCTTCTTCTCCTGCTGGAGGTTGGAGAAGCTGCTCAGGTCTGGGAACGACGACCCATCCCCGCCAAAGGGGAACTGGGGCATCCCACCTGGCCCCCCCGCGCCTCCTCCCATCATCTGGCTCATCATCTTCATGATGGGGTCCTCCTCCGCGCCAGGGATGCCAGGTCCAGCTGGGTTCTGACCGTTTTGGCCGCCGGCGGCGGGGTCGAAGCCCAGCATCATCTGGCGCAACGCAGCCTCGGAGATGTTCGGCTCAGCTCCAGCGGGAGGAGCATTGTTCGTTCTGGCGGTAGTCTTGGGGGCGTAGAAGTGCTCGGAAATGTCCACCTCCTCGGGGTCAGCAGTTGCCTCCGCAGCCTTTGCTGCGCTCGTGGGAGCAGCTGGTGCCGGCGTAATAGACTCGGATGCTGCAGATGCCGAGGGCGGGGCGTCAAAGTCTAGCAGGGAGAGTTAGCTCGATTCATCATGGTAATGCTTGTGCGAGATTCTTACCTGCCTGTGGGCGGCCGCCCATCCCCGTGATCTTGTTGAGCCGGGCAGAGCCGCCAGCTTTCAGTTTGGCCTCCCTCCGTTCCTTTCGGAGGCGTGCCTGCTCCGAGGCACGCTGAGCAGCAGCATCAGCATCGTTGGAGGTCGCTACGCTCTCTGTCATTTCCGCTGATTTAAGATTGTTTGATCTGGCAAACGTGGCTGGGAAGTTGGGTGCAGGTAATGGAGAGTCAACGTCAACGAGCAACGTATCACATCCAGGCAGGTGTCGTTTCTGTTATCGTCGATTGTGGACAGTGGGTCATTACCCCAAAGTCACACACCAAAGCTCTTTTCATGAAAGGCAGGGAGTTCGTCTTCTAAACAATAATACTAAACACAATAATCAAACAGCGGATTATTCTGTAGTATTTACCTTGATATTGTGTTTATTATGATATTAATTGTCTTAATAGTGTGTTGAAATTCGACGCTGGAGGTTCTGGGTGTACCATTTTTTATGTCAGTCGCCTGACAGGGGTCCAACTCGACGTCACCAATGACATTTTGCTAACCTACACCCACTCTCCTCTGAAACAACCTCCTTTCAATCCACACAGTAGCATTATGCATCTTTCTCACTTTACTTCCTGGATTAAACGGTAACTCGGCACATTACAAACCCCAGGACGCCCCCTGATGTCAGATGGCATTAGCCGGCTGGCGCGGCGTCAGCGCTTAATGAAGCTACGGATTAAACTGCCGAGATGACCACGACTAAGACGAGCGGAGTTATTATTGAAACAGCAAAACACTATTTTTGCATATCCAGCCACCTCGATTTCCTATGTACACTACTCTAGGTACTCAATAGCGTCTAAATGATGTTGTTGTTGACCTGGATCACAGCTGGGGCGGCCAGTGTACTCTGTACCAGAGCATCGAAGCTAGAAGGGTTGTTGGTGGTTGTGAGCGCGCCATGGCTGAATCCATCCATCTGATTTGCGCTGTAAGGGAAGGGGGCATCGAAAGAAAGGATTCCATTGTTCCATTGGACGTTGGTGATGCTGACCGAGAAGGGCTGCTGCTGTCCGGTGGTGTAGGTCAGGTAGAGACCGCTTCCGTCACCTCCGATGTACGGCTTAGCAGCCTCAGAAGTGGACAGATCCGCTGAAAATGAGAGCGTCTGATCATTTGGCTGGATGACGGCCACAGGTCCTCCGTTGGTTGCCAGCGCCGGGAAGATGGGCAGGTTGATGTTGCTGAGGGGGAAGGGGCATGAACCAGGGACAACGAAGAGCTGAAGCGCACTAAATGCGAAGGGAGCGGGAACGAAGGAAAGGAAGGGCTTTTCTGAGGGTATTCTGTTGAGGAGGAGGCGGTAGAAGCCATTCTGCTCACCCTCCTGGCCGATAACAGACGAGATCAACTGAACAAAATCGGAGACACCGTCAACAGCGAACTGCTTACCAGCTCCTTGTAACGCGCCCAGCACGACAGCAGTGAAGGTTTCCGCCAGAGCGACGGCGTCCCCGAGCTTGGCGACTGGGAACTGGTACTGGCATGGAGAGGGGGCAAATGCCCCTGCAGTTTTAAGGATAGAAACCGCTCCCAGAGCATGTAGCTCCTCTTGCTGTATGGATATCAGAACGCGGTGAACTTTAGAAAGGGATCCGAAGGGGCTGGGACAAGACTCACCGCTAGTACAGCAGTCAGAATTTCAACAGCACCATTGGGGGCATCTTTATAGCCGTCAACACCATTGGTAATGTTGCTAATCAACGAAGAGAAGAAGGCGGTCTCAAACAACTCGTTGAAAGCAATGAGCTGGAGTGTCGTGATGGTGCCGGCCGGCAATGAACTGGGAGTGGCTCCATCCGGAAGTCTTCCCCTGGCACGCTGAGAGATGTCGAGAATCTGCTGAGGGCTCGGATTGGGGAATCCATCATCCGATGGGACACCGAAAGCCCTGGGGACTTTGGCACCTGCAACAACCTCTGCCAGGATAGCACTGGCAGCAACGAGGGAGGATATGAACCGCATGTCTATTGGATATCTTGAGTAGGTAGAGTAGGTAGATATTGGAAATTAGGGCACAGTGCTAACGAAGTTTCGAAAGGAATGATGGAACAGATTTATACTTGGGAGGAGCTTCGAAGATTTATAAGTAAATAAGTTCCCTACCATATCGGATCCTCGGAAGCATGTTGATCGAAGACAACACGACAGAAGGTCTACGACGCTAGCCATGTCTTACTTAGTCGATGACTATGGCAATGGTGATGGTGATGATGATGATGACAGACAGCCATCGCAAGCCTTATGCGCCACAGGGCCGACTGGAATTCTCTTACATCAGATTCGGTAGGTTAGCACCACACCCTTTCCGGACCCCAAAGTCAATGGCAGCCGGGCTAACTATTTTGGAAGAGCTATAATAATAGTAGGGTCATAAATATAGAATTTTCACTCCTCCTGACTATCTCGCATGAGTGAGTGAGAAGAGATTGAGCACCGAATATGCGCCTATAATGATGCATGAGGTATTGGTCAAGGAATAACTTTGGTGATGCTTGGGGGTTGGGTGTCGGTCTGCGTTGGGTAAGGTATCAACTCAATTACAAACCATCCTGTTACAGACTCGGAGCTTTATTTGGCTGGCCGAAGGCGGCTGGCTAACGAAGCTAAGCGGCAGTTCTCTCCGCATAGGGACACGCCGTAGACAATGAGTAGGTAGCAGGGGAAATCGTACAAGTAAAAAAGACATTTATTCATCAAGCCTCACTAAGACGATTTCATCATGGATTTTTTCTACTCTAATTTATCTTCCGCGGCCGCCCTTCAAACAAATACTCCCTTGTTAGTGAACACGGCCACCAACAAAAATATTCAAGCGATTAGAGACTATCGGTGCTGACAAACTTCGAATGCTTGGCTAATTGGTAGCCTTGCTCATGGTAATGAGTCTCTTGACGCCGACCTGGGTAGATGATATATTAGCAAAATTCACACGTAAAGGTTTCATCCGATAGGGGCTACTCACCATCCAATTACCACATTCCTCAGTCTTGTCCCGTTGAATATCTACTTGTATTTTTTGGGCCGTAGGATAATCCTTGGACTGAAGTGCATTGGCCAGTTGTGAGAGCTGCTCAATCGTGGAGGGCTGAATCAACTCTTCGTTGTTGAGGTGGTCGAACAAGATGTTCAGCCGCTTCTGTGTATCCTTAATATGAGTGGCAAATGTAGCTGGTGCCTTGGAAGCAACCCGTTGCATATCTTGACTCAGGATCTCTACCAAAGGCTGAGCGTTGGCCGGGATATGAGATCGATCACCCGCAGGATGTCTGGCCTTGACAGGAGCAGCGGCTTTAGGAGGGGCGGTTGCCGCAGCTGGTGTTGAACTGGGTGGAGGTCCAGGTCGAGAAGCCTGAGGAGGAGGGCCCGGCTGAGGCGCACCAGGCCCTTGGTTAGGAGCTGGGGCATAAGGAGAAGGAGCATACGGGTTGTTTGAAGGTGGCTGCTGAGGAGGAACACCATACGCTCCAGCCGGAGGAGGAATAGATGCTGGAGGGGGATGAGCTGCCTGCTGTGCCGCAGGAGAAGGAGCATATCGGTTTGAGGAAGGGGCTGCGGCTGGAGGAGCGTTGTAGGATGTTGGTGGGATAGCGTGTGGAGGTTGGTAGGGGTTTGAGCTGGCTTGGTGGGGAGGAGCATACTGGTTCGCAGCCGAAGATGGTCGAGGCGGTGCCTGGAAAGACTGAGACCCGGTAAGCGGCGACTGTACCCTGGGAGGGCCAGCCTTGGGTGGAGGAGGGGGAGGAGATACTACACCCCGTTGCCCATAAGCACCTGGAGGGGGGGGTGCCGAAAAGGTGGCTGGTTGGTTGGGGAAGGGCGATGTGATTGCTTGCACACTGGGTGTTGATTTTCGTGGGGGGGCCTTTGTAACAATGGGAACATCATTCCAATTTTCCATATTCTTGGCCTTGGATGGCGGTGGCCCTGAAGAAGGAGTCAAGTTCCTAGGGGGGCCAGGTGCCACCGGAGGTGGTGCCATGGTATGGGAGTAACTGGGCTGATTGAACGTTCCCTGGGGTTGGTACGGGTTCGAAGAAGCAAATGGCTGGGGTTGAGTCGTTGGGTACACTTGTGCTTGGCCAGGAGGAACATATGCCTGGTTCTGAGTAGGAGGCGCCGGTGACTGCCGACCAACTCCGACGAACTGATTGGCAGCGGCTCCGACGAATTGATTAGCAGTGGCTCCAACGAGCGGATTCTGGTAACCAGCCCTTGATGACGTCCTTGGTGCGGGTTTGTTGGTGTTGGCTTGAGATCCGGGCTTTTGTGTGGCTAACCTGACACGATTCCTAGCGAGCTCTGCGGCGGGATAGCTCGAAGGCAGCAAGTCAAGATACTGTTGAGCCACCAACAATTGGCCCTGCCCAGCAAGGATATCGGCATACTCTGTATACTTGTCATACAGAGCAGCCAGCTTCCAGTCAGAGGTCAGAGACTTCTCGCCGTCAGTGAACTTGCTCACTTTGCGGAACACAGTGACCTTTTCGATAAAGCTCTGCAATGTTCTCGCATGGACAGAGAACGTGGAGTCATCAGATTCGGTGCTGATGCCAGCCTTCTTCTCTTCATCCAACTCGGCGGCCCAGATAGAAACCACCTTCTCTAACTTGGAGCCAACCAGATAGCAGAAAGAAGCATCTTTTCTTGAACCTTCTTGACTTATCCGGTCGCCCAAAGCCTCGCAGAGGTCGGGGAACTCTGCGGGGTCTGAATAGGTGCAGAGGATCGCCATGGTTTCCCTCCAGTTCTCTAGGTCGGCATTGTAGACTACATCCCAGAGGTTCTTGGTGATCACTGAGCCGATCAGACGCAAGTAGCTGGGGATTCCGTTCTTCCGGGCGAGATATGCCGATTGGACCTTGTCGACTAGTTCCTGGCCGCCACAGTTTGCAATCAAGAAAGCATCAGCAATGCGATCCTGCTTCAGACAAATATCGGTTGCCTTGGCGAAATTTCCGAGCATGAGTGCCTTCGTCACGTCCTTCTCGATAGATGTGTCGGAGTCGGCGAAAAGATGGAAGGGTTTATCAGTCTTGGCCCCCTTGTTAGCCGCCAGATTGGAAAGAAAGTCTTCTCCTTCGCCATCTGCATCTCCGCCATCGAAGAAGTTAGACAGTCTCTTCTTCTTGTTCTCTTCCTCGGCCTCCGCCTCAGGCTTAGCATCGTCCTCCTTCTCAGCGTCTTTAGGAGTAACGTCCTCGCCATTGACCGCATCCTCCTCCGTGAAGCCAAGATATTCAACAATCTTCCCACGTGGATTATCGCCAACCAAAGTCTCCATCACCTTCCAATCAGCCTTTTCATCCTCTGTGCCAGCTTGTTCAATCTTATCTTCAAAAATAGCGGTCAGGTCACCAGAAGCCAATGACGACTGGAATTTTTCGCTTGAGACTGATACCTCAGAGTCGGCAGAGAAGCTTGTGATGAGGATTTGGGAGGACCGCTTTTGGCCTGGCTGAGTAGCGGCCTGTTTGAGGACAACAACCTTGCCACCAAACCCAAATGATACACTGACAGGTCGTTCAAACCATTTAGGGGCCTTGCTCAACGACCAAGAAGCACCCTGTGGCTGTGTTTGAGCGGCACTGAAGAACTCCTCATCGTCCAAGTTCTTCCCCGCAGCCGACTGGGAAGTGTCGGGGTTGGTATTCTGGAGGGTTTGAATTGTGATCTTGCCGTCGAAGCTAGCAGTGGCTGAAAGATTAGGGTTGTGTGGGTTGAACCGCGTCAGGAAGGTCCAATTCGTGACTTCTGGAAACTCGCCAAGTCGTTCGCCAGTCTGCGGGTTCCATACAATGGTTCTGTTATCTTTGCCTGCAGATAGAAGGAGGTCGCTGTCCTGGGCACACCAAGAAAGCGACAGGATACCTTGCTCGTGGCCTTGAAGGGTCTTCTCGGGAGCATTTGAATTGCGGAGATCCCAAAGGAAGATCACCGGTGTGTTGTCGTCCGGGGTGGCCGTCAAGAGTTTGGTAGAGTTGTTCGGGTCCCATGCGATCGCACTCACTGCTTTTCGGCTGTTGTTGAGTGTGAGCGAGGCCTTCTTAGTCTTCAAATCCCAAACTGTAACGAAACCTCCAGCTCCGCCAGTCGCAAGAATGTGAGACACCTTTTGATTCCAAGCTAGACAATCAATATCATCAGATCGAGCAGCGGTATTACCCAACCGGAATGGGTTCTCAATGTCGTTCACATCGTAGATGTACAGCTCTCCCTTGGCGCCACCAGTAGCGAGGATCTGGGGCTTGAGAGGGTTGAATTGAATGGTCTTAATGGGGCCGCTGTGCTTTGATGTTTGTGACATCAGTGCATCTTCCCCGGAGATCAGTGTCTCGGCATCCCACAGATCGAGGGAACCGTTTTCCAATGCGCCAGCGATGATTCCACGGGGGTGGTCTGAGTCGGGGGGTCCCCAAGCGATATCGTAAAATCTTAGGAAGCTAGTCAATCACAAGCTCGTCCACCATGATATTTGTTGTGAATGCATACCTGGACTCGGTAGTGATGCTCACGATAGGTTGAAGCTCAATGCCCTGCTTCGGGTCGTCCAGGGACAAGTCCCAGAGCTCCAGCTTGCTCTCATCAGAAAAGTCTGCGTCGACAGCGCCAGCTCGAGTGCCGGTCACCAAAAGAGGCTTCCCAGATCCTGACGACCAGGCAAAGGTCGCTGTCCGCGGCAGTTCCCTAAGGCGCACCATGGTGCTGGAAGCACTCGACTATAGAGGTATGACGATGGGGGGTGCTTGCTTGTGCTTCGGATGGATCCTGTTTTAATAGCCGTATCTTGACATAGGGAAAAGATTAAAAAAATGATGGTCCAATTCTGGTTTGCTGTAACCAGCAGATAGGCATTCAACTGAATGCTCCTTCGTCGTTGGGGCAGCAAGAATTAAGAGGGCGAATCGATATGATGCCAGATTGCAGGCCACCGCTGTTGCTGGCCAGGACCTAAGCTTAGGTGCTTTAGGTAAGACGTAAAGGGGGAGTTGCCCACCTCAACCCCACCAACGCCTTCCAAGCGGGACAGCTGTCCAACAGCCGCCTGAAGCCTCCATTGTCCTTAGTGCTGTCACGTGATGATTGTGCCTCGGAATGCTACGAGAATGAGATTCAAAAAATAGGCAGTGTATGAGTGCTGCTATAGCTTCAGTCTAAGTGCAATCCTTCGGAAGAACTTCGTTATTCTCTACAACGCCGGAACTCTGATTTTGCAAGACTTGGAAATGACGGACACATCATCTAGGTGGAAGGCCACCGTTTATGTTGGAGGTCTCTCACCTCTGGCTACAAACAGCCATGTTCTCGACGCCTTCATTCCATTCGGCGAGATTGTAGAAGTCCAAGTGCCTAAGAACGATGCTCCGAATGCAACTGATCCTCACAGAGGCTTTGCCTATGTCGAGTTTGAGGATCCCGCGGATGCTAAAGAGGCCATCAACAACATGGATCAGGCCGAACTTTTCGGTCGGGTTCTGAAAGTTTCACAAGCGAAGGCGCCAAAAAGTGCTGATGAAGGGCTGGGGAGCAAAACGGCCATCTGGGAACAGGTTCGTTTCATATCCCATGCCTTGCAATTGATCAATTGAACTAATATGATTACAGGAGGGCTGGCTTGCTAAGAATTCTATTGACGAGCGGGGTGAGGCTCCTGAAGCGAATGGGAATGCCTCGGGTCCTGACCCCATGCAAGGACTGGAGGGTTTGGATGTGGCAGGGCCCAAAGCCGAGTAGTGGGCAGCCTGGGGAATTTGCATCAATTGATCTTATTTATTTACCATAGCGACGGCGTTTACCTGGGGGTTTAACAGATGGTACTTGATTATACAGGGCACAATGAAACTGACAAGACGATCAAGAAAAGGTCTCTTCGTTCTTCTGCACCCACTACTCTCATATACATAAGGGACTGATCCTTCTAACGAACGGGCTAATTAGGGGAAGTTCCCATCCATCTGGCGGGCCTAGTGATGCTTCTCATCAGAGGAGTGTTCCTCTCGGCCGGCAGCTCCTTGTCGGACCAGGCGCAGGTTCTTGTCAACGACGAACTTGCGGATGCTAGAGTAGGTCGCGGCAAAGAGGGCGAAGACAACGACGACGGCTGCAGAACGTTAGAATATTGTATAAATCGTGTTGGTGGAGGAATCGAATTACCGAGGGGGAGAAGCTCCAGAGGGATATTCTTGAGCTTTCGCAGGCGCTGGGAAACGGTGTGACCTGGCTTCGGGTGAGTAAAACGCTCGGAATTGTCGCATGGTCAATTGCCAATTGGGTTGCAAGATCAATTGGCCGTGGGCAGGGACATACCGGCCTGGTCCTCCTTCTGTATGACGCATCTTGTCAGCTACCAGTAGGCCACAATCACGAACTAGCTGTCACTCACGGGCACAGGGCGCATCATGCGAGGAGCCTGGCGGAACATCATCTGGGGGGCTCGGCTGAACATCATCTTGGGGGTTCCGCGGAACATCAGCTGAGGCGTCAGGCGGAACATGTTGGCGGCGATGGCAGAGCTCATGTTGACGGCGGTTGAGGGGAGATTTTGCACGGTCTTTGCAGTTGGTGGTTCGAGTAAGAAATATCGCCTGAAGTCGGGACGTATGGAACAGGTCCGCTGGGATTGGATCATGATCCCATGGACGGGGAGGGGGGCCCACAGTGGTCAAGGTGGGTGCCTGACCTCTATTGGCTGAGTAAAACCTGAGGCACTCACTGGAGCTGTCAGACCACCTGATGTGACCCCGACAACGTCAAACGACCATCTCCATCAACCATATTCCACATCGAATCCGCCAGCCCGCGAACGCAATCCCCGACTTTTCAAGAGGCCAATTGCACTAATCACTCATCATGTCTGACTCGGATGGCCAGGAGCTTGTCACCAAGCCCTTCAAGTTCGTCACTGGTATGCATTAATCCCGCTGTCAACCATTCTATTTCGTGATCCCGAGGCTAACATTTGTCGCACAGCCGGTAAGCCGACCTTCCAGCGCAACGCATTTCCAGTTGCTCGAACCACGACGATCGAATCGAGGAGGACACGAGACACCTGACATTTAATTCTAGGCACCGATGCCCGTTTCCCCAACCAAAACCAGACCAAGCACTGCTGGCAAAACTACGTCGATTACCACAAGTGCATCCTCGCCAAGGGTGAAGACTTCGCTCCTTGCCGCCAGGTACGATTCAATCCGGGTCACTCGCGCGTCCTCTCCGACTTCCGCTAACATGTGCGCACGCAGTTCTGGCACGCCTACCGCTCCCTGTGCCCCTCTGGTTGGTACCAGCGCTGGGACGAGCAGCGAGGTACGATATATTCTTATTTTTTTGCTCACACATAATTCCGCTCCGTACTGACATCTTCAACAACAGAGGGAGGAAACTTCCCCGTCAAGCTCGATGCTTAAGCAGCTCCCGTTAGTGGCCAATTGAGATGTATATTGAGAAGGGCGATTAGAATTGCGATGGACGATTCCATTGTACCACATGTGAACTAGAATACCAATTCATTTTGGCTTGGTTGATATCCATCCCTGCGCCCCTCCCTGGCCTATGTATATTGTTAGTGCTTTGTAACGGTGAAGTGGTCCAAGTTTATTTCGTCATCCTGTTCCTTCCGACTCGTATGATTTAAGAGGGAAAATACGGATCGTCACCAGGTTTTAATTGGCTCTAGGCCCATGAAAAAGATAACAAATGCTGAAACCTTGTCCAAGCTGATTGCTACAAATAATTATACACCATTTTAATGGAATTGGGTCATATGAACATCAAAAGCTGTCTCTTCGTCATAATTTTATGCTCCAATCAAGTGCTTGCAATTGCTGCTTAGAAACCCGGTGGTCAATCAACCAAACCACCACCCATTAAACGTGCAGGCGGGGAAACACAATGCGCCATGCCGAATCATACATAAGTCACATAATTGATGCTAGCCATTTACTCCTCATCAGACTCATCAGAGCTCATAAACTCATCCTCTTCATCAAAGCCAAAAAAGGCCCTGGCTTTCCCTTTACCCTTGTCGACTTTCTCAGGCTCGGATACCGGGGTTGATTCCTTTGACTTCGCTTCATCGTCATCCTCGGAATCGCCTTTTTCGATACTTTGATTCGAGGACATGGAGCCCTGTGATGTGGAAAGTAGGTTGTCCTGGTAGTTTCCTGACTTCATGGCGGCGAGAACAGCATCCCGAGTCCTCTCGTTGCACTCTTCCTTGTCCTCAACCCACTGTCCGTCCAGGCGGGCTTTGCTTCCTGATTTGATTTCCGCCTCCCTTCGCTCTGACATCTCAACAATTTGCTCCCATCTTTCCCTGCGCTTCTCTTTTTCTTTCTTTTCCATTTCTGGCTTGATAGCCAAATACTCCGCCAAGGCCTTGGCCTCAGTGACAGTGCGCAATCTTCGTCCATCCAGATTACGGCTTGATCCATTATCGTTTTGGTTATTCTTCTTCCTTGATGACATTCGACCACCAGCAGCGCGAAGTTGCGATCCGAAACCTCCCTTTCCACCGAACAAGGGGACACTCAAACGTAGTGACAAGAACTCGTCATCGTCATGGCGAAGATATCCGGCGACTGCGGCATCTGAAAATTCCGGTAACTGTTTGTTCGAGACCGTAGTCAAGATGAAGCGAGAGTTTGTGACTGGTAGGCGCTCGTCCAGTTGCTCTCGCAGTGCCGTAACTGTGGTTGTAGGTGGGAGCGGGAGTGATAGAGTCGGAGGCAGGCCCAGACCCCCAAAAGTGGTGACCAAAACGTTGATATTTGATGGAGCCATGATGAATGTTGATGGTATCTCGGTGTTGACTGTCCTACTCAACAACGTTGATGGATCGGAGGCGTAGAGATGCTAATAAATGATCGGGGTCCACTCGCGCCAACCACCTTACTTGCCACACCGACCCGAGGATGGTCTGCGCCACAATTATTTTCCTCTGCCCCTTATCCATCTTATCATCACGTGAGCTGAGCCACAGCCCACACGATTGGCACCCCACCTATCGAGGTGGGAATTTCAGGTAGGGTTTCCGCCCACAAGAAAATCCAATTTGAGACCAGGCACTTTCGCTGTCCCGTAACGTACAATCGTCCACTTCTTAGCATCGACCAGAAAGCAAAACTGCCGCCACGATGTTGATTCCCAAGGCCGACCGCAAGAAGATCCACGAGGTATATTCCCGTGGAAACATTACAAATCGATTGATCGATTGCTAACGTTTCCGCCAGTACCTCTTCCGTGAGGGTGTTCTCGTGGCCCCCAAGGACTTCAACCTCCCCAAGCACCCCGATCTCGACACCAAGAACCTCTACGTTATCAAGGCTCTCCAGTCCCTCAACTCCCGCGGCTATGTCAAGACCCAGTTCTCCTGGCAGTGGTACTACTACACCCTGACCCCCGAGGGTCTGGACTACCTCCGCGAATGGCTTCACCTCCCTGCTGAGATCGTTCCTGCTACCCACATCAAGCAGCAGCGATCGCATGCTCCTCCCCGTGGCATGCTCGGCGAGGGTGAGCGCGAGAGACGGCCATTCGGCCGTGGACGTGGCGGTGACCGTGGTGACCGTGAGGGCGGATACCGAAGACGCGATGCTGGCGAGGGCAAGGAGGGTGGTGCTCCCGGAGAGTACGCTCCTCAATTGTGAGCACACACCATTATATTTTGAAATTGGCTTGGGAGAATCTACAATACTGACAATTTGACAGCCGTGGTGGTTTCGGCCGTGGCCGTGGCGCTGCCCCCCCTTCCTAAACAACTCCGGCATGATAAAAAGACGTCACTCTTGAGATACATGGCGAACGGAATCGGCATGTAATCTAAAAATGGAGGGAAGGTTGACCATGAGTCGGTTTAGGTGGATTGATCGGCTACGTGGGATTCACCGTGGGAGTTTGGAGGTTAGAATCCTCGGAATGATTTGCATCAGGGTCAATGTTTACTCTCTACGAATTGTCAATGCGGTTCTTATGTGATATTGGTGACGACTTTCACACGTGCTCCCTATTTCTTGCTCAACTCTGGTGAGATACGCTTGGGTAGTTGGAATCTGTAATTCGTCAAGCTCCCCACGTGAGGAATTTCGAATTCAAGCTATTAATGTAAACCTCGTTGTATTAATTGTCAAGCAGCCCCGAAATGAGACCTGTTCCCGACTTTCATTGTCGATCAGCTGCCTCCAAATACTTCCAAGAGCCTCAAGCATTAAGAAGATCACAGCTCGCATCCGCTGCATCTGAGTTAAGGGGTCTCACTGGTGGTGTTGGTTGAACACTACCTATGTTTGGACAGCTCAACAGCCCACTTCCGAATAGCTCGTCTATACGAGCTTGTAGCGCTAGAAAACGTTCGCTCTATAGGTTAACGCAAAATGCCAAAACCTTTGGTTGCTTCAAACCTTCAAACCTTTGTATTTCAACCCTCGTTGCAATCTTTGGCAGCATTGAATCCCGAAACTAATATAGCTCCTACCTCATTGTCCAGTGTCAGTGTGTTCATACTAATCATTTCTGCACAGAAAGCCACCAGCCGGAAGACAGCTGCAGCAATCGCTGATCTCAACAGCAGATAGAGAGCCCTGGGTCACTGGGTCAAGTCCGTAGCGATCGCTCATCTTGGTCATCAACAGCTAGGTCGGCTCCCTACGAAGTGACTGCGCCTACCTATGGATGCCAGCGAGACCAGCTAAACATCAATCGCTTGTTCTCGGAGTAGGATTCACAGCGATCACTCATCAATCAGTAGGTAGACAACTATGTCAGCTCCCTACACCTTAGCGAGTAATTGGAGAACAGCCAAGCCAAACTTATAGCGACCGCAGGTTGTTACACAAGACAGAGAGGTTAGGCCCGCGACGATCTCTCGTCTTAATACCTAACAAACAGCTAGCTCGGGTCTCTAGCTATCGTTCATCTGGTCTAAACTCGTGACCACAGGTGCCACCTGGGCCGCTACAGACACCACAGAATAGATAGGCAAGTCGCAGAGGGGACTGTTCTATCCCACTGAGAAAGAAGAGGATAATAATAGAGAGGCACCGAGTTGATCTAGCGAACGCTGGATCTGGAAAGTTTCGACTTCAAGGGTCTCAGACACTCATTATATACCTCATAAGGACAGACCAAGTCCACAGCGATACCGAACTAGGAACAACCAGAAGCGTCCAGGCGGCCAACAAGGCGTATGTTGCCTTAAGTTATCGGCCATATGTGTGACACTCCTGCTTAACAACGAACATAAGCTTGTCGCATTACCAGGCTTGTCAATAGTAGGATAATAAATAATATATCGCAACAGCACCAGGAAGCATCACAACGGTCAGAGGATACATGACTAGCAGCAGAAGGGCAATCAATGTAAGTAGAGAGAGGATTTCTGCTTGGATGTGTATAGATCGATTCACGCCCTATAAAATATCCATGTATAAAGCAGACTGTTTCTAGATGAAGCCATCAGTCAGTTCACCCCTCGATCTCTCAGAGTTACTATCATTTTAGGAGGCTAGCCATTAGATGTATTGTTGCATTTTTGTCTCTCCGGTAAGGGGGCGCGGAGACGTGACAACCATCACAGAGAAACGCCTATAAATGAGGACGTCTCTACCATCAGCCGGTGGCATCGTTACTTATTCTTTGGTCCTAAACGGCTTCGAAGCCTATGACTATATTGAAATTACATGTAGAGTTGGTTGTTCTCCAAGGCTCTACATACTCATGCACCTTTCCTTCAGTACTGGGCCGAGAAGTTTTCTACAACGGCATGGATTGTCGATCACGGGATGAGGCGGGATATTGAAGCAAGACCAACGAACATTAAATTAAATCGAAATAAAAATTTATCTACTATTGACTTGGTTCGACCGGCGGGAGGGCACCCTCGGCGGCGGCGGCCCAAGGGTGGCGGCGGCATCCTTGGCGGCGGCTACGGCGCGGGGGGTGCCGGACACTCGGCGCACACATGGCCGAGTTTTTTGCACTGCATGTGTCAGTAAATGGTTAACTGAGAATAATCATGGCAGACAAGCATATTCTTACATTCCAGCACTTTGGCCGGTGGTGGTGGTTACGACCGCCAGGAGGGACTGAAGGCCCAGTCGCCTGCCGTAACCTTGCGGCCATGTCCACCAGGACAGTAAGTGTTCTCTCCTAAATCAGTTTGTTAGACTATACAGTTCAATTAAGAGTTTGGATCACTACTGACGTCTCTTCCATTGGCCCGCCGCAAACTTGCGGCCAAGTCCGCCAGGATCGAAATTGTTCTCTCCTAAATCAATTTGTTAGACTAGACTAGACTATTAAGCTCATTTGGAACACTACTTACGTCTCTGACCATTGGGCCGATTGTCTGTTGCTTGGAGGGTTGTGTCGACTGTCTGTTGCTTGGTGGGTTGTACCGGCTCTCTGTTGCTTGGAGGGTAGTGCCGACTGTATATTGCCTGGAGAAGGGAAAAGAGAAGATGGACATCGAAGGAACTTCGAGCCTGTTTTATTCTTCAAGGTAGGTACGTACCGACGTACTGTTACTCTTTCTCAACAATTGGCCATATGATGCACACTTACTAAAATTCCATGCTGTTGTCTTCGGGTCGAGCAAGGTGCCCCGCCCAATGATGGGCTGCAATGGATGGCGAGGCAAGTGCCAGGCGTTCGCGATAGGTGACGAAAGGTACCTACCTACGTATCTTGTACCATCCTTCCCAAGTTCTTGACTACGAATTCCACTGAAAAAAATCTTTGGGATGCCGAAACGGAAGGAACGATTGTACTTCGAGGCGGGGATGGTTGGGCGAAGTCGAGTTCGCGGCAACCAAGTACAATAGAATGAGCGGAATGTAGCCACACCTTAATATTTCAATAGTATATTTCTATCTTCTTTTTATTTCACCAACAATTCATCCTAATGTGTAGGATTGGCCAGTCTTGACCTTGCCGCGGAGATTGTGTGTTTGGGTTGAAGGGCTCCCTTGTCTCCTCGGCGAGATTGACTGCTACGTACTGAACAACTGCAGACACACAACACATTCGCGAATTGAGGGTATAAATGAATAAATGTATATAGATCTAATGCTGCCTCATTTCAAGTTGAGAAACTGCCTGCTAGGTTGAGTGTCGGGATCATGTTCCAGGGCAGGCACCAGGCGATGAAGACAACCGAGGGCAATCATACATAGGTACCTACCTTGGTACTTTGAATTTCCAGCTGGGATTGATACCAAAAATGATAGTTCCACGTCTTTATCCACGCAGTAGAGAAGAGAAAGATGATCTCGTCCTCCATCACCTACTAATTCTTTCCGCATATCCGAGGCCTTCACTGTCGCGGGTAGTGGAATTAGGATGTCTTCCACTCAATCTTTCTCTTCAGTTTTGTCCTTGGTAATGAGGTCGCAGGGCTCCCAAGTCTCGTCTCGTTCTCGTAAACCTACTGACATATCTGAACTCTCGCAAATTAACCACCCTACAGCTTTGGAACGATGCTACACATGCTCCCATGCCCTTCAATTTCCTAGCAAATCGATAGACATTCCATCTTGTGGTTACCAAGCCTAGGTATGATTCGCTAATGCTACAGTGGACGCCTCATAGTTGTTGTTTCGTAGCTACTAACATTACCTACGCCGGCTTGGTGACATAGATGCAAGATCTTAAGAGTGAACCCCTCCATGTGCTTTCAGCTAGTCGTTTGTAATATATGCTGTATTTAAATCACTGGTCGTTACTATTATGTAGCTATTACATGTAGGCTTGCCGAAGATGCATGATTCTACCCCCTCTAGGCTCAGCACCCTCGACCATGGCTAAGATGCTGACGACATCATGATCCCAATTGCCTTCCACACCGGTCTTGTTAGTCGGAAGGAAAGTTCTCTTCGTTCTCACCAAGAGACGCGTTAACCCTACTTGTGAGGTTAAAGAAGCAATACTCAAAGTTACCTATGCTAACTAGTTACGAGATGTTGGCAGAAGCTTATACAATGCCCCCACAAACCTACCTACCCATAAAGGTAATGATCAAAGTCAAACGCAAGATCCAATGTTGTTGTTCCTTTCGCAATCTTATATAGGTATTTACCTCCTTAGGTAGGTCAGCCCCTTCAACTGCGCCGTGCCAACCCCTTCGAGCGTCGTTCGGGGCATCAATACAGGTATGTACATGTAAGGTACCTAGTCAGTACCTACCTAGGTACCTAGGCTCCTACCGAAGAAATGATCACATGGTTGAGAGAGGCATTTTAATCTGCCTACAGCGCCAGTGTTTGCTTATTTTCTTCTCTGACCAAGATTGTCTCTCCGACCGAGATCGGCTGTTTCGGTAAGGGCATCTCTCCCAAGACCGTCTCCCAGTAACAGGTAGGCTAATAATCACGCTCATGGCTACAATACCAACTCCAATTACAGATAGAGATAGCCCTAGACTTCGTGGACCCCTCTCTTTGGACCGTGGTGACTGTTTGGAATGCGTTTGTCGCCACCTTTACTTTCTTGTTCATGGTTTGGATCGGGTATAAATGGTTACAAAGGAAGACCATCCGAGATATGAACCGGAGAGCTGGGGTCTGGCGTCCATGATCCCCGAAGGAGGGCCGGACAACATGCTGCCATAAACACAGGGAACGTCAAGACACCCAGAGAGCGAATAACTGTAGTAATCAAGGAATAATGCTTGCTACTATGTGACAATAAATAATACTACTTATTTATGAATGACTAAATTATTATTGTGGCCCGTATTGGAAAGTTGATTTCTTTATGCCAGCCTTATCAACCTTGCAGTATATTATATTCGAGAGTGGGGTTAGACCTTGCTTTAAATAAGATTATGCTCGACCTCATCATAATCTTTGAATCCCGTGCGATGCCGACATGCCGATTTTTGAGATTGGATACTAATTACACATTCATGACGCATACCAGGTAGTTATCTAGCATAAGAAAATCAAATCCGAATTGAGAAGCAATACAACTCGTTTTAGGTAATAGACAATGGATTTTTTGGCATGTCCAGCGAGGATGCCCTGCTGTAGGGAGCCATGTGTCATCCCAGGGGGAAAGTGGGGAGCTTAAACGCCGGATCGGGTTCCGCTCTCGCTCGTGTTTGGAAGTGCAATACGCATACTGATCAATGGCCCGTCAACCACGCTATGTCGACATCTCACCCAGCCGCATTAACCGGGCTGGACGAATGCCCTTCCTTTCCATTCGCTCGAAGCAAGAGCCTGCCATGCTGGCAGGGTCTGATGTCGCCGTCCGTGCATTGGAGAACGTGCAGCTAGCAATCCATCTCCGTCTGTGAGCACAGTTCTGGTAGCTACCTCCATCGATTAAGTTGTGCAAGCCGCCAGCATCAACCGCCGATCCCACCTGCCCCAACCGAGACTGTCGACCACTCACGTCGGCAATGGCTCCCTGGCCATCTCAGAAACCAAGCTCGTCAAGTCACGTTCCAGCCCACCAAGCATCGACACTCGGCGTGCTTGCTGACACAAGCTCGTCCGACCACGACCTCCATCCCCCAACGCCGAATCGCAAAGCAGCTCACTCGCGTTCGATGAGCAACCCATTCCCTTCGCTCTTTAAGAAGAAGAAGGCTGGCTCCGCTACAGAATCTACGACGCACCAGGACAGCAAGGATCATGCTGTCAGTATGGCACCTCGGCAGGATGGGGATACGCAGAAGAGAGGGACCCCGATGAATGGAAGGGAATTCGCAACGGGGACCTGTATGACGTGCGGAGCAACTGTCAGGTGGCCCAAAGAGCTGAACGTCTTCAAGTGCACCATATGCGTCACAATCAATGACCTATCTCCGCTGAAGAATCTCAGGATTCAGTCTAGTAGCGGTGCAGCACCAGCTAATCGGAATACAAACAAAGGCACCACCCCCTCGCACCGTCCCAGTATGTGCTTCAGTTGCATGCGTCGCTGCTATACCTGTGCGTACCTTGAGCTAACAGTTATCAAGCGGCCCATTTATCCTTAGATTATTCCAATAAGGTGATCCGACAGAGTATTCATCGATATCTGAGCTCGAAGCTGTGTAAGCCACGCCAAGAGCTTCTCTCCCCCAAACAAGGCCAACCCAAACCCAGTTTGCAAACACCGGATGGCAAACAGGAGGAGAATACTATCCGAAACCCTCCAGAAAACGGCAAAGTTCCATCCCCTGGCCTCTACACATATGTATTCGATGAAGAGCCAACCCTCCATCCAAACCCTTCTCGCAGAGGCAATGCGAGTGTTAGATCGCATTCTACATCCTTTCCGGAGAAACCTTCTTTCCAAGGCATGGCGTGGAATGGTGCACCAAGAGCTCAAACATCAAAACCGTTACGGGGACCTCGCGATGATCCAAAATGGATATTCAAACAGGTGGAGGACTATCTCCTTAGTTGCTTCAGCTCATTCAACGGCATCAATGCCTCTTTTTATACTCGCCACCCCCGGCATACTCCCAGAGTAGGAAGTGAGTCATGGGGACGACGGCAACAGCCCATCGCAAACCAAGAGTCTAGAGCTCCAAGCAAACCTGAATTCCAACCCAATGTATATGAGCTGGACCCGAAGTTGCTGTTGCTGGGAGATTTCGCCGAGAATGGGACATGGTGGGCGGGGGCTCAAGAAGAGGGTGAAGCCACAAAGCAAGCAGCATCGCAAAGGGGAAGCGACACCAAGCCACCACCTGCGTTACAAAAATCGCCCTTGATCAACTGGGATGAGTTAGCCTCTTGGTATACTGGAGTCATCAATGCCGCCCAGACTTGGTTCAATGTCTACGAAGACTTGTCTAGGCAGCCGAACTTCGTAACGCCGACCGATGCGACCCTGCAAGATATTGAAAAGGATCTTTTGCAGGCCCAGGACCACTTGCAGCGAGTGCTACTGAAAGCCACCGAAAACTTCCTAAAACGGCCTGGCGGTCGAATTACAGAAGCCTTGGACTTGAGGTTTCTCTTCGTCATAGCGGAAAATCCGTTGTTTTCTTCTCACGTCGACTTGTTCTCGGGTCTTCTGCAACCAGAGGAGAAAATAAGCCCAGGGCTTATAAATCAAGAGGGGGTGGAAGCCCGGTCTGGTCCCTTATTCGGACATCACTCTGGTATTATCAAACGCATTGTCGGGCTTATATCCAACGCTCCTGATGAATGTCACAACCAGATTATAACCTGGCTCACTCGTACCACTAGTTCGAGGTTCAATCGATCAAAGGATCTCATTTATGAATTTCTTTCGTACAGGATGATACGACAAAGCGAGAAGAAGCAAGAAACAAAAATTGATGTCACGGCAGGCTTGATCCCTGAACTCCAGACAGGCAGGTCTGGGGCGTACTTACATGATGAGATGAAAAAGCCCAAGTCCCAAGCTAAGAAAGCAATGTATTCGGAAGATTGGCAAATACGATCTGCCGCCCGAGTTCTTTCTCTCTGGTTCGCAGCAAACAATGTACCCTCCGTTCGCCGCAGTGACGATGCAGCTTCAAATGAAAACCATACACTTGGCAGTCGTGGAGGTGGGCATTCTCGCGGTCACTTGCAAAACAGTGACTTTTATCATTCAATGATTGACAATGTCGATCTTATTGCCGACTTTGAAATGTGGGAGTCGAGAAGAGGCAAATTCACCTTTTGCCAGTATCCGTTCTTACTAAGTATTTGGGCAAAAACGCAAATTCTAGAGCATGACGCCCGGCGGCAAATGGAATCCAAAGCTCGAGATGCCTTCTTCAATAGCATCATGACTAGAAGAACCATTAGCCAATATCTAACACTTGACGTCCGGCGAGAGTGTCTCGTTGACGATAGCCTCCAGGCCGTCAGTGAGGTCATAGGGAGTGGAAGTGAAGACATCAAGAAAGGTCTGAGGATCTCATTCAGAGGGGAAGAAGGTATCGATGGTGGAGGCTTGCGAAAAGAGTGGTTCTTGCTCCTTATCCGAGAAGTCTTCAATCCGGATCATGGTAAGTATTTACTCCTCTGTAGATACGATCACATTATGGCTATATTAACACTAATAATATCAGGGATGTTCATATATGACGAAGATTCGCAGTACTGCTACTTCAACCCGAATTCATTCGAGACTTCTGATTCATTTTTCCTCGTCGGAGCGCTTTTTGGCTTGGCGATATACAACTCTACAATCTTAGACGCAGCGCTCCCAGGCTTTGTTTTTAAAAAGCTTCTAGCAGCAGCACCAGCGAATTCCATGAATCAGCCCGCATACTCACGAAAGTTATCGAAGCCCAGTCTGGAGGATTTGTTCGAGTATCGACCGCGACTGGCCCAAGGTCTCAAAAAGTTGCTTGACTATGATGGTGATGTAGAGGCGACTTTTTGCTTGGATTTCGCCATTGACGTCGACAGATACGACACAACTATGCGGGTGCCGCTTTGTCCCGGCGGCGAAAGCAGGGCAGTCACAACAGCTAACCGCCGAGAATATGTCGACTTATATGTCAAATATATTCTCGAAACGTCAGTTACCCGCCAATTCGAACCGTTCAAACGAGGGTTCTATACGGTTTGTGGGGGAAACGCTTTCTCACTCTTCAGGCCTGAAGAAATTGAGCTCCTTATCCGGGGTTCTGATGAATCTCTAGATATCTCAACATTACGGGCTGTTGCTGTGTACGACAATTGGGAAACCAAGCAGCCAGATGGCTCAGAACCTGTCGTCAGTTGGTTCTGGGAGCTGTTTCAAGAAGCATCTCCCAAAGACCAGCGCAAATTATTATCGTTTATCACAGGCAGCGACCGTCTACCTGCGACTGGGGCATCCATGATGCCCATCAAACTATCATGTCTTGGCGAGGACCCTGGAAGGTACCCAATTGCAAGAACATGTTTCAATTTGTTAAGTTTATCAAAATACCCTTCGAAGGAAGCGCTCCGGACCATCCTCTGGAGGGCGGTGTATGAGAGCGAGGGCTTTTGGCTAAAGTAATGCTGCATATGAGGAAATGACAGACGAAATGTCCATGACCCCAAGAATGAGTTTGGAACAAAATAAAACCCGAACGTGCTAGGATCAAATAAGACTTGGATGAGATGCCTTAGAATTAGCTTCAAGCATTAAATACAAAGTACATATGTAGATTCTTCATACATTGAACACACGAGCAAGTCAACGCTCACATCGTCAATACACAGCCGCTAGTCCGGCTTGTCCATACAATACATCAAGTTATCATACAAGTTTCAAAATATTATTCCGCTTCAGCCAAGCCTCCCGCGGCTCGCGCCCGCTTCAGCATGTCTTCCTCTCTCTTCTTGGCCATTCTATCGGCCAGGACACGAGCACGAGATACCTGAGACTCCTTCTTGAGGGCCTTCAACGACTGTATCTCTTCAATCTCTTCCTTCGTTGGTGCGATAGTTAAAGCTCTCGTCTCTGCAAGGAAGAACTCCAAGATTGTCGAGGAATGCTTGTTCTTCATATCAATCGTAACAACGCGCTCATCCGCAGCAGGAGGGGTGGCTTTGGAGAGATCAGCCCATGATGATGCGGGCTGGACGGGTGCTGGGTCGGAAGTGGGAGAAGCGTCGGGTTTGCGCAGGTAGATGGTCATGATGGGTGGCCGCTCGTTGTTGGTGTGGCGGTTGACGATCATGGGGACCGAGGGGTTGTGGTACTTGATTCGAGGCAGGATTTCCTTCCAGAACTTCCTAGAAGCGACAAAGCCGTTAGCTTCCGTCCAGAACCGAGATGTTGTCTGGAGATGACATACTTGGGTCCCATGTGGCCGTTATTCAGCCTGAAGGCGAAGTCCATGTGTATTCGGGTGACCTCCGGGGGGAGGATCGCGGCTCCGGGACCGCATTTCAAGTCGATGAGCTGTTGAATCGTGAGCAACGAAGAATCTCTGCCTATTAGGAATCTAACTGGCGACGACATACAGCCTGTGCAGGGCAGAGTTAGCATTGAGCGGGAATTGGAGGGCGGGGTCGAGCTTACTCTTCTCAATTTGTTCCACCGGATGCCTAAAGACCTCATGGTGAATAATGTGTGTCCTGGGTGACTGTGGTTGTGGTCTGCTGTCCCCGATGCTCAATCGCAAAGCTCCGGCTTGCATCACATTAGAATTTGATACCTCGAATTCAACGTCACGTGTAGATAAATGGAATGCCCCACCTTAAAGTTGGGCTGTTGCGAATTGTCTTTCAGCAATCAGCGAACTGTTAACTGTAGAAAAAGCCATCATATATAGTTAATTATATATCCTTACTTTCAAGATAGATGTCTTATTGATTACTATTTTGAATCATCTATACTATTAGATTTGGGCAGCAAAGGGTCGGGTTTTAATCCATGATACTAAAAGCTGAACAACTTTACGCGGGTTTGATGAATGACACACGCGACAGGCCCGATAAGATAAGTGGCTAAAAAAATATCGACCATCTCAGTGAGGGACGGCCGACTATGCCACGGCGACTTACACACATACGCCCTGGTCTGAATAGTACCAGCGAGAGATGCATCGAACTGTAGCAGCGCGATGCTTGAATCGAAGTCTCAGCGGTAGAACTCTACCGTCGAGTGCCAGAGCTCTCTGTTCATACCCTGTCACCTCAAGACTTTCTCCCACCTCATTGAAGGCAAAGATCAGACCTTTAGCCTTAGCCACCTCACCATGTCAAACCCGACAAAGTCATAAAATTACTTCGCAACATGTGTCTGAAGATTCAGCAACTCTGGGTCCCCAAGATCCAGGAAAGCTCAATCGAAGACTGCCGATCAACTGCAGTGGTTGTGGAGCGTTCTCCCAAACAAGTGATCCCAAAGAGCTAGGATTCTTCGATCTCACAAGCAAAAGGGTACAAAACTGGTTGCATCCGAAGAAGAATCAAGAGAGAGAGATCTCGGAAACGGAAGAGGATCTGGTTATATCCGAGGCGCTGAAGTCACTAGGCAGCGATCAGCTCGAGGCTCTAGGCTTAGACCGGAGCTCGTTCATATCGGACGAGGTGCAACCTACGAAGCCAGGTATGTACGCGCACTTCACAGGAAATATCCGGCTCATCGTTAATAAATGTTCCAGTAACCGATGACAAGCAGCCCGTCTGTGATCGCTGTCATGACCTCACACACCATGGAAGTTCAGGTGCAGCGGCGGCAGTGCCCATGTTCCATCCCACCGTCGACTCTTTGCGCGAGACGATCGAGGAGTCGCCATTCAAATACAACCACATCTACCACGTGATAGATGCCGCTGATTTCCCCATGTCTCTTATCCCTCGCCTCAATGTTCTGCTCGGCGACATCCCCTTGCGAACCCGAAACCGTCGGTCGCGCTCTGCCAAGTACATCAGAGATCGCAAAATTGATCTGAGCTTCATCATCACACGCGGAGACCTTCTTGGACCAACGAAGGAGAATGTGGACAGGAACATGCCATATCTCCGAGAGGTGCTGCGAGAGGCTCTCGGTAGAGTAGGCCACCGAATCCGTCTCGGAAATGTCAGTTGTGTCAGCGCGAAACGGGGATGGTGGACAAATAAAGTAAGGGAAGAGATATGGTCCCGCGGAGGGGCCAACTGGATGGTCGGCAAAGTCAACGTCGGTAAAAGTCAGCTTTTCGAGGCAGTATACCCGAAAGGCAGGGTGGTTGACCAAGCGGCCCTCAGAGATACGGTTGTGTCGATGTACCCCCGAGATACTCCCCAAGACCAGGAGATCTTTGAAGATGAGGAGGAGGATCGTTATAAGAACTTGAATATCGCCAAGCTCCTCCCTCCAGCCCAGCCTCTCAAGCAGTACCCCGAGATGCCCATGGTGTCATCGCTCCCCGGCACCACTGCATCTCCAATTCGGATACCCTTTGGTAACGGGAAGGGAGAGTTGGTTGATCTTCCGGGCCTTGCTCGCGGTGACCTGGAGCTGTTTGTGAAGCCAGAGCATCGCCAAGGGTTGATCATGAAGAGTCGCATTGTTCCGGAGCAGGTGAATGTCAAACCTGACAACTCCCTGCTCCTTGGTGGCGGGCTCATTCGCATCACGCCCCGAACACCTGGTTTGACCTTCTTAATGTACAACTTTACGCCATTAAAGGAGCATTTGACCAACAATGAGAAAGCGGTGGAATTTCAAACCCAGACCAGAGTATCTCCTGGAGTGGAGAACATAACACTTCCGGGTGTGGGCGAGAAGATGCAGCATGCTGGAAGCTTCAAATTGCGTTATGATGTGACGAGAAGAAGAGCCGGCCCCTTGACAAACAAGGATGCAGTTGGGCTGAAGGTTGAGCAGCTCCCCTTCCGTGTCCTCTCCCTGGATATTCTTATTGAGGGCGTGGGATATGTCGAGGTCGTAGCTCAGATGCATGCCAAGGCGCTCGAGCCACCAAGGAATCGCGACTTCACAACTTCTCGGCCGATTCAAGAACCCGCAAAGCAGGAGACTTCGAGTAGCGGGCAAAATTCATCCGATGATCCCTTCGAACGGATGATGGAACAACGGCGCGGCTCAGGCAGCGAGCCTCCAGTTGTGCCACGGCCGAAAACTAATCCCATGCCGGAGCCGGAGCCAGAGCGGGAACTGTATGAGCCTCCTTGGCCTGTGGTCGATGTCTTTACCCCTGAGGGACGCTTTGTGGGATCAAGGAAGCCAATTGAGGGATGGCTCAACAACAAGCCATTATTAAAGGCAAAGCATAAGAGGGGCCGTCCTCGAAGAAGTATGAAGGGACAGAAGAAGAAAGAAAAGACAGAATTGAGAGCATACGACTAGGCTTCACGAAGTCGATGCTCATGTAAAAACGCGGATTTAATATGTACAAAAGCTGATGACATCACTCATAGCGCTGGCGTTGATCGACTTCGAATTTTCAAAGCATATACATCCCTACTTTCTAAATAGAGAAATATAATCAATAGATAGAAGCTTTCAAGATAATTCACCATCTATACTGCTAAACTTGCAGCACATGGAAGGACTTCAGGGATGATTGGGGGTTGCCGACACTGACCGCCCACTATGCCGATGATTGCATGACAAAGCGTCACCTGCCGCGGACTCATATTGTTTTTTGCCCCTCCAAAATTCATCGAGATGGAACTTCATACGACAAATAATTCGCCCAAACAACCTTTTTCGCCATAGATACTCTCGCTTTTCCGTTTTATTGCGCTTATTGACTCCATCTTTAATACACACCCCTCAGCTAGACGGCCACGACCGCGACGAAATCAACGAGGAACAAGGATAGACCGCCCCGCCATGTCTCTCCCGCAACAACGAGCGGCTCCTTCGACATCCGCACCTTCACAAACCTCCACAGCGACACCTCAAACTCAGACCCAGAACCCCACCAGAATACTACGTTTGCGCGGTGACGGAACTTCCACAGGGCGATCAGTACAATGGGCCGAGGATGTAGTAGATAACGAAGGTCTAGGGCGCAAAAGCTCCAAAGGTTGGTCTCCCCTCCTCCGCCACCGGGAACCCAGTCATGGCTGACGCCGAATACAGTCTGTTGCATCTATCATAAGCCGAAGGCTGTCGACGAGTCCAGCGACGAATCGTCATCCGACTCCGACTCCGACTCCTCCTCTGACGAGCCGGACGCAGATCACCGCGGGAAGGGCAAACAGCACGGCCATGACCATCGCCGTTGCGGTAGGAAAGGAAAGCGAGACGGGAAGGGGAACAAGAGAGCGCCGAGTCCCAACGCTTATGAGAAGGTACCTAAACCCAAGCCAAAGGCAGGTGAACCAAGCGGCAGCAAGCCCTAGCTGTATTTCACTACGGTAGAGGGTGTTGTAGTATACCATATTACGCGAAATGAACGATACAATAATATACTGGCGTTTCATGGCGGACAGGGAGGAAATAAAATAAATTACTTTGGTTTTGGTAGTAAACCTTTTCATTGTGGCATTATACAGCGAAGGGGCAGCATGGCTAAGGGTTTTGGTTGGGGTGTTTTGGGGTAATCTTTACCATTGACTTAGCAATGGCTAGATTAATATTTAGATCTTCGATCTGGGTATCTTGAAGTGGTGAACTGGACGGTGTACTTGCAGGAACTTCCCTGCGAATGACCCCATTATCCGGATCCTTCGTCCGCATTCTTCTTGTTACTCTGGACCACGAAGAACCGACCGGCCTTCTTGGAGGCCGTGCTCAGTGCATCCCAATTCTCAGCCTCTGAGTCTAGCTTGCTTCTAACCCTACGAGACCGCTTGTAATGTCCAACTAATTCCTCTTCATCGAGCAGCGTCTTTAAGGTATCCAAGGATACTGTGTTCTCCCGCGTGCCTTGCTCTGTCTCGTCGCGGATGGCCCGTAGCGGTTCGACTCCCGTGGTTTCCACTCGCTGCACCGCCCGCACGAACCGGAGCTGGCTCTGCAGCGTCTCGATCATGGAGTCCTCCTCGGCCTTGTCCCTGGGCGGGGGCAGGGCGGCCAGGCGGAGGAGGTGGTTGAGCTGTGCCGGCGAGATCTTCTCGCTGGGATTGTCGGCCGAGCCAAGGTGTGAGCGGACTGACCATGAAGGCTTCGAGAGGATGGTGTGTGCAGTTGAATGTGAATTGGTCGATGAGGCGTGCTTTGCGATGATTTGGCTTCTGAATGCCTGCCGTATGGCGGCTCGACAAGGTGCGCATATAGACATTGCGGTGCTTGCTTGGCGTCACAGGTTTTGGTGATCCCAATGCTGCTGAGTTCTGGTTTGCCGTCTCATTTGAAGATATTGAACTTTGTTTCTACAGGTGGGCTGGCCTACCCTATACACTGGATCTTCATCTTCTATACCATATATCAGCCACACCTCACAAGCGTTTAATGGCAAGTGTATGTTTTCGTTTAATTTGGTTGTAAAATTTCTGAGGCTTGGGGACTTGCTAGGTATCACTGCAATTCGTTATTTAATACGGTGATGTTCAGAGCTTCTTTTCATCAACGAGCTATAGCCCGTGGGTACATAAGTGTGTCTGCTATTTCGGGCGAAAGACATGTACAGTAAACACAAACACAAATAGTAGAGCACGGAAGTTGTTTGACGTATGAAATACCGTTCGAAAAAGGATTCAGTTAACACACAGGAAATGATCATTGCAAATGCACTACTAAATATAGACTCTCTCTCTGATGAAGCTGTGACAAAGCCCCACATTGCCACAGCCTTGAGCAGTGTGGCGCAACGTGCTGGCGTCATACCCTATTGGCGGCAGCCTGCAAGTACAAGCTGATTGACATTCTGGCCAGCCAACCCCGTCTGATAGGATTCAAGTAATCGCTAGCAACTACCAACGCGGCGAGCTGTCAACAACAAATCCATTGCCTCTACACCTAATATTGACGAGCCGCAAACATGTCGCAAGATCCTCGTGCCCTTCTCCAAAAGGTCAACCGCTATCCAAAACCTCGCTGCCCCTCCCCCGCTAGAATAGCCGTAGCTGACCTCTTATCTCACAGGCCCAGAAGCAGCTGCAAGATGCCGGCAAGGGCTTCAGCTTTTTCGGTGGTCGCGAGGAGAAGTACCAAAATGCCGCAGATGCGTTCGTCGAAGCTGCGAATGCCTTCAGAATGCAGAGCCAAAGTAAGCCGATGCGTGGACCATCTCATGCTTCCTTCCCCTCACCCACGTCGGCCGGGACCCCAAGCAAGCGTTTTGTAACGATGAGGCGATGGATGGCTGACAAGAATTGAACCGATAGGTATTGAGGCCGGAAAAGCATTCGAGCAGGCCGCCGAGGTTTTCATCAACAACCTAAACGAGCCCGACGATGCAGCAAATGTATACGCCGACGCATTCAAGGCCTATCGCAAAGACGACCCGCAAGCCGCCATCCGCTGCCTGAACAAGGCTATCGACCGTTACTGCGCCAAGGGCAACTTCCGCCGTGCCGCCACCCACAAGGAGACCGTCGCTGAAATGTACGAGGAGCTGGGGGATGCCAAGAGTGCCCTTGCTGCTTACGAGGCAGCAGCAACTTGGTTCGAGGGAGACAATGCAAATGCGTAAGTGTGAAGCGCAAAGCTCCAACGACTAGTAAATCTAGAATCTGTTAGAGTGCTAACAATGCTTCAGCCTGGCAAACAAGCTCTGGCTCAAGCTGGCAGACTTGGCTGCCCGTGAAGAGGATTACTATAAGGCCATCGAGAACTACGAGAAGGTTGCACAGCAATCCATCAACAACAACCTGATGAAGTACAGCGTGAAGGACTACTTCTTGAAGGCAGGAATTTGCCACCTGGCAACAAAGGATCTGGTCGCCGCTCAACAAGCCCTTGAGCGATACGCCGAAATGGACCCGTCGTTCACGCAGCAGAGGGAGTTTATGCTTCTCAAGGACCTCCTCGACGCCGTGGAGGCCAAGAGTCAGGATCAGTTCACAGACAAGTTATTCCAGTTTGACCAAATCAACAAGCTGGATAACTGGAAGACGACTCTTCTGGTTCGAGTGAAAAATTCGATTGAGGAACCTGATGACGAGTTTGCTTAGGTTCCAACTAATGGACTGATTCTGCACGAGGTAAGCACGGGACGATGTCTGTATGGCATGAGGGAAGGACGCATTTTTATATTTATACGGGAGTTGACATTGGTTCTTTTCTTCTGTTGCGACATCATGATATACCTATGAAATATATGCCTGGCAACCCAGGGAGTTGGAAACCAGCTTATTAGACAATGAATCCACTCCTCGTTGCAATGCTCCTGAAACAAGCGTGCATGAGTTCAAAATTTTACTTTCTGATGAGTGCCATTTCATTTCCTTTACCAGGTTCTGGCGCATATCTTGGAGGCCTAGCAAATGAAGACTCAACACTCAGCGCTTGGCATGAAATCAACAGCCTCACATGAGACCAGTATGCTTATGTCGAACTTGCGGCTGAAGCCCATTCGTGGTGAAACATGTTGTTTTGTGACTTCAGAACATGTCGGCCGCTAGCAGATAGCGTGCATATTTCATGGAGATCTACGTGCGTCTCAAGTCTGGGTTTTGTTAAACCGGCGACGTGAAATGCTGTTTATTTGGACACCATGAAAAAATTGCATGTCAAAAACAGGGGATGTAGGCAAAACTATGGTTTTCCTCAACCTCACCAGCACAGAGCCTTGGAAAAGAGGGGTGGAATATAGCGCCTCGAGCAGCCGACCGCAAAGCTCAAGCCATCAGAAGATGACGAACTAGGCAATCGGAAGATCAGTCAATATTGGACCTGTCGACAAGATGGACACCATAACAGGTTGGTGATTCTATAAGTTATCGAGCTGTACAGCAATCGACCCTGACGTAAAGCAGAGGACCGCTGCACACAGATCCGGTTTGTAGAGAAGAAGAAAACAAAACAAAAATTTGCCTGCAAAGAAAGAAAGTTGTATAGGCTCGGGGTGGGTCTTGCACGTGATTCAGCGAGGCTGGGTGTGGGTCTTTTCTGTTGCCTGAATCCGATAGCTTATCTGCGCAGACGACAAGTAATTTGCCTACCTATCGATCTATCAACTACAGGGTCAACGCGATGGACGCCGCAACAATCGAGGAGACGAACCGCATCCGGGTCTCGCTGGGCCTGAAGCCCCTGCCGGTCCCGGGAGCAGAGGCACCAGCTTCGGCGGACACTAAGGACGGAGATGATGATGCTCCCAGCACCGTCGAATCGCGCCAGGCGCAATCCTACGACAACTACAACAAGGTCATGGAGGCAGAGGCTGCGAAGAAGAAGCGCGAGGAGAGGAACGCCGCCGTGAAAAAGGCACGAGAGAATGCTCAGCGACTGGCCAAGTTGGAAGGTAAAGGCTTGGGCGAGGAAGACGACAAAGGCGACCTCGACGCGAAATCTTGGTTGTTGGGACAGAAGAAGCGACAGAAGAAGATCGACAAGGCGCGGAAAATTGAAGAGGAGCTTGCGGCAGCCGAGGCCGAAGCCGCAGCAGCAGTACAATACACATCGAAGGATCTTGCCGGGATCAAGATTGCCCACGATACATCTACGCTCCTGGATGGTGGGGATCAAATCCTTACCTTGAAGGATACCACAATTGAAGAGAACGAGGAAGAGGGTGACCAGCTGGAGAACATCGATCTTCGGGACCAGGAGAAACTCTCAGAACGGCTAGATCTGAAGAAGAAGCGACCCGGATATAACCCGAATGACGATGAAGATGGTGATACTGGCATCCTTGCGCAATACGACGAGGAGATTATGGGAAAGCAAGGGAAATCCTTCACCCTTGGAGAAAATGGAATGATAGGAGATATTGCTGATATCCTGGACCAGCCAGCACCAACAACCCTTGGCAAGCAAAGTGTTAGTCTGGATGATATTGTTGGCGACGGGCCTATATCCTCGGATTACCTTGCACCGTCGGAAATCAAGGTCAAGAAGCCAAAGAAGAAGAAGAACAAATCGAGGCAGAAACATATTGACAACGAGGATGATGTATTATTCAAGGAGCCTGTAGTCGCCGAGAATGATTCTATGGATATAGACGGAAGCGCACCCCCAACCGGCAAGAAACGGAAGCAGGAGATCGACATAATAGACGACGATGAAGACCTCCAGGCATCTCTGGCAGCTCAAAGAAAGCTCGCACTGAAGAAGCGCAAGAAGACTCGATTTGAAGATCTTGCTAAGCAGCTGAAGGAACAAGAGGACGATTCACTGCAAGACGATACCCAAAATGGGACAGGAATGGTCATCGGTGCAATTTCCGAGTTTGTTTCTGGGCTCACCAAGCATGAGGACGATGAGGAAGCGGAAGAGAGGAGACAGAAGAGGCGAAAGCAGGCCACCAAAACACCCGAAGCTGCTGAAGATCAAGAGATGGAGGATGCTCATGACAAGTCGGTACAATTCGATATCCCAGAGCCTGAACCCGTGGAAGAACAGGAGGATGGTACCGGGATTGGAGAAGAGAAGCACATTAGCGACGGAATGGGTGCTGCCCTTTCACTCCTCCGTGAACGTGGCCTGATTGAAGAAGCCAGAGGAGAAGATCAAATCAAGCTTGAACGTCAACGTCAAGAATTTCTTCACGGAAAGGCAGTCCTGGAACGGAACTTTGAGGAGCAAGCCTTGAGACAACGTGAGTATGACAGACAGCATGCCAAAATGGACAAGATGTCAACCAGAGAGAGGGAGGATTATGCACGACACCAGAACCAGCGGCGAGATCACCAACAGGCAAAGAAGATGGTGGACCTTTTCCAATCAACTTACAAGCCCACCTTTCAGCTCAAATACACAGACGAGCATGGCCGTGAGCTTAATCAGAAGGAGGCTTTCAAGCAACTCAGTCACGAGTTCCACGGCAAGGGTAGCGGCAAGGAGAAGACGGAGAAGCGACTGAAGAAGATTGCAGATGAGAAACGACGTGAAGCTCAGAGCATGTTCGACGCTACGCAACACGCAGGAATGAGCATGGCCACATCCCAACAGCTCAAGAAGCGCAAAGAAGCAGGAGTGCGACTCGGATAGCAGCAGTAAATTTACTTGGAGTTCAGGATTTGCGGTTTTTGGGCAACGCATTGTGAAAAAGGTGCATTTCCCTTCATTTTACCATTCTTATTAGCTTTAATCCCTGCTAACAACGATTCCTGGTGGTTCAGATACCCCGGTTTGTACAACTTCTCTCTTGTCTTTTTTTTTGACGCTGTATTTCTAACTTCCTCAACCCTTTCGTACCGTAACCACCTTGAGCGGTTTGAGGTTTTTCTCTTGAGGCAACGGGCCCTTTAAAATGTGCCCCTTTCCTGTTCGATGAGACAACTCCTTATTTCCTATTGTACAATGTGATCATCACGTCGACGATCAAGTGTATTTGCCTGCCCCATGCTTCCGAGATTCGAATGGTCATCAAAACTGGCGTAGAGTAAGCTGTATTAGAGTTGCAGCGTACACCTCTCGTGTTATCAAGTCTGCCCTAATGTAAAGGTACAGTTTATGGTGGAAGGTAAGCCATTCAAATCGGGTTTCTTTGATACTTGATGATACACACTGTCACACTTTATGGATTGGCATCAATATAGTTGCATTATCTTCTAACCAGGTATCTCCCTGGTTACGCTACTGTGTGAGTACTATACTAGTACCCATCCTAATACCTTCCGGGTGTGACACCTTCGCAGCCGACCTGTATATCAACCGCCAGGTCGGTCTGGCTACACCCCTCCTCGACTCTGAGAGCGATGTTTATGCGCCATGCTTGGCCCTCGTCCTTGGCTACCACGACTGGGTCACCGGGCCTCCCGGCGATCTCGTCCGTGGTGCCTTCAGGAGGAACCTGCTCGGGTCCATCCGTCATGTCTACGTCTGGCAGCATCTCCGCCTCGCCTGGCGGGCACACTGCCTCGTCATCCGTCATGTCTACGTCCGGCAGCATCCCCACCTCATCTGGCAGCCACACTGCCTCGTCTACGTCCATCTCTGCCAAGGGGTCCGGCATCCCCGCCTCATCTGGCGGGTAGGCTACCTCGTCCACGTCCATCTCTTTCGACAGCTCCTGCTGCGTCTCAGTCACCTCCACCTCGGCAGCCATGTCAGCCATAGCCACCTCCTCCAACTCGGCAGGCCTCCTGCGTGCTGATTCCTTCTTATACCTCTTCTCCACGGCCTCCCAGCCGTGCTGTACAAGGATTTTGTACTCTGCCCTCGTGCACACCACCACCAACGGTGTCCGCGCCCGGCACCATGACTGTTCCGAGTCAGTGTGATGAATGACGAGATCCGCCATGCCCCTCTCCCAGTCGATCGAGGTACCGACCGGCACAGGTCTATCATAGTTGGGGATCCGCATGACCAGGTCTTCCCTGAACTTACCTCCCCTCGCCGTCCGGATGGACTCCCGATACTCCTCCCACCTGAGGTGCCTGGGCTCCAGGACCAAGTACCCCTTGGCCTTCGGATGCGCCCATCCCCTCAACGACCGCATCTTCGGATCACCCCACGTGGTCACGAAATACCATTCCGCAAGCCCGTAGTCGTGGGTCTCCCCTCTTGCGACGTGAGCAGCCGGACAGATCCTGTCCTTCCCCCACTCGCTCTTCTCATCCGCCCTGCCGGCCGTCTGAAGCTGGCACGGCGGCACCACCTCACCTTCAAGTCTAGCCCTTATGGCTATGGTAGCCGCCCAGTTAGACATTCTGGGCGCTGTCTCGGTTGTTTGTTTCTTTTTGTTGTTTTTGTTTATGTTGGGTTGGGGCGGTCACGCGTTGTGTGGAGGTGTTTGGTTTTGTAGCCGCGGTCAGGACCGGCAGAACTCACTTCGCCCTCAGATGACGCTCACACAGGCACCTGTTGACGTCTGCTGCCGCCGCCGCCGCAGCAGCAGCTCCCCGAGCTCGTCCCTGGTGACGGCCCGGCGACCGTGTCGACGTTGCTCCCGCATAGCGGACGAAGCTCCCTGCCTAGAGGGCTTTCCCCTAATGACCGCCGCCTAGGTAGCCACATCGGCGCACAGCACGCACATGCTACGCGCTTAGACGTCTCGTAGATGTTTGTTGTGAACACGGCCTGTCACTCTCCCATCAACAACTGCGAGACCGTCCTGTCGTTCACGCCCACGTCCAAGCCCTCGCCCTCGTCCTCGACCGTGTTCATATTTGGAAAAGCCGTTCAGTTCATCAACTTCTTCATATGAAATGAAATGATGTATTCTTTGACTATACAATATACCCCCAAACAGTCTGTAGAAAAATGTACAAATTCTTTAAATGTGTGCTCTATATGAGTAAAACACGATGCCAGTCCTTACTCCGTCTCATAACGCCGATTAAACAAATTTCTATAAGGAAACCTTGGCACCAAGACCATGGCCGACGTATCGCACCTCCTCAACCCAATTCCCGATCCTCAGTGTCACGTAGGCGATGGCGTCAAGCTTGAGCTGACCGCCCACCACATCCCTGAGTTTGTCATAGCCGATGCTATCGGGCGACCAATTGACGGGGAGGCGGGGTGTTTGGGAAAGACCGGGTGGTATGGGAAAAGGTTTATCGTTTATAATCTGGCCGACTGGTTCTGTGTGATTGTAAAAAGCTGTAGCGTTTATGTGCTCCAAATGAACAGTGTTCGCATGTAGAGGCGATGCAAGAGTGAATGAGGCTGTGGATGAGAATAGATGGAAGGTTGCCTCCCGGATAAACCCCAGATGGGACGCTCCATCTTCGTCTTCGTCATCATCTCCTGGAAGTTTCAAGCGTGGGGTAGGGACGGTAAAGTTGAGTTTGGAGAATGCGATGCCTAGTTCGGGCAACCCCGGGAAACTATCCTTATGGGTTGCCACTTCCAATGTGGTATTCTCGCCAGATAGATAATCAGATAGCAGGCGTCGAGCGTTTTCATGAGATTCAGGACCCCCGAAGCTGAGAGGATCCCAAGTTGCATGGATAATATTTCCAGTATTGTTCCCCAGTTTCAAAGATATGTCCTTCGCCACAGCTTCTCCGATGACTTTGCCGTTGTTTAAGATGCGGGCAGAGAAGTAGGGGATGGAGGCTGTGTATGGTGTAGGATTCGAAAAGTTGACGCTCGCTTGCATATAAACCCCGGTGCTGGATGTATTCAGGATCCGTAGATCATCTACTTGGGGTTCCAGGGCGTTTAAAGTGTCTGTAGGGAGACCTGAAAGAGCTGTTAGTCCCCATCTGCCACTGGCCTGTGAGACGACGATAGGAATACTTGATCAAGTACAGATTGTCGGCCGACGTCACAGGTTATTTCGTTAGTGAGGACGGACGCTTTACTGGAATCTGCCCCTGAGCTGGGACTCCCTTCACCGTCAAACTTCCAAGCACGGTGCCCACTTTGGCGTCAACGGCGGCCTCGACATCAAGTATGATGTCCCTTCCGCCGAAAAGCATCTTTTGAAGAACATCCGAGAACACGGCATCGTCCGTGATCTTGAGGGGCACGTCTTTGATTTGTGCTGTGACTTTCAGCAGTTCATCGCCACCATCCTCGACCCTGGTGGACTTGGCTTCCTGCCACTGTCTTAAATTCAGCTCACCAAGTTTCTTCCCTTCGAAGAAAAGATCGGCATCAGACCGAAGAGCGTCAACAGCAATATCCAGACTCAGCTCTTCAGGGAGAAGAGCGAATACCTCGATATTGCCGGACACTTTGGGAGATGACTCAGGATCATTTGGGTCAGCGAATGGGCTAGGCAACTTGAAGTCAACATCCGTAGCAGAAAAGTTTCGGATAATATTGCCGAAAGAGCGGCCGGGAAGGTCAATCGGCACGACCAGATTCTTCAAGAGATCCGATATCCAGGCAGGTAAATCAGAATCAACAATGGTCTTTCCTCGAACAAAGACCTCGGCGTCTTCGCCATTCAAATAGTGTTTCATGAACATGTCCAGGGGAGACGAGTTGCTCCGAGGGCAGTTTCGCACCAGAGAGTCGGGAATCTGACCGATGACACCCAGGGCGTTTGCAGTTACGTCGGCATCTGGCCGCACCTCGATGAGACTTGTGGCCGCTTCCGCCACCTCAATATAAGGCTCGGATACGTCACAGTTCGCCACGAGAATATCGAAACTAAGTGGTGGTACATCTGCGGCAATAGGATAATCGTTGTGCACGACGATGGAGACGTTGGCACCAACTGCCTTCCTGCCGCCAGGGCCTAGAGGGACATCATGGAAATTGAGACGCTCAATCTTATACTCGGGAATACTCGGAATCTTATTAGCTGCGAGGACATCAGTAAATGTTCTCGCCAAAAAAGCAGACAAGTGAAATCATTGCAAAATCATCTTCTCTCCAAAGTACAGGGAAGCAAAAGAATTATAGAGGGATTGACCTTCAAAAACCAAGGTTTCGGCAACACTGTGTGTTCCGAGTGGAATAAAGCCAGATTTGACGGTGATATCGGCAGCGCCAGTGAGCTTCAGCCATTCCAGCTTGCCCGTCAGCCAGTCGTTGGCGATTTTCCGGATATTCTCCGCATCACCAGGGCTCAGGTCCGTCACAAAATCCAACGCCGTGGTATGACCATCCACAATATCTATGGTAAGAGCGGGCACAACCGCCCTTCCAAGCAGCGAGTTGTTGTAGTGAGGCAAGAAAACACTCAGAGTTGTCTCCTCTGTTTCGAGTTTTCGCATAACGCCAGTGGCAAGCCTGCCGATACGTCGAGCGTTGTCATCGCCTACTTTGGAACCATCAAGTCTGAAATTGGCCTGGATACGGGCCCTGACACCGTCAGAGGTGATGGACTCCACGGAGAGGCTTGTAGGCTCTACGACTGCAGCTTGCTCGGCATACTGCTGGACGGCACCAGGCACGACGAACCCACCGATCAGGACTGCCACCACCAGGATGGCTAGGATGATCGAGGCGATGATGCTTGGCCATCGGAGCGACTGCTTGGAGCTCGAAGCAGCCTTCTTGTTTGGAGATGTCGTGGAGGGCTCGGTTTGCTGTCCATCTCCGGAAGTTTCTTGCTGCCCACCAAGGAGAGGGGTTGATTCGGTTGCATTTGAGTCCACTTGCTGATGGTTCTCGGATGAAAGAAGAGGGGATCTCTCGTCGGAAGCCATGATGGCGGGTCCGGAGGCAGGGCGGGCGCAAGCGGATAGCTTCTTATCTTATTTTGGCGTAGACATGGAACTAGACGCAGGGAGAAAATGAAGGGTTGCGGCTGGATAGGCGAGTTTGGAAGAGAGTGAGTTCGCGATGACTCCCAGCCGCCCGTGATGTGTTTCTAGGAAGATGGTGAGGCGAAACAAGGTGGGCGCAAGGTGCAAGGCACAAGTGATGATGACGATACGCGACCAGCGTGCAAGTGGCTTTGACCCTGATTGCCGGCCCATTCTGATTGGACGAGCTGGGTGCTCCCCTGCATCCCCGGAGAACTTCAGCTTCAGTGGGTGGTACAAGGTACAAGTGACTTGCAAGTACCTGTACATCACACAAATGCTTCCTCCACTACCTAAAAGATTTGTGACCGCTGGTACTCGATATCGGCTTCATGCTTGCTCGCTTCGTGACTCAACAAATACTCATAGATTCCAACATCTCCGCAGCCGGGCTGATCCTTGGAATTATTGGATATCTGAATTGCCTATTCTGATTCTTCAATTGCAATTGCTGCTCTACGTTCGACTGTGAATTTTTCAAGGCATCCCAAACAATCGCCAGCTCTCAAGATGAGGTCGAACGTTTTCCGAGCTGCTCAGGTAGCCTGCAAAGGCGTCCCCAAAAGGAATTACTCCCAATCCTCAGGCCCAAGGCATCTGATGTCAATTGCCGATGTGTCTCCTGCTGAATTCACTTCGTTGGTGCGTAACGCTGCGGCACGAAAGACTGCCGTTAAGAGCACTCAGCCACCACTCTCTCTTACCACTGGCCTTGCCAACAAGACAGTGGCCATGATGTTCAGCAAGAGGAGCACTCGAACCCGTGTCTCTACAGAGGCTGCTGTGACCCTGATGGGTGGCAATCCCATGTTTTTGGGCAAGGATGACATCCAGCTTGGAGTAAACCTACAGACTCACGACCGTTCAATCTGTCCGACGCAGAGGCTAATCTCTATTTCAGGTCAACGAGTCGCTATATGACACTTCGGTAGTTATTTCCTCCATGACCTCTTGCATGGTCGCCCGTGTTGGACCTCATTCCGATGTCGCCAACCTGGCTAAACACTCCAGCGTTCCGGTCATCAACGCTCTGTCGGACGACTTCCATCCTCTTCAGACCATCGCTGACTTCCTCACCATCCACGAAGCTTTCCCAGCGTCCCAAAGCGGCACATCCAGCCTAGGCCTTGAGGGTCTCAAGGTTGCCTGGATTGGAGACTCCAACAACGTCCTCTTCGACCTTGCGATTGGTTGTGTGAAGATGGGAGTTGATATTTCCGTCGCTTCACCCAACGGCTACGGCATCCCGCAAACTATGAAGGATCTCATCAACTCGGCTGCCCAGGGCGTGTCCTCCCCCGGAAAGCTTTTGGAGACCAATGTGCCAGAGGAGGCCATCAAGAATGCCGACATTCTTGTCACCGACACATGGATTTCCATGGGGCAGGAGAGCGAAAAGAAGAAGCGCCTGGAAGCCTTCGCCGGGTACCAGATCACCAACGAGCTCGCGAAGCGGGGTGGTGCCAAGGAGGGCTGGAAATTTATGCACTGCCTGCCGAGGCATCCCGAGGAGGTAGCAGACGAGGTCTTCTACAGCCCTCGATCTTTGGTATTCCCCGAGGCGGAGAATCGTCTGTGGGCTGCTGTCTGTGAGTCAATGTCTCTGATCCACCGTTATATGATGTCAATTGCTGATGTGATTCTAGCTGCACTAGAAGGATTCGTGGTTAACAAGGGCCGACTTTGAAGGATATTTGCTCATTCATGATATGGCTTGGAAGTAACGGTAATTCCATTGCAGCTACGAGTGTAAAAAAGTTCAGCACGACAAGGTGCAAAAAGGAGATGTTTTCAATATCACAATTTTTAGTTCCATTTAGGGTTGTAAAATATAAACAAGCTAAACCCGAACCCATCACACAACGCCTTATACAACATCTAACCAGGAGGAAGCTGGCTGGCGTCGACAACGTCGTCGGCCTCCTTGATAATTGGCTCCTCGTTGGGGCCGTGCAAGGGAGATCTTGGCAGAGCCATAAGTCCAGTCCGGGCAGATTCGAGGATACCGAAAGGCGCGATGAGCTTCAGGAATGAATCAATCCTGGTCTGCTTTGCGGATCTGTGTTGGGGGGTTTAGTATTGTATATCAGGCAATTTTTTTCCGGGGGGTCACTTACACTTCGACAATGCAGCTTGTGTTGCTAATATCAAGAACCTTGCCTCCGAACTGATGGGTGAAGTAGGTAATGGTCTTAAGATGCTCATGCTTGTGTCGCAAGGCTTCACTAGCAGCGAGCTTGCTGGGGTGGAAATCCTTGGCGAGTTCCTCCAAAGACTGAGTCTGTGGCTCTTCGCCCTCAGCGGGTGCGCCAGCAGTCATCTCCCTGTGGTGCTCGAGGAGCTCCTCGAAGTACTCGGGGCCCAGAATGTTGATCTTGGCGAGAAGAAGCTCACGCTGGACGAGGGCGGCATGGGTGTAGTCCAAGACAGCCCAGACGGGGACGAGATCCTCGAGTTGGCGGCGGGCCTGTTCAACGACACCATCGTGGCCGTTAAGGACGATGGTCATGCGGGACAGGTCCTTCACTTCGGTGTTGCAGACCACAAGCGACTCAATGTTGAAGCCGCGGGCGGCAATGATGCCGGAGAGGCGGGACAGCACACCAGGTTCGTTCTGGACAAGGCAATTAAGGATGTGTCGCTTCGGGGGCTCAGCCGATGGTGTGGGTGTCTCGTAGAGGATGTTGGAGACAGCAGCCTGAACGGACCAGGATGGGGGAGTGTTGGAGACAGGGAGAGGGGCCGAACGACGTCGCAAAGCCTTGTAGGCGATGGCCGAGGTCGAGCTGCTGGATGAGTGTCTCATGCCATTGAGAGCGGCGGTGGTGCGAGCTGCGGCAGCCCATCGAGAGGCCCCAGCCATTGGTCGGAGAGACATCATCTTGCAATTGAGTCAGCGAGAACCAAAGGGCCCTGGAGCTGAAGGGGCAAGATGAGAAGGAGCACAGGAAGCTGCCCTGGGATCCAAGACAATGGATCAAGAGAGCAACCTTGTGACTAGATAAATAGTCAGAATCGGAGCGAGGCCGTCAAAGAATGACTTGTGGGAAAAACGTCGGAGGCTGATCGGAGCTTACCCCACATTCTTGCAGCCTCAGGCGCAGAACCGGTCCACTGGCCATGCCCGCTGCTTCCAATGGCACTGGCCAGGTTGCTTGCTTACCCGCCTGGCGGTTGATGCTGAAGCTGGATGCATCTTTACTACTGATTCATCTGCCCTGGATGGGCAGTCGGAGTAAGCAGGACGAGGACCTACTTGTCTGCTGCATCGGGACTGGAGGGGTTAAACTCATGTTTGTGAATCACCGTCATTTGTTAAAAGATATGGCCATTCATTCGTTGAATCAATCGAAGTGAGTCGACCTCCAAGATATGGTGAGGACATTCTGAGTATGCTTGCTCCTGGTGACATGTCTTGCATGTGAATGAGAATGGCTGTGATCCGTTGATCGGAGATTGATCGGCTCTGTCCATGCAGAGCAATCCCGAAGTATTGTCACCTGCATTCAACGTGAAGCATACCTGGGCATGTATTAGCTCCTTTATTGTGTCGCCGGCGTGTAGTATTGTCCTCCATTATGATGCTAATAAATATAAAGACGGCCATCTTCAATTATTAGTTTGCGATAGACCAAGATTTGAACCCAGAGACAGTCTCAGGCCCCATAAATCCGGCCTCGATCCCTGTGCTTCGGTGCTGTACAGGTACATCCATCCATCGGTTCGTGGAGTTCGGTACGTACCGAGTCCATCGCGCCAATGTGCCTGCTCACCAATCCCTCACCTTAGCAGTTAGGCTGTGCCTTAGTCGACCGCGACGATCCTGGGGATTTTTCAACCTGCATCTCCACTCAGCATCAAGCGCAATTCCTTCAACCCAATCCACACTTATCACGAGCGCGCTGCGAACTCACACAATATCTTGCCACCGCAAACGCGCTTTCCAATTCACTTTGAAACACCGTGATACTCGCCGCCAGTAGGCACCGCGGAGATGGACGAACCAGAGCGAGCCCCCGTTAAACGATCCCGTTTCGACCAGACAGAACCAGAGCCGAAGAAGTCTCGATTTGACCGTCGTTCTCGATCGCCACCCTCCCGGCGGGCTGAGGGTAGAGACCGCAGCCCTCTTTCGCGAGATGGTGGCTCTGAGCCAAAGAAGCCCGCCGGCGATGCAGCAGCAGCTGCAGGTATGACAGGACAACCCTTCGTCTTCGTGTTTGACTAATCTGACCCCGTCTTAGCCGCTGCCGCTGCCAGAATCAACGCCCAGCTCCAGGCCAAGAAGGGCATCCAACATGTCGATGTCCCACCTATCCGATCAGAGGGCGCGCCAGCGGCCCAGCCGACAACATCCTCCAGCAGCGCTTCTAACCCTCCACCTGTGTTGAATGGCGACATGTATGTCGCAGACGGCGACTATATCCAGGACATCGAAGTCAACGACTTGAGAAACCGATACCTAGTGACCAAGGGGTCCACGCAGAAAATGGTAAATATTTTTGATATCCCACTGATTATCCCAGCTCATACACCCGCCTGGCCGGGTGTATGTCGAAGAGTCTCAAGCTTACCAGCGCGATAGCTCGCGACCAATCCCCCTTCTCTGCTCCTGCTGACTCCCGCTTGAACTAGATTAAAGATGACACCGGCGCTGGTACGCTATACACTCCTCAATTACTCTCTAATGTATGAGCTATTGTTGACTTTTCAAGACGTTACCACTCGAGGGAGTTACTATCCGAACAAGGCTCTTGCTACCGCAGCGGTATGTTTCCCGATTTCGGATGCTCTTCCTTTACCACTCTGCTAATTAATCTAGAACCCTCCGCTGTATCTTCACATTACAAGCACCTCCAAGGAAGGCCTGGAGTTGGCTGTCCAAAAGGTCAAAGAACTTATCCAGCAGGACCTCCCACAGCTCGTGGACGATCGTCGTCTCCGTCGTAGAGACCAGGAACCAGTTGAGAAAGATGAGTTTGGTCGTGTGGGTGGCTTCTAATGAACTTGGCTTGGATTTGAAACTATGATGCTGACAGTGTGAAAGCGAAAATGGAGGGTTGAAAAGGTGCCTATTGACCTTGAACCCATCCCAGGGTTCAACTTGCGCGCCCAAGTCGTCGGACATGGCGGCGCTTATGTCAAGCACATCCAGCAGGAAACAAGCTGTCGGGTTCAGATAAAGGGCCGTGGCTCGGGGTATCTCGAGGCCGCTACTAACAAGGAGAGCGATGAAGACATGTATCTCAACGTGACGTACGGCTTTCATCCTTTATCATAAGATCAAGCTTCCGCTAATTCGCTGCTACAGTGGCCCAGACTCTGATATGATTGACAGGGCAAAGGAGCTTTGCGAGGACTTGATTGCCAATGTTAAAGAGCAGTATGAAGAATTCAAGGCCCGTCCACCTCGTCACCACGGAGGCCATGGTGAGCATAGAGAGCACAGGGGTCATGGTGGCCATGGGGGGCATGGGGGCCACGGAGGCTATGGCGGCCATCATGGTGGTCATGGAGGCGGTTATGGGGACCAAAATCGCGGCTCCTCTAACAGCGGACAATATGGATATGGTCGATATGGTTCAGAAACTGCTTCATCCAACAGCCCGGCACCCCCTGGCGTAACCAGCGCCACTACTTCAACCGACTATGCTGCCCAGTATGCGCAATACTACGGTGGCCAAGACCCCTACGCCCCTTGGGGAGGCTATCAGAAGTAAGCCTATGGAAGTTTTCTACTAAGTCACCTATTCACTAACAATATACAGCTATGTTGCCTTGTACCAGCAATACTATGGTGCCCAAGGACAGGCCTCAGCTCAGGCACCTGGGCAAGCTGCTCCGGGAGCCCCTGGGCAGTCAGCCTCACCTCCTCCCCCACCGAGCGAGTCCGCTCCTCCACCACCTCCTCCCAGTGCGGCTCCGCCGCCACCTCCACCTTCAGGGTCACCAGGTGGTAATTTCAGCGCAGTACCACCTCCCCCCGGACTGTGATTTCCTTCATCTAACCATGGCTCAACCGATTATGGTTGCCAATTGGTGTTCTAAACGACACGAGGATGGTGTCAGACGACAATGGATAAACTTGCAAAGACTCTTGCTTCAACTGCGAGTCGGGAGAGTTTCGTATTCCAGGAGCCATTCTGCATTTCGTTTGATTCTGAGCGTTGCTGATGAAAACCTACTGGTGAAATCCCTGATTATGGAAAAGACGATCTTAACTAGGTAGTCGACAAGATCCGGATTTAAGATTAATCAATAGCTTCGCTTTGCTATTCCCCTAAGAATTTAATTTGTGTCATTTTCGGTAGACTATTAATTGAGTAACTCTACTCCAGCTAGATGTTTGCAAAAGTGATACGTACCTGGGTAGCCTGGTTAAAACACGCGTATGTAACTGGTTCAGATGTCTACGGCTGGCTGATTCGTCCCTTGTAATAGGATCAACGAAGCTGGCATCTGGCCGAGACAATCATGGCCCTCTAAATACCGGAGACCTCAGCTTGTGTCATGTAATAAGTTATGGACTCTCTTTAAATAGCAAGACAATGAGAAGGGCAGTGCACATAAAAGCAGCAAGAGAACTTAGTTTCAAAGAAAATTATGATTGAATATAGTTTAAATTCAATTAGAGACAAAATCAGGCTTAAAATTATGATCATGATAATTATACATCACTCGATGTCTTTCAGGCAAGATCTTGAGGACGGGGGAGAGTTGCGCAAGCTTTCATATAGACAGGTCCATATATGTGATTGTAGTCAAGGTAGTGTCCGCCCTAAAAGCGGCACGACCCCAGGGCTGGCTCCAAAGCGGACCCAAAAGCCGTTGACGTACCTGCAGCCAAGGTTGCATCCTCCATCTCCCGCCGACGGGAGATGTAGACAACCAGCAATCCGATCGAGGCCATGAAACTGCGAATATGAGCCACCAAAGATACCCATCCCACGATGCCGTGAAGGAGCCTCACGCAATCTCCCTCAAGGTCCTGCGGTATGCACTTCAAAGCCCCCCGCGAGCACACATATACCTAACCCATCCATCTCGCGCCTTAGCCTCTCTCGCCCATCCCTCGTCCCCCAGTACCCGTTCGAGTCGCCAGAGTCGCTCTCCACGGCCGGCAGCATCAGTACCGCCTCCAAGCCCTCCATCTCGCCGGCATCGCTCGCCTACAGCTCGCACGGGGAGACCAACTCGGCCCCCTTCCTCCTCAGCCCCATCGTCAACCTCCCCGTGAGCTTCGGCTCCGCCTACGTCGGGGAGACCTTCAGCTGCACGCTGTGCGCCAACAACGACCTCCCCGACGGCTCGGGCAAGAGCATCCGCGACGTGCGCATCGACGCGGAGATGAAGACCCCCGCGGGCATACGGGCGCAGAAGCTGGAGCTGTCGGGCGCGGCGACGGGACCGCTGGACCTGGCCGAGGGGGAGACGCTGCAGGGGGTGGTGACGTTCGACCTCAAGGAAGAAGGGAACCACGTGCTGGCGGTGACGGTGAGCTACTACGAGGCGTCGGACACGAGCGGGCGCACGAGGACGTTCCGGAAGCTGTACCAGTTCATATGCAAGCCGTCGCTCATCGTGCGGACCAAGGTGAGCGCGCTGCCGGGCTTCAAGAAGGCCGCTGCTGCCGCGGGCGGCGAGGAGGACGAGGAGAGGAGCAGATGGGTCCTGGAGGCGCAGCTGGAAAACTGCAGCGACGAGGTGATGCAGCTCGAGAAGGTGGCCATGGAGTGCGAGGCTGAGCTGGCATACCGGGACTGCAACTGGAAGGTGAGTGGGAGCACGAAGCCGGTGCTGCATCCCGGGGAGACGGAGCAGCTGTGCTTTGTTGTCAACGAGAAGGAGGACGGCGGCCGGGTCAAGGCTACGAGGGATGGAAGGATCATCTTCGGGGTGCTGGGTATTGGCTGGAGAGGGGAGATGGGCAACCGAGGGTTTCTGTCAACGGGCAAGCTTGCGGCAAAGGCACAGGTTGAAGTGTGATTGCCGCCATCTAATGGATGCTACGACATATGTACGAATATCGCCAGCAGAGGAGAGACGGTATCTTACGAATCAAGCTCTGGAATGGCATTTCCAGGCATGGACGACTAATGATGATGAATGATGTCCAGGATTGGGGAATCGAAAACACATTACGTCGATTGAATTAGAATGGCCAACTTGAGAGATGAACATGTTGCCCATCTGATTTCAACGGGAACCAACAGCTCTGTTGGTTGGCGTCTCCCGAATCTCTCAATGTTGCCGGGTTACGTGCTTCCATGCTATATCGAGCCAGGGAGCGTCCCGCTATCCGATGGACTGGCGTACTCAGCCGCGCATGCTAGATGGGTCAGCGGGCCCGATATATGCAGGCACAGAGATAATAATATCTTGTAAGCAGGTGGCATTGGAGAATGTGGAAGGGAAGCCAGCCAACTCTTGGGGATACGAGCAGACCTGGTAGTTCTTCACATATATCACAAGAGTACCTACCTTATGGTATATCCCCACATACCTCCGGGTCCAGACAATAAGTACAGAGGCGAACCCGTATACACGTATGGTAATACGCGTTGATGCCCTTGTTTTTGAGGGGCCTGCCTCGGACCAGTCTCTCCTCCACCCACCACCAACATGCTGGGTTACCTGGGTCGACATCATGCATGCACCCATACGAGGCCGTGTAAGTGGGTGTGATTAAACACGACACACCAGAACGTCGCGTTCAGCCAAATTCGTAAGCTATGGGGCGACTGTCCGGCGTCTAGCAAGAGCAATAACGGAGCAGGCACGAAACGCTTTACTGAACATGACCGTAAGATTCACCTGCTCGTTGTGTTAATAGATCAGATATTATGTCAAGATACGAAGAGGGAGGTCTTGGCGTGCCATCTTATCTCACCCGCGAGCCGTGTAGATGGCGTGGGATGGCTGTGGCTTGATCGAAGTTCACCAATATGCTCCCTCCCATGGAGCCATCTACCCCCTTCTTAGGCTGCTCTCTTACTCTCCCACACTCATCCCTTTCCGATGTTCCTACCACACTCTTTCTTCTCCTTTGCCATTTTGGCATCTGACTGTGGAAAGGGGCTTGGACGCCATGATACTGGTAGGTCTATCAGACAGGTGGATAGCTTTGATAGGTGCTATCTATGCAAGGTACGCATGGAGACTAAGATCAAATGGTGGTTAAGCCTTTTCTATTTTCGGCTCGCGCACATCTCGGCACACACAGAGACGGTTGGCCTGGCCGGCGAAGGCAGTCGGGAGTCTGATACTGGCCTGACACTCCCGGAACCCAGGTGGTTGGCAGCCGACAGTTCGTTTCCCGACCTACCCTTCCACAACCAATGGTGGAGTCGATGGGTTCTGAAACTCGCTGGTCTCCTGGGTGTGCTAGGCTAGTCCGGTGGGGGAGGGTAGGACCGTCGTAATCACTCAATTGCGCAGTTGATTCGCTCTCCACGGGTTCCCTCCAGAGGCTTTTTAATTCCTTAAACAAGGGAGGGGGCCTGGAGGTGACATGTCAAGTATACTATCCAAGTGGCATGCAAGGGTCTCGTCGTTGGGGAAGCCAGCTATTCCGAAGTGGGAGTAGAGCCTCGCAGAGACAGGGCCGAGGGGAATAATTCCACATGCGGAAAACAATTCTACCTTTGGTCTGCTCTGAGAAGGTGCTGAAAGAGTAGGGCTGATGTCATCCTCAGCTCAAGCCCTGGATCAATACGGCAACCTGGGCACAGACGGCAACTCCATCTCCAGCTCCATCTCCATATCCAGAGCAATCCTCTGAGCTCAGGGTCGGGGTCTACTCGTACTAATGGATGCCAAGCCGTGGACGATGGCAAGGATGGCTGGCGTGAACATCCGCCCGTGCCCGAAATCCTACAACACCAATGCCAGCGCCAGTACCTGAGCGTGGAACACGACGGCCGGCATTCACTTGCTCCTTCCAGCAAGCGCCTCAGGAGAGGGTGGCAAGCGGGCTAAATGAATGGTCCAGTGACAGAGGTGGTTCCCGTCTCGCAGTCCTGTTCCCAGCATTAATAATGCTCACCAGGGGGTGATCGATGGGGATCTTGGTGAGCACACAGGGGAGACCGTCACACAACCCGAAGCCCCCAAGTTGCAACGCCGGCTGGGACATGCAAGTTCCCGGCAGGTGGCAGGATACCTGGCTGCAATAGGAAATCTATTTTCTTGCTTCTAATCTTTTGGGTCTCTTCCCACAAGCAGCCAGCCACTACCTTTAAGTAGTGACTGCTTGGCTGGCTGCCGTGCATGTCCAACCTCAAACCAGCCAGTGCTTACTTGCGTCTGTCGTGTCTGGGATCTGTAGAGCAGCGTAGATAAAATCCACTTAGGTACGCGCGCACATCCATCTACCGAACGGGGTGCGCCAACACCCTGGCAATGGGCTGGTCACTAGGTAGAACCCGTGGCAGGTAAGGATTGACTTGATCGAAGAGTAAGCCGATGCGGCGAGAGCATCCTCTCCGGGGCAAAGTCTGTGCTGGGCGCTAGATCAACTCACTAACTAATCTGCATCCGTGCTCAAGATGGTGGATGCGACGCAGGCGAATGGCTTACTGTAACCTGCCAGGTACAAGCTGCAGGTGTGTGGCGCTGCATGCTGCATCTGGCCATGTTGGACCTGCTCCCTATAGCCAAAAGTCCTAAGAACCAGAGTTGGACGGGGTTTTCAGGGACGAGCCAGGGATGGTTTACGTACATACGAACGGATGGATGAGTTTCGATCCTGCATACACCGACACCCATCATCGCGATGCTGTGGGAGGAGCCGCAAGGAATAGGCGCGAGGAGCAAGCGCATGGGCGAGGTCAAGGGACAGGTACAGGTATGATAAAGCCATGGCCCTGACAGCCAAGGCGTGTTCTCATGCCAGCGTAGCGTCGGGCTTCCTTCTTCTCAATATGCCGACATAAGCATGCGTTCGTTGGCTTCCCGTTCTGTGCCGCCGTGGCAGCCAGGCACGTGCCGTTGCCACCGATGCAAGCCCGCATTTAGCAGACACCGATCTCAGTGATGGGCTGCAGATGCATGTAGTAATAGTAATATTCTGGCTGGTCTTTGCTCAAGGTGTTGTTTCCCAGCATCGCGTCGGGCACAGATAACGATTCCGGTAAGGTCACCTCGCAGACAGGCTCGAAAGCCATAAAATGTTAGCTTACATGCTTGGGTAAGGTCCTTGTGGGGTTGATAGAGGGGAAGAGGAGCCAGTTCCTTCAGTCTAAACGCTCACTCGCCGGTAACTTGATATGCATCAACGCCGGGCGTCTCATCACATACCTGAACTGAGGATCAAGCCCTGTGGCGCGCCCCCTACTTCGTACTAAGTACTAGGTAAGTAGTCGAAATCGATAGCTTGTGCTACAAACTTCCCGCAGGATTGGCAAAGTGGTCGAGCAGCCATTCCAGTCTCGCGCTGCGCTTGGGTACCTGTCGGGCGTGGGCCAGTCAAGGTTTCATGGAACCCATCGCCAATCACAATTCCCGCCGAGACGGCATGTCTTAAATGGAAAATTTGTGCCTGGACGGACATGTAGCTATATATATATAGAACCCGTTCGTCTCCTCGTGCTATCGAACCAGCCGGCTCTGGAAAAAAGAAAGAAGAGCACTAGTAGGGCTGATGACGGTAGCGGAGGGCAGCAACCGTTTCGTACATTAGCTGATGTATCTCCCCTGAAAGTCGTCGACGCCGTTAGGGAAATGGCCTTATTAGCATTCAGGCTGGTTACTCCTTTAAGGTAGGAGCGATGGCCCTTTCTGGCCTTCGCGCCCATAACGTAGGTACCTGTGTGCTACCTGCTAGCACCACATAACCTTTCCGTTGGGCACACGCAGCAGGTACACCTCTAGAGGCCTCGCACCTACCTGACCTACCTTAGCCTTGGGAGTCCCTCCACCTGTTGCACGTACATATTAGGTGCTACCTGGATACTAGCTGAGGTACATGAAACAGTGCTGTGTTCTGTCTGCTCTGCTCTGCTCTGCCCTTCTTTGCTCTTATCCCATCCTGTCTATCTCTCGCTCTGGTACGGACTGCGCGCACACCCAGAGCCCAGCAACGCCTCATGCCACTTCGTATCCTGTCCTCGTCCCTGTGCCTGACTTGTCGGTGTCGGCTCCTTCTGACTGAACCCCTGTCCCAGCAGGTAGCCGCAAGCGCGCTGGCCGGAGTTAAAAACTAACCCAGGTAGGCACGATACGATAGCAGTCCCTGCCCAAGCTAGCCTGCATCTATCTACGGTGGTGTGTCTACCAGTGAAGTACCCCCCGTTTTCCCCTGCCTCCGTGCAGCAGGCCAGCGACCGAACCGCAACCCCCTCAGCGCCCCCGTAAAAACGTCGCCCACACCCGACAAAAAGTTGGGATAACTTCTCCTCGACAACCCAGAAATCTATCCAGCCGGGCTTCGGTTGCGGCTCGCTCAATTGACATGTCATGGAGGGCTCGTCGACCCCGTTGGCCGACTACTTCTGGATCGCCGGCGTAGAGTCCGTTGCCTACGAGGATGCCCCGCAGGCCAGCCAGCTCGAACTCTCGCACCAGGTTGAGTCGACCATTGCCGAAGATGGTGAGCCTGGTTTCGACTCTCCGAGCCCCGTCACCCCCCAGTCGAACCGTGTCAGTGTGCGCCATTCGCGCCATGGTTCTATGAGCCGGTATTCCAAGGTCTCGTTCGACAACCGCTTCTCGCTCACTACCGTCGACGACCTCGATAACGGGAACACCTCTAGCAACCGCAGCAGCGCTACCATACGCCCCGTTAGTACTATCAATGGTCCTAATGGCCTAGTTGTCGAGAATAGTAGGACCGGCAGCTCAGGCGGCGCCAGCGCCACCGGCACCCTATCTGCGGAGGGAACAAGCAGCGGCAACGAGCTGCTCGTCCCAGGTGGCAGTATGCGGGACTTCGATTTCGACAAGGCCCTGCTCAAGTTCGCCGCGGAGAGGGAGGATTTCTTGGAGGATTTGACATTTAGCGCCGGAGCCAAAGTCCAAGCCAGACCACCCATGATCAATCCGCGAGCAGAGCGAATTCGCGCCGACGAAGCTGAATCCGGGAGAATGAGTCCTCTGAAAAGCATCAAGGGGAGCATACGTCGGAGGATAAGCTTTCGCGATATGAACAGCATGCGGAGGCAACCCAGCACTGCCCGAAATAGCGGCGCAAGCAGAGCCGGTTTGTCCACCCGACCCAATATCCTCTCTACATTCACTATTCGCTCAAGTACTGACCATGAACCCAATAGCCTCTGTTCGGACCACAAAACGAATGAGCAATTATAATTCGGTGATTCCGCCCCCGGAGCCTCTAAATACCGATCCCGATATGCACCCTCTCAAAAGACAATTCGAACCAGTCCTGCTCGACCGATACCCACCCAAAGATGCGACGGAAGATCTCTCTAAGAGAGGGAAATTCCCAGACTATGTCCCCATGTTCGCATTCCCCAATGATATTCAGATTGTATCTTCAGACGATAGACCGCGTTCAACATGGCACGGCTTTACGATGACGTCGGAGGATAATTCCAAACTCTATGGGCTCACGATTATCATTTGGACAGCACTAAGCGCTAGTGCGGCGGAAGGTGTCGAGCGGAAATGCGAGCAGTGGCGGCAAAGCCACATGTCGAATGAGGAACGGGAGCTGGCGGCAAGTCTAGGAGTGCGCTTGGCCGGTGAGCGATCTCACTTGTCGCATCTTCTTACAAAGCTACCAACGATACCCTCTGGCTCACCAGCAAGGGACCGCCTCGAAGATGAGATTAGTACCGTGGAGGAGAAGATCACTTTGATGACAGATATGCTGCGGCCCTTGAGACACGGGGCTGCTTCAAAAATCGAAGGCCTAACAGCGGGTGAGAGTGGTCTGTGGGTGCCAAGAGCCTATGGTATTCTTGGCAGAGACGCCGCCAACATCAATTTCTGGAAAGAATGGCTGAAGGCGATTGTTGTCCCTATGACCGACGGTGGCATCCTCCGAGTCCCCCCTAGTTCCCCTCGGGTTGGGCGGTGGCAGCCCCTCGAGCGATATGTCGTCAATCTTTGCACAGAGGCATTCAGCCCCTTGGAATCTAAGACCCAGGTTGAACTTTGTATTCGAGAGCTGAGACTATACGCCCGCAAGGAAGCTTCGAACGAACTGCCAGGTTCGAGGACGGTGGACTTGTACGCCCTCTTCCGCTGCTTATCCCTGGAAAACGTGATGGCGTTATTCGAATATGCCATGTCAGAATCACGCATCATATTCCTCTCCTCGCATACTAGTATGCTCCACCTAGCTTGCCATGCGCTTGCCAACCTACTCTATCCCTTCAAGTGGGCAAGCGTTTTCATTCCTGTATTACCCGCACGATTGATTTCAGCTTTAGAAGCACCGTGCCCATATATTGTTGGAATCGAGCGACGCTATGATCGCATCGAACTTCCCGAGGACGACTACGTCCTAGTTGACTTGGATAAAGACACGATTGACGCTACTTCTCAACCGTTTAGACTACCCCGGCAAATAAGAAGAAAACTCCATGCTCTGTTGCAGGTAGCAGCGCCACACAAGCTCCGGTATGGCGTTGCCACAGGGCCCCCTCCTTACGCCATGGAATCCTTCCCGTACGATGCCTTCTCGAGTGAGTGCGCCTCACTCTTCGTTCCCAAACCTCCCGTCGGCACACTGGGCAAGTGGGTGTCCCAGAGTTCGTCAAGCTTTGGCGAGCCAGATCCCCCCAGCGAGGTCCATCCTCCTGTCTTCAATGCGTTTGCAATCGCCCCCACGGACCAGGCAAAGTCTGACAGGCCTGGCACAAGTAAATCCAACAAGACCAGCCCGCCATCCTCTGAATCTCCAGTCTCGATGCACTTCCCTCCGTTGCCACCAGCTCCCGTTTCCAGAAGCGATTCCGGGTTTGCCTTGGCTGCGACACTGAGAGAAAAGCGATCGGGTCATTTCAGGGAAGGTTCAGGAAGGCGTAGCTCGTCATTTGGCATGGCCGGCAAAGATGGGGGTTCTGGCCGGCCCAACATGCCCTTCCTCAACGGTCACCAAGCAAACACATCGATCTCGGCAATTTCCGTTGATTCGCTCGGGTCTTTTGGCGGTGGTTATGCACCTTCGACATATGCGCAATCTACCCTTGCTGCGTCAACTATCATGCCCAGTATGCAGATCCACCCGGTTACCAATACCGACACCACAGTCTGGGTTGAAGGACATTGTTTGAACTGGACCCCTGGCGATGTGTCGAACTGCACCATATGCGAAGACAGGGGAGAAGGAGATGGGATATACACTTGCGCAGGCTGCAAGGTTAAATCGCATGGCAGATGTCTCGGATTTGTCTCTGTGGTTTGTCCCGAAGCATTCCACGCTGATCGAGTGCGGGCCGCATTTGTGCGCTGCCAGGCCAGTCTCCTATACACGTATCGCAAATACTTGGGACGGCCCAACAAGCAGCAAAAGAGCAACGGCCAGTTGTATGCTTTTGACATGGCAGGTTTCATCAAGAGTCTACCCTATGACCAGCAAGAGTATACCACTATGCTTCGCGAAACCCAAGGTTCGTTGCCCTCCGCTAACATCCCTCAATACAAACGTTCAACTAACTTGATTTGTAGGATTTAATGAGTTTATTCATGATCGGGAGGTCAAGCCTTCTACAGACCCATCTCTCCATCTCTTCGAGGAAGTAATCATGGCAAAGAAAGCCCGAGGACGCCCAGGGCTGTCGGCGGGCTTTTCCCGCCTATCGACCATCCGCCAGTCTCACGGCGCCTCGCTCAACGTAGGCGGCTTTCTTCCTCCGCGCCGGGGTAGCTCGAAATCACCCACCTATTTGGCAGATACTTCAGATCATATCTGGCGGACGGCTTCAGTGCCCGTACCAAAGGGTAACTTTCCCGGAGACTATCATGCGATTGTAACACGCACACCAGCCCGCTTGGACAGAGCTTTGATGCGGGAGCCCCGGGCCATCCAAGGCGTACCTCGCCTAGATCCCCGTGGCGGAAAGGTTGTTCCCCGGAAGCAGGTACCCAGCATGCTGGGTCCTACGCCCCCTTCGTGATCGGATCACATTGCTTCTCCCTTGGTCGGCCCGCGAGGCAGGCGGCATGGCGGGGAAGAGTTATTCTGTTACGTCAAATGTACAAACGACCTTTTTTGTAATCTATATTTGAAATCACAAGAAGCCCTGGGTATTGAAGGGAATGGAAAATCATATTGCGGCGAAAAGTGCATTTGGTCAGAAGGCTATAGGGAAAGAAAGGCCATCTTTTCAACAGGAATCTGGCCCCGTTGTTGGATTATTTGTTTACATCAACTGGGGTGCATGCATCTTAGGGGAGTAACGGTGGTATATATACATCCCTTTTTCATTTGGGGGACGGGGACAATATTGATATCATTTCTGCTGCTTCTCCTATTATTAGTAGACCTATTGGCAACTGAATATGGAACACGCAAATTCACAACTCACTCGATCCCCCATCCGTAATCGTGGAAGGCATTATAATCACTAACACGAGAAGGCAGCTCAGCGAGGAAGTTTTAAAGGTCCCACTATCTCTTGCGTTGATCAAACTATTTTACAAATCATCAATCGTACCACAGAAGCTAAGAGCCCATATCAATCATTCGACTAGCCCAGGCCACAGACGGAACTCATTCCACCAGCCCGCGTCAGAGCCAACAAAAATAACCTGACTCAATATAACCTTCATCGCCAACCTTCATCGCCAACCTTCATCGCCTACCTTCATCGCCTACCTTCATCGCCTACCTTCATCGCCTACCTTTGTGGCCAGCGGGCTTTCCCCCGTTGGCTCCGTTCTTGCTCAGTTGCTCCCACTTGACATCTCTAAGAATCCGTCCAGCAGCAGACCGGTAGCCAAGGTGTCCCCTAGTCAAGTCGCCGGCATTGTAATTCTCGACGCCAGTAGCTCCTTGGATTTCTTGCAAGCCGGCGATACCGAAGTCTGTGTTCGAGAATCGACATAGAAACCCAAGGAGGAAATCATGCTCCGAGTATACATTGATGAGACGCCCTGCGACAACGCTTTTCAAGGTCAACCACACACGGCTCTCTGAGGGGATCGGGGCCCCCATGAGTACCACAGATTCAATGCCACCAAAATGGCGTCTTTCAGCCAAAACCATAAGACAACAATAAATAGCCCGGGCTCCTAGGCTGTAACCCACCAATGAGACTGGCCGATCTCCCTGAAACTTGTGGCGCATGATGGCATCAGCCAGCATACCCCCTGCCTTCTCTGCTCGTACGAGACCGACATTCCATGGATTGTCGATGATCTTGCTAACTTTCAAAAGAGATCCAGGCCAATCAGATTCAAGTAGACATTTGAAGACTAAATATGGTTAGCCATGTTTGCTCTCTCGTAGTTAGCGTAAGGCAACTTACTCGTTCTAGTCTTCACTTCTTTCTTTGAGACACCCCAGGCTGAGCTCAAGATGACGGTCTCCAGGGAGTTTCCGAGATTAAGGAGAGTTGCCATGTCCCATCTCAGAGTGTATGTTTCCGTTTGCTGTCCCAAGCAAATCCATGGTTTAACCAAGTCTTCATCTTCGATCACCCAACCGTTCAGGGCGATTACTACACGCAGCCGACGATCCTCTGCCAAAACTTCGCGTGCATCGGCATACTCTGTGAAAGGCTTGGGATGTACTGGTATGAACCCAACATCCTGGATGTCGCGGCTGAAGGTCTCGAGCAGTTTCCCCAGCGGCTTTGACGGGTTGATGCCAAATACTGCGTTTTGCATCCGTGCATTGTCTGCCATGGCCCCTAGAAGACTTGCAGCAATAGTACCTGTCAGACCAAAGCCTCCGCTAGAAGTACCGATCCCAATGCTCTCCAGGCCGGTCGCCAAGGTCGGATTGGCGGACGTGTTCCCATATCCTTTGAACCTGCGAGAGGACTTGGTCTCCTCAAGCTTCAAGGCTAACAAGGCCTCTGCTGATGTCTCAAGAGCGGCATGGGCCAGACCTCGGGCCAACTTGATCTCTTCTGTTTGGAAAAATATGAATGGGAGATTCAAGCATGAAGTGAGATTGGCAAGAAGCAGGAACGAGTTTGCCGTGTACTCTTGAAGCGAGAGTGTGATCAGAAATACAATGTGGAAAAACAGTCTTCTTCGGTCAATTGACAATGACCACAGCGTGTTTGGGATCGGCGGATACTGCTTGGATAGTTCTAGATCGATATGTGCTGAAGGGAGCCGAGGGGGGCCTGGTGAGACGAGGTTAGTCGGTCTTAGCTGGCGCTTTTTCTGGAGTTAGAAGAACAACGAACCTGTTGCTAGAGTGAGACCTCCACGGCCGGCTTTCCCACCACGTCCTCCTCGTCCACGAAAGCTATCGTCTCCGCGGAAGCCCCGTCCACGGCCTCTGCCGCTGGGATGAGGAGCCTTGGTCTCGGTCACAGCTACATCTTTCATACGTTGGAGGATCAGGGACTGCCATTTTCGGAAAAACGCCAAAGCTTCTTTCTTCAACTCTCCCAGTTGAGGCGTCATCGCCTCCTTTTCTTCCCTCTCAATGGTGCTGTGGACTTTGTCATAAGTCTTGCCTCTCTTTTTGGGATGTTTCGGCTTGGAGTCAACTGACGAGATGTCTTTCTTGCCTTCCTTGTGGCAAAGGAGAGGTAAAGTGAGCCAGTTGTGGTGTCCATTGCCCGCATCGACGGGTGTCACCACTGGCGAGTCGAATGTCGCGCTGATATCTGTGTGCATTCTCTCCGTGATAGCAATGACGAGTGTTGAAAGGTCATTCCGCTCTGCTACACTGAGTATTCCGGTCAAGTCGACTAGACGACGAGCCGAGTGCCCGTGGCCGCCACGGCTTGATCCTCGAGGCATCTTCGGTTGTCGTTTTCGATTCAGAACACGGACTCGAGGACTCGGCACTTCCACTCGAAATTGAGGTGAAAGGACAAAGCAGAAGCCTACAGTCCAGCAGACATAGAGCAGAGGGGAGGACGAAAAGCGATCCTACTACGCTACGGGGCAAACAGACGATTAGTCCAGTCCCAGGATCTTGGGAACTCACGGGGAGTACGGCGGAAGCTGCGAACCAGAGGATTTATGGTGTTGAAACGAATAAGGTAGGTGTATGGGGGTTGAAAAGCGTCTTCCGCGATGAGAAACCCTGATGGCTTGTTTGATTTCGGAACTGCCTGCAATATACCTTTGCAGGTATACTACATCGAGGGATCCATGAGTCAAGGGGAGAAGAGGAGTGCGTTGCAGTGCTGGTTCCCAAATTCTCATTTATTCCCCGTATGCCCGTCATAAAGACCGGACGAGGAAAGTGCGAGCTGGATCCAGTGTAGTTGTTCAGCCACTTTGGGCAAGCGAGAAGGTGAGTGAAGAAGGGGAAGGCACCGCCTGTTGATGGGCGTGCAAACAACAAAACGAGAAGTTTGGATACCTACCAGGCGTACTCGACAATGAAATATCATCCGAGATGTGCGTGATGCCTAAAAATACCAGGAAGGAGAGACTGGGGAAAGCAGCACTGTTGAGATGGACTCGTCCAAAAGCTGAAGGCGACCAGGCCAAGAAAGTGCAGTTGAATGAAGGAAGGAATGAACTGCAAGCAAGAGCCAGCGCAGTGAAGAAAGCAGAAAGGGAAGGAAGGAAAGAGGAACAATGGGCGAGGACGGGGCAGAAATGGGCAGGCAGGCGCGGGCAATCACTCAGTCGTCACCAGCTGTGTCCAGCTGCCAGCCGTCTGATACGTCCCTCAGCCTCTGTTCACATTTTCCTCAGCACGCCTCGAGTGTGACGTACCCGTTAGTACCCAAGCTGCTCATGGAAGTCACCTCGTTCCCTCATCAAACGCAGGCGGGTAGCTACATACACGGTGTGTGATCGCAAGCCACGCCCCATAGTAATGGAGAGGTCGCGCGCCCATCTCAGGGGTCCAGCATTGACTTGTGCAGGAAAACGACAATACAGTGGCTAGCAGAGTCTCACCGACCCTTTGTGCGAGGACAGTTCCAGACCCGGCAGGAAACGATGTCCAAGTCCCCCCGCCAGCAAGTTGGGCGTTCTCCCAACAACCGTTGTTCACTCCCGCGTAGCATCTGTTTAACGTACTTTCCCATCAGTCAGCGAATAGAAACGAGTGTGAATTCCTCCTATCGACTTAGACCACCAGCCGCCAATGGTCGAAAAAGCAATTCTGGCACTATGTTCGGATACTTGCATTTGCACCCTTGCAATACTTTCCAGCTACTCACTGTAGACCAAATGCACGCTTCCGTCCCGTACAGCAACCTCCTGTTCGAGGCTGGCCTCGAATTATGATCAATCCTAAGAAAGAGCGGGCCGTTCTTCCTATGCTATTAATCGTCGAACACTGCAATAGCCCTGGGTTGAAATTATGTCACAGTGCCAATCATTCGACGGCGATATCTAGCCAGCCGCGCTGAGTCCCAATCATGTACCTATTTGTATGTGTCGATTTACCTCTCGCAAAGCTTAGAGGACATCCGTTCCGTATAGCTTATCGGGGACATGCATCTCAACAATATAGGCTATCGAGTAGCCAAGTCTGTGTAACGAATGACCACCCTTTCCACCGTCACCAATCAACTCGCTCAGTGAAACTAAAGGGATTTCTGGGCCCTATGCAGATAAGCTGCTGGTTTCAATATTTAATCCGCTCCCGGACGAAGCCATTATATAAATGCCTGTACAACTATCTGTACGACTCAATCAAGTCCTGAATGCCAACCATTTCCAACCCTTGACTCCTCAAAAGCATCCTATTTCACCATTAGGTGAATTTCAAGGTTTGCTCAGTCCTCCTCTAATTCATGATATCTAAAATGAGCTTCCAGAGCAAAGTAAGGGATGGCGTGGCCGCATTTGTCACATGGTATATTCTCGGTCGTCTCCCAAGTTTCCGGCTCGGCAGCTTCCTCAGAGCCGGAGTCTTCTGAGGCGTGGCTTTCAATTTCTTCCGGGCTCGGCAGAATCCTCCACGGTGCCAACACCTCGTCTTGTTTTCTGAACATGTTGGCAATGTCTCTCCCTACGCCCGACTTGTCTTCTGTCGCAGTGGGAACCAAGTTAGACACGCATATGTTGATAAGTTGCAAGCTCCACGGTTGCCCCTTCCTGTCTTCCTGGAGCCTACGTAGCAAAGGTAACAGAGCCTCAGATACCAACCTATCAGCCACAGCCTCGATGTCTTGTCTTTCATCCAGCGCGAAGCTCGGCAAGGGCCCCGAACGCGACTGCCGGTTGAATTGTGCGTAAAGAGATCCTGATTTGGGCCACGATCGGACGGAGAGACGGAGAGTCTTCGGTTTTGCGAGCCATTTCAGAGCATCTGGGGTGTCGGAATTCCCATCAGGCACAAGGAGGTCTACCCTCATCCTGCGTACAAGTGAGCACGACAGTTTGTGGAGCTCGGGCAAGATCTGCGCCATGGTCTCAAGCCGGCCAAAAGTGTCCTCGATACTGATCTGAGAGGGGATGTCACTTGCCTCCCTGACCTCTGTAGGATCTACGCCATGGAGCAGGCCCCATATTCTTGATCCTATTCCTTTCTCGGCGCCCGGCCCGGCCAAGAGGGTTTCCAGGGATGCTGGAGACACGTGGGGGGATGCCAGCGCCTGGGCAGCTGTGACTTTGGACTCGAAGCTATGGGAATCAGTCGTAGTCTCCAGGCCAGTCACATGAGCCTCGATAAGGGAACTCGACTTGAAACCAATGCCAGGGATGCTTCGAAGAGAGTGGTTACTCATAAACTCGAGTATGCCTTCCTCAGTCAATGCCAGCAAGGTGGTTTGGTTTTGGGGCTTGTGTTTGCTGCCTACAAGCTTGCTCAGAAGCTTATTTGTGGAGATACCGCAGGTTGACGTATAGCCAAAGTCTTGCTCTACTTTCAGCCGCAGGTAATGGGCGAGGTGGGATCCCAACACCAGTCGCAGGTAGAGTGGATTGTCCAGATCCGGTAGTAAATCCATATTGCCACCAATCTTAGCCCCCGGGATGGACGTGAGATCGCACACAAACCCCAGCTCGGGATCCTTTTCAGATAGCTGGAAGAAGTGATTGGCGGGCGAGTGCTTATTAAAACAGGCCATATTGTAATTAATAATGTCTGTCACATCTACGGGGCAGGGAGCCAAGGTCAGATGCGAGGTTGAGGCAAAGCGGTATTGTAGATGCAAGGTTGGGGGTTTCTAAATACGACGGGTTTGAAACAATGATAAGACGCACCCATGAAGACTTCGTCGAAGCCTAGCCTCTCGACCTTTTGGTTCCAGGAATAGGACTTGAAGAAGTTGAACAAGATCTTGCTAACGTCGCGGAATGGGGTGAGGTCTTCACCCTCGACGATCACGAGCTCGGGGCATATTTTCTTCGCCTCGTTGATGAGCATGAGCTTCTTGACACCTCGCCTACGGGCATTGTAGTTACATGTGGCGAGGATGTTCTTCTGTTTGATACCCAAAGGTTTAGGCTTCAGTGCCGGGTCTTTCACCTCGTACACTTGTGCGTAGAAGCAGTCATAGTCCTAGGGCCCTGTTCATCAGTTTTCGAAGGATCTTTGGTGCACGCCACATTGTTGAGCCGTTCGACTGAAGTCTCATTCCGCGCCGTTGGGCCATATGGGACTTACAAATTGCAATATAATCCGGTCTTCTTTGCGTGAAAGCTTTCGCGGGGGCCGCGCCATCGCCATAGACGGGAGAGAGAAGGGATCGTGTAAATGTCGGAGCTTGCCCAAAGTGATTCATCCGGGTTAACATAGTAGGCGCCACCATAACATTAAGGGCTTAGAACGAAAGTAAGCAATTTGCATGCTGAGTTGCTATTCAGATGATGAAGCCACACTGAGTCAGTGTCTAGGGCGAGGCTTGAATGTGTTAATTTTGGGTACATTTGTACAGCCTAGCAACAATAGTAGGTGAGAACTAACGTGCACGGCCTCAAATCGGCTTATACTCTAACCGGCAATAAGGTGACCGAAATTTGGGTAAGGTAATCAGACCATGTCCCTACCCTACACCTTGGCCCCCATCATCGAAGCAGATCACCCCACGAACTACAAGCCGAAAAAAAAAAAGAATTTGAGGAATATCCTGGTGTCTGTTTGCTCATGTGGCAATCAAGGGAACATATGCCGTTAGGTTTATGTTATTAATAAAACTATTACTTCGAGGTCCAATACGCTCTACCTCAAACAACATACGTCAGCTGTGGCTTTTATTTTAGTACGAGACAGACAAAGTCTGGTGGCTTTTTTTAACGTGGCGTTCTGTGTAGAGTCATAATGGTATAGATGGGGAAAAAGGAGGGGGGGCAAAAGCCCATGGTTCATGCAATGCCGAGCAAATTAAGTTGATCTGATACACTTGAGTTGACTGCATACGCCGCACAGAAATGGTGAGGGCAATGTGCCGAAATTATTTCGAATAGATTGAATTTTGTCCCAAGAACCTATTAAGCTATTAATACTGGCACTATCCTTTTTGGGCAGCCTTTGCCCCCACACTAATTGTTTTGGAATAGTTGACGGCTTGGGCTATTCCACCTGCCCTGAACAAAAATAGCCATGTTCGGGCGAGAGCTATGACCAGGCCATTGCGCTAAAGTCCTCGAATAGCTCAGCTATGGAAATTGGAAATGAATCTCAAGTTGAGGCTCGAACGCGATGCGGCGAGACGGTCGAGCTGAGCCAGGAGGACACGGGTGACTTGCATTGCATTGTCTGCCCACTTGATCCTCAACTAGGTAGGGTAGGATTGATTGAGGGGGGATCAATTGAGGGACAAAGAGGAGGTCCTAACCCTAACTCGGCGGTCGGCTAAAGGCGTTTGGACTTATGCAGCCAACATCACAGATGGTGGGAGGCATCGGGGGACTTTGGCTCGCTGTGAGTGGCTGCCCTTGTGATCTATCGCGCCTAATTACCAGTCTCCGAGGCCAAGCATGCCGACCGTGCTCTCCCCCAATACGGCAAAACATCCAATGAGTCGGTGAGACCGCGTTTAATCCTCCGTCGGCCAGGGTCTACTAGTGCAGGGAAGGGTTTGGACCGTCCCCCTAAACGCCGCCGGCTCTAAACGGTCGAGAGGGCTGGGAGAGACCGAGAGGCCCTGTAGGGCGGGTTGGGGGAGTCTCCAGGGAGCAGAGGGGAGGCTAGGGCAGGATTTTAGGCCCTCGTTCTTGGTGCTTTCTTTCTTCTTTCCCCAGCCTGCCCCCAGCCGTTGATTTACCTGGCTCCATCGAGGGCCGTTCCAGTAGGGAAATTTCGGCCGTTTTTAGATCTGCCGGCTCTGGAATTAGAAGCACCCCGAGTCGCCTCCCTCTCACGATCTCAATTGCCGGGTAGTGCTGGTCGGGAGCGATTAAAAAAGAATAATCAACTGCGGCAGAAAATAGCACATCCGTGAGCAGAGGGCTGTCTGGCCTGGGAAGCAATGGAACACTGGCGCACAATGGGGGAAGGCGCTGCTCGCCCATTGCGCCGTCGCTCTTGCCCTCGCGTCATCGGTGGACGGGTGCACGCCGCCGCCCCAATCAGAAGTCGGCTGCTGAGCCAGCAATCCTGTATTGTTGGCCTCAATCAAGATTGATGCATGCTGTGAACAGCCATTGTGGCTTCCTGCCAACCAGCGGAGACTCATTGGCTGGGCCAGTGCTGCATGTCACCTAACTCATCGAATCCGTCTCCGCTCCATGATCCTACGGTGATACTGCAGAGCAGACCTGCAACCCCTCCCGAGCATCACGCGACCCCCGCTAGCCTCTCCAGACGGACAGGCGGACTCTCTTCATCAATTATCGTCGCCTTCGACGGTCTCTGGTTAGCAGATCTGACTGCGGTCGGTCATCTGGGCCAGCTTGTGTCTCGACGTGCAACGCCTCCAGCAAGTAGGGGAATGCCCGACAGCCACCTTCTTGCGCCGCCTCTCTTCGCCGGGTCCGCCCCCCTGTCCTAGACCCCAGCAGGCGCTTACATAGCATCTGCAGCCCGCCACACAGCCTATCATGGCAGCCAGTTCCTGTGACGACACTTGCATACAAGGGTGACCATGGCGCTTACACGCCAGGGCAGGGGACCCCGGCCCAATCTTCGCCGGCCACCGTTGTGCCGTGGTGTTCTGTCGTATCCGCCGTTGTGCAACCCGCCCATATAATATCGTCAAATAGCCGCCGGAGTCTCCCAGACCATGTTCGCTACCGGCGTCTGATTCCGTCTCTCTTACATCTTTCGAGCCTCCTCCGCCTTGAAACATCCTTCCTTTTCATAATTCTCGGCGGCTACGACTCTGAAACTCGACCAACCGTCCTACCAACCTGCATACGGCTGTTGTCTTGGCTCTTTACTATTGTCTGAGCCCATTTCTATAATACCTGCCCATTGTTCTTCGCGGTAGCACCGCCTGCAATTATTATTCTTGCTTCGGTCTCTTCTCGCAACTCGATAAACGGAAAAATGGCATCCCCCCAGCAGAAGAGGCCCCGTTTATCTCTGAAGATCCAGACATCTGTTGGCCCAGTCGCTCGAGTGTCACGACCACCCACCATCGACACCAAGGATCCTACAGCCTTCAACACCCTCTCCAATGCCTACGCATCTGTAGTTGGAAGGTCCGGCTTGACAGCCGCTCATGCAGAGCCTCTGACTGCTATCAACACCCTCCAAGCCTTCAGCCTTGCGACGCCGATCGAGAAGCCAGATCCTTCCAACCGGGCCAACACCCCATATACGATGCACTACCCCGAGACACCTCTCTCTGCTCATCCTACCTCAGCTCACCCTGGATCCCCACGACAACTGGAGATCAAGTATCCTAGCACTATGACGGCAACTCCTCCTCTGTCGGGAACCAGAGATTCAAATGAATCTAAAGTGTTCACCTTTGCTTCGACTGACATTGCCCATGGGAAGCTGGCTCACAGACTGTACGACAACTCGGACTCCAACACGAAGCCACGCACGATTGTCTATCAACCCTCTGCTCCCGGTCTCCTGCCACCATACACCCCGTCTCAGGCTCGCCATAGCATCCTTCGCAACTCACCACTGCCAGCAAAGACAGCCATTCCTCCCCCTTCACCTAGACGGCAGTCACTGCGCCTGCAGGAGAGGGCAGCTCGCAGGGTAGGGTATAACAGCCCTCTCGAACAGGAAATCACCACAAACACCTACACCAGGTCACACATCGACTTGCTCACTGATGACGCTTCTCCACTGTCTCCTTTCTCGCCTTCCACTCCTGGAGGTGTGAATGACTCTGCCGGAGCCTCCCCCTCCTCTGACATGGCAGACGCACCAAAGAAGCCCATCGTCCCCAAATCCGCAGCTGCTGCGTCCCCCACTGGCATTCGCAAGAGGAAGAGCAGAAAGGAGAAGCCCCGACGCTGGGTATGGACCATCGGCCAGGACAATGAAGAAGTGGAAATTGAAGTTCCTCGAGGCGACGCAGCAACCCCTAAAGTTAGGACTAGCGGGATGGAGGACATGACACCCATCGGACCACCTATCCCACAAATCGCGCGCCGCGAGGCTCCGATTCCCTCCATTGAACTCCCCTCCGACGCCTCCAACGACAACGATGTCGAGATGACGGACGGCAGCAGTGTGGTCTCGTTTGATACCGAGAGCCTGCATTCCGTCGAGCAGGACATGGACTTTGCCATGACACCAATTGCACCAAGGGGCCAACAGAAGTTTCTGGCGCAGAAGAAACGAGATACACCCATTCCTGAGCTGGCCACTTCCAGAGACGAGCCTGTGGCCGCCTAAGCGAAGAACTCAACGCGTTGCTGATTAGATCCCCGGCATCTAACAGTTCGCAATTTTTATTCTAATGTATTTATTTTTTTATCATTTCTTATTATCTTTGTTTTATTTTTCTTATTTACTTTACGAGATACGACCCAAAAACGGGAAAAGGTCTGAACATCTGGTCGGCCAAGGTTGATTTTTTGGAGTTATAACATGGGCATTTATTGGCATTTGGCATAGCATTTCATCATTGGTTTGGATTTCTACAGTACATATAGTTTAGTTTCTAGTTAGTTGAGAATAACATCGGGTTCACTCCCTAAGATCATCGAATCATCCATCCCTCTTGTGCATGTGAAAGGTCAATATTATCAGCAGCCTCATCGTGTTGAAATGTCGGGTCTGGCATCTTCTATTGTTGTTTTAACTTTATGCTCGAACTCTCTTACGTACCATTAGAAGACGGTGGATATGTAGGAATAGCAAGCTTTTATGTTTCTTTTTAAGATCTATCAGATAGTCTAAGCCGACCGTTGCTGCTGAGCGTGATACAGCTGCTCCGCTGAAGTGATGCAATGCATGTTGGCCCCAAGCTTGTTAATCGTCTCCATCCACTCTTCGTACTCGTCCGAGTCAAATACAATACCGCCGCCTAGACAAGAAAAAAAAGGGCACGAAATGTCAGTATTCGCTTGTATTTTATAGAGTAAGAAAAGGGGGGGAGTGAAGAGCCTGGTCTTATAGAGCGGCTCGTCCGTGACTTGCGAACCACTTACCGGCCTGTAGATATGCCACGCCATCCTTGGTGAGCATCGTCCTCAGCGCAATGCACGTGTCCATCGCGCCCTCCACCTCGGCGCCCTTCTCGTCCACGCCGTCGTAGCCAAAGTAGCCGACTGCCCCCGCGTAGATGCCCCGCTTCTCGCCCTCGAGCTCGGCGATGAGCTCCATGGCCTTCACCTTGGGAGCTCCCGAGACGGTCCCCGCGGGGAAGATGGAGCGGAAGGCGTCGAAGCGGGTCTGCCCGGGACGGAGGACGCCCGACACCTGGGACACGAGGTGCTGGACGTGGCTGAACTTCTCGACGACCATGAGGCGGTCGACGCGGACGGTCAGGGGGTCGGCGACGCGGTTGACGTCGTTGCGGGCCAGGTCCACGAGCATGACGTGCTCGGCGCGGTCCTTGAGGGAGGAGCGGAGCTCGTCGGCGAGGCGCTGGTCATCCTCCGGGGTGGCGCCGCGCTTGACCGTCCCCGCGATGGGGTGCGTGATGATCCGGCCCTCCTCGCTCTTTACGAGGAGCTCGGGCGAGGCGCCGACGAGCTGGAAGTCCTTGCAGTCGACGTAGAAGAGGTACGGCGAGGGGTTGACGGTGCGCAGGTGGCGGTAGATGTTGAAGGGGTGCAGGTTGGTCGGGCGGGCGAACCGCTGGCTCGGCACGGCCTGGATGATGTCTCCCGCCACGATGTGCTCCTTCAGCTTCGTGACGTGGGCCTCGTATCCGTCGCGGCCAATGTTGGATGTGTATTCCTGGCCGAGCTGGATTGGCTCCTGCTTGGGGAGGACGACCTCTGGAGATTCGAGAACATCGACTAGTCTGTCAATTGTGCGGCCGGCCTCGGCGTATGCCTCCTCCAGTCCCTTGTCGTCCTGGCCCTCGGGCACCTGGACGTAGGAGATAACCTTGATGATGCCGTAAAACCTGTCGAAGGCGACAATGCTGTCGTATAGCATGAATAGCGACTCGGGCACCTTGAGCACATCCTTCATGGGACGAGCCGTCTTTGGCTCGAAGTAGCGCACGCAATCGTACCCGACATACCCGACAGCTCCTCCAGCCATGGGAGGGAGCTTCAGCCCAGGGACCTGCGCTACGACATACTCTGCCAGCTCCTTCTCCAGACCGCGCAAGGGATCCGTCTCCTCGCCATATCCGGGACCGGTCGTCAAGATCTTGCGAGGGCCGGCGCCGACAAAGCTATACCGTCCGAGCTGTTCGGTGGCTGCGGATTCGAAGAGGAAGGAGTAATTGTCGTCTTTCGAGGCGGCGCTCACCTTGAGGTACGCCGAGGAGGGGGTGATGAGATCGGAGGATATTTGGCGGTATACGGGGACAAGGTTCGGTTGCCGGTTGCTGTTGGCACTGCGGGCAGTAGTCAAAACCTGCCGGACCGTGTCCAGGGACGGCACAATATCTCGCTACAAGAGCCAATGGTGAATTGAATTAGCACAATCATTCAACCGAAATCCGCTGTAGCGATCGCAGGCATGTGGTGACTCTTGAAAGAAATAGATACCCACCCCGCTGGCCATGGCGCACAAACGACCGAATTCCCTCTCTGGCTCGGAATGACAGATGATACGGAGGGAATAGGAACAGCAAAGACGTCGCACTGTTGTACGAATGGTAGACAGCAGGAAATTCCACGGACGAGTTCACCGAGTTTAGTTCTGACTGATTTACTGCTAACATTTGGCTGTAAGATTTACCAACGGTTGCTTGTAAGCCCCGCCGTTATCGGGCAGGGCTTATCTAACTCAGTGACTCTTCAATCGGCACCATCGTCCCACCAGTCGAGTCATACCTAGGGATATTGCTCTGTCTCGGGGAGATGATCAGTAATCGACTGACCCTTTCTTGCTAGCTACCTAGTCGGTCAATCGCGGAAAGCCATCTAGGGGATATTGCAGCATCAGTGTTAGTCAAATCGTGCCAGACCATCGTATCGGCGTGATCCCCCGCCTCCACCGTGGGGTCAGTTTAGCTTTCGATGCCCAACGCCTTGACTCCTACTGCTCGGCCACCCGACACAGAAATGATCCAATATTCTGCCCTGGTTGCATCCTTTGGTACGCGGTAGACTCTCACGTCGTTGCCCTCAGTAGCTTGTCGAACGGCCTCAATCACCTTTGTATATCGTCCCTTCTTGTCCCAATCTAGAGGATCAAGAATCTCGATGTCTGCTGAGTTGGGGTCCCAATGATTTATGAGCTCTGCGAATTGAACTAGGTGCACACCGTTAATATATGCGCAGACAGAGTGGGTGGTAGGGACAGTGGGAAAAGAGGGAATGCATCCCCGGATGCGGGGATGCGGGTGGCTTCTTGGGTAGCCCGATACTGTCGCACACTTCACGTACCTTCATCAGGCAACGAATCCTCCTTGACCTCTAAAGAAACGGCCTCGAAGGGCTCGTCAGCCTCGCTGACCATGAATGTGTCCTTGATAGCATCCTTGATCTCCTTGGGCACCTTGGCCCCGGTATCTGTCGCCTTGAACTGGAAGTGTCCCTTTGACTGCGTAGTCGCCTTTCCTCCACCTGAAACATCCTCGTTCGCCTTGTCCAAGAAGGACATGTAGTCGCTATCACTCGCCATACTTCGGATCTGGTGGAAGGCTGGCTGTTGAGGTGTGGGTTGTACCCGGCAATGGATGGGCGCAAATGTAGAGCGTGTTCGTTGGTGAGGGGCACGTGTCGTGGTGTGCAATGATCGCGTGCGTGGAGAAGCTCGTCTGTAGAGAAGGGTAGGGATATCGGCTGGTCGTGGTTTACAAAAGCAGTGCGGCAGAACTGGTGATAGAGAACGGTGGAGTGAAGAAGGCATGACCAAGAAGTAGTAGCACTTTATGCGATTCCAGGCGTCACTGCATCGCTTATGCTGCTGAGGGGTGACGTCAAGACGCCAAGTTCCACTGCCCACCTTCAAACAGATGAATTTCAAGGCTCTACGGGAGGAACTAGCAATAAACTGGGCCAGTCAATGCGCAATCGATCTAGGATTTATGATAGTGAAGTGGCTTTCTTTTTTCCAACTACCTACTATCTATTCCAACGTGGACACCTATTTTTGAGCGAAGTGCTTGACCCCACAAGCACTATCATCACATTTGAATCGCTTTGTCGCAATAAACGGAGACGTGGGCGAGATAAGGGACACGCAGCGGCATCTGTGTATACAGGGAAGTTTTTTTTGTTTAAATTCATCAATCCCATCTAGCTGGTGCTTTTTTCATTCATTCCATTATGAAACCTGACCCAGCCTAAAAGAAACAAACCCTTAGACACCAATGCAATGACCAAGATAAAAAGGAACGGCAGCACACGCTTATGCGCTGAGGTCCTTCTTGAGAGTACCCTGGACCTGCTTCTTCTCCGCAGGGGTCTGGAAAGCACCGTGACCGAACTCGGAGGAGGTGTCGATCCACTTGAGGTTGATCTTCTCCAGAGCACGGCGGGAAGTGTGGACGAACATGGACTTGCGGAGAGTCACGACTCTCTTCTTGACACCAGGGATAGAACCCTTGACCATGACGAAGTCGTTGTTGATCTCACCATAGCGGACGAAGCCACCGAGACTGAAGCACGTGTTAGCAGATGGAGAGATAGAAGAATTATACAATGAAAAAAGGGGAACACATACGGAGTGATAGTCTTCTTGGTGACATCGATGGAGGTGGAGGCGTTGTCATCAGCATCGCCCTTGCCGATTCTGTAAACCTTGTGGTTCACAGAGGTACGGTGGTGGTAACCGTCCTGACCAGCACGGGCAACAGTCCACTGGACGTGGGAAGGATGCCAAGCACCGATACAAGCGACCTTACGGAGACCCTTGTGAGTCTTGCGAGGAAGCTTCTTGGTACCCCAACGGGAGGTAACACCGCTGAAACCGTGACCCTTGGTGACGGCAATGACGTCGATAACCTCGTCCTGCTCGAAAATGGTGTCGATAGAGACGGGCTTCTCGAAAAGCTCACGGCCGAAGTCGACCTTCTCGGCGATGGAACCACCGTTGAGCTGGATCTCCATAAGGTGGGCCTTCTTCTGCTTGAGAGGGGTCTTGCGGATCTGGGTGTGGGCGAGGACACGGACGACGGTGCAGTACTTCTTGATGCGCTCGAGCTCACGGGTGATGGAAGCACCGCTGCTCTCGGAGTGCTTCTTGGCGTACTTGGTGAAAGCCTTCTTCTTGCTCTTGTACCAGTTCTTGTAGAAGCGGCGCTTGAGCTCGTCACCCAAGTGCTCAGCCCACACAGTGGTGAGGGATCGGAGACCACGGGGAGTCTCGATGTAGCCCACAAGACCAACAACGATCATCTAAGAGATGTTAGCCATAGGCACATAGCCAAGCGGGCTGCATTGTTCGTACAGGTGGAGTATCAACGATTGAAACAGCCTCGACAACCTCCTTCTTGTTGGCCTTGGCGCCGGGTCGGTCGAGGTCACGGACGATCGTGGTCATACCAGCCTTGTAGCCCATAGCGGCAGTCAGGTGGACGGGCTTCTTGGGGTCATCCTTGGGGAAGCTGAGTTGTTCAAATTGGTTAGATACTGGTTTCCGTCTCCAAGAGATATTGGTAGAGTTTTCTTGTATTTGGTATTTCAAACTTACGACTTGACCTTTCCGCGATGGCGGGCAGCACGCTTTCGTGGCAGGTAAGCCAGAGAGCCGTGGCGGGGAGCCTCGTACTTACGGTGCTATCCAAATGTCAGCTTTATACATATCAATTGCCATTGAACGGACATTTTACTTACACTCATCTTGGGCTGTTGTTGGTGGTGAAGGTTAGTATGATGGGAGTGACAAAAAAACCGTCGCTGAGTAGGAGTAGAAGAGGGTTTTAACAATTTGTGGGCGAAATTTTATTAACCGAGAACTGCACAAATTCGTGGTTGGCCCGTGCACGATCCAAGCCCCAAACGGCAAGGTTGCACATTGTTGGCACACCAAAAATTTCCATTCGAACTGTACCCTGATTATGGTCACGTGATTTGCCGATTGCATTCTGATGTATGACTAATCGGGAACATGCACTTCAATGGGACAAGAGCGAAGGAAAGGCTAGAGATCAAATTGAAATCCGTCTGGTATAGATTCATCATAGTTACACTGTTGAACGGCTATAAAGAAATGTTGCCAAGACAGGGCGAGCATGATTTTGTAGCCAAAGTCATGGAGGGAAATTCGTTTCGTGCCTCTTCCGAATGCGGCTCCACATTCGAAAAGAGAAACAAATCAATAGAAGGACCAAACGTCCTTGGTGGTATACATAATAATAAAGCTGAGACCAAAACAATGAAATTTAAATTAGGAAACCAAAAGTCTCGGGAACCTATTTTGTGGATTATTCAGTTTTCGGTGCAGGGCCCGGAGTCCCGTTAACAGCACCGTTTGTTGGTGTGGATGTTTTAGCATCTCCCGAAGCAGATCCGGGTCCAGATCCATTGGCCAGTACGGCCGCCTTCTTTTCATCATCTCCACTATCGTCGTAGTCATCGTTGATCTTAATGTCTCTTGCAGCCCGCTCCGGCTCACTGGTAGGGGCTGCAGGACGAGAAGCTGCGGGCTGCTCGCCAGATGCCGCACGCTCATCCTTAGGAGCAGGGGGAGCATGGGGAGGCTTCTCGGAGCTAGGAGTAGAAACAGGTGCCGGACCCTGTGGAATTGTTGGGTGGTGATTCTGCGGGCCGACAGAATGGTTTTGCGAGTGGTGAGCAGCTTCACTGGGGTGATAACCCTCGTTACGTGGCTCCTCGGGCCGTCTTGACTCATCCGGGCGTCTCGCTTCAGAAGAGTTGCGACGGTAAGGGTCACGCTCGCGTGGAGGTGTTGAAGGTCGTCGATGACGCAAATCCTCGAGGCGAGCACGGTTCTCCTCGTTCGCCTGTTTCTTGACGGCCGATTCCTCCTCCCACTCCCGAACTCGCTTGGGGCCAGCAGAGCCTGGTCGCTCCTCAGTTCGCTGTGGATGGCTCTCGGCCAAGGGGGCAGGGGGGGGATGAGCACTCTCAGGAGCACCTTGAGGCGGTGCCTCTGAGTGATGGTTGTAAGGAGGACCCGGTGGGTGTTGCGGGTAGGCTGTCTTAGGAGAAGGGATACGGTTCTCATGAGGCGGTCTACCGTCAGGGCGCGGGCTGTTGTTAGCCCGGAATGGTGTTGCACCGTTAGGTGCATTCACTCCATTCGAATGACCCGAGGGAGGAGCTGATGCCACTGAAGGGACTTGGCCACCCCAGTTAGGATTCGGGACACGGGCATCAGGGCCCAGAGCTGGGCCTTGTGAGGGTGGTGGCTGCTGTTGCTGCGATGGAGGAGGCTGGGAATATTGATGGCTAGAAGGACCAGGTGACTGACCACGACGAGGTGGTGGTGCAGAGCGGCCGGGCTCAGGGAAAGCTGGTCGCATTTGCTGGTCCTGTTGAGGAGTAGGCTGGCGCTGCAGAGGAGGCACAGCTCCACGGAAGCCATCGCCACCACGGTTGTCATAGGGATTGGGAGGTTGAGGTGGTGGGTTGACGCCCGAAAGCCCCCGAGCCCAGCTGTCCCCGGCTCCTCCTTGCTGTTGGTGATGCGGTCCGTTGCTGGGAGGCTGTTGAGCAGGTCCAGCCCAGGACGGTGCGACAGGACCGACTGGCCCGGTGGTCTGGTAGGCTTGCGGATGCACATCGGCAGGCTGGGGAGCAGCTGGTGGGGGTCCGCCATTACTAGATCCAGATCGCAGAAGCTGCAGTCGCGCCTTAATGTGGGGGTTCGCAGGATCGAGCTCAGCAGCCCGCTGATAGGCATCCAGAGCATCTGTGATTTGATTATTGCAAGATTCATACTGGAATATGTTAGCGAGGTTGAGCAAAGGGTTGATCTAGCTGAGAAGCATACCAATGTACCGAGGTCGTACCAAACCTCTGAGATGTAGGGGTTCAGACGAATAGCGCGAGAATATGCATCAAGTGCGTCTCTGTACTGGTTGATCTGATAGTAGAGGACACCGATAGAACACCAGAAGGTTGGGTTCTTTCCGTCTCGGTATACAGCCTGCTGGTACGCTTCATAGGCCTTGGGATATTTCTGCTGTGACATGTAGCATCGGCCCAGCAGGTACCAGCTTTGTGCGTCCTGGTTGTCTTTGGGGAATTGTCAGTCTGCGCTCCACGCGCGGAAGTTGAGTGTTCACTATACCTGCTCCAACAGACTTCTCGAGGTACTGAATAGCACGCTCCTGAACATCAAATGCATTGCTTTGCTGATGATGCAACCATCCAAGCTGCTGCAAAACCTTGGCATGGTTGGGAGTGTTTTCCAAAACCCGGTTGTAGGCGTTCTTGGCATTATCAAACTAAGACAGGCGTCAGCATCCAACCAGAAAAAAAGATTTGACCGGAGAGGCAGAAATACATCTTTCTGTTGTTCATGAACATGTCCGATTTGAAACCAGATGTCGTCTTGCGACAATGGCGAAGGTGGTGAGGAGACAATGTATTTGAAGCACTATGTCCGATGTCAGTTCTGGAAGAGCTGGTAGCAAGGCGGATGGGTCACCAACATCTAAACTTTGTGCGAACTTTGACTGTTGCTTGTAAATTATACCAAGGCGGAAGTATATTTCGTTCGCCTTTTCGAAATCGGGCTGGAACTGCATGACTTGGCCGAACGCCTCTTCGGCATATTCAAAACTGCCATAACGGTCGTATAGTATACCAATTCCGTACCACAGCATCGGGTCCTGGAATATGTTAGGCGCGCGGATAGCTTGAATCGGACAATCGTCGACGTACCTTGCAATCACGAAGATTTACTAACGCCTGCTGGTAGGCATCGTAGGCCTTTTGCAAATTTTCCGTCATCAAGTAGCAGTGACCTGCATGGAAAAGGTTAAATCATCGTTTTGCGAACCGGCCGAACGCGCGTTTAACTCACCAAGATTTGCCCAAGCCTCTCCATTTGTCTGGTCAAGTTGCGTGATAGCCCTGAAGTATTCCAGCGCCTTGTCATACGCCTCGCGGCCCTTGAGCAGCATGCCGATGGCATTCATGGCTGGGATGGAGTTATTGTTGGCCCCTAGCGCACGCTCATAAGCGTGCATGGCCTCGTCTGGGACGCGTAGAAGCTCCGAACAGCTTCCTAAGAACAGAGCATTAGCACGACTGTAGCCAGCGCAACGGTGGAAGAACCAGCCAGACTTACCGATCTGCAGCCATACAGCTTCATTTGCCGCTGCGATGGCATGACCTGACGATGGGAAGTGGCCGGCTTGCTGATGGGGATGGGGCGGTGGAGGAGGGGGCGCTTGGTGGCCCTGATGATGCCCTGGCTGCTGCTGTATTTGCATCATGGTGGGAGAGGGATGATGGTTGGCCATGGCGCATCAAGCTCGATTACTTGACGAGAACGAGACGGGCCAAAATTTGGGCAACCCGTAGATAGCTTGTGAAGCTCTGGTATAGGTATCTAACGACGCCGGGATGTGGCTGATTCGATGGTTGAAGCGTTGAGCTGGGCGCGAGGGCCCAATGTGTGGCGGTCAGGTCTGGCGCGGACGTGGAACAAAATAAAAGTCAAGGCGTGAAGCTGGCGCGGAACCGGGGGAAAACAGTGAAGTGAGTGTAAGGAAAGATATGGGGGCTGGGTACGAATAATAAGTAATGGCGAGCGCGAGAGGGTAGGCCAATGTGGTTGAGGACTCGATCCCAATCTGCGCCAACTCCTTTGGATCCTATGGAGGTGAGAAGAAGCAGCTGGGGATCGGGAGAACGAAGGCGGCTCGAATGGATCGAACGAACAGAAGGGGGGAACAGCGAAACTCTCCTTCAAACGAAAAAAAGCGGGGCTCCAAACTCCCCCAACCCATCAACTCCGCTTTTTTTGGAATGCAGGCAACATGGCCATGGCGGCTGTCGAGGCTTGCTCCCCTTGCAAGACAACACTGCACCAGGTACGGAGTACATACGCGCTAATCTGACCCCGGCTGCTGATGTCGGCAGGTGGGCAGGTACCCAAGTACCTCATGTTGGTCCAGCCCGGGCAAGGTCTACTCCGTAGTAGGTAAGGTAAGGACCTAACCTTAGGTGAGATGAAGGCGACCAGGCCGGCTCTATTTCCACTGACTCGGCTCGTAGCTGGGCCGGCGCCCTAGCAGCGCAGGGTCGCCGCGCAGTGCGTGCAGGCAGCGCACGCGAACGACCAGCACGCAAGCGCCGACGACGCCAGAGGGCACGGCGATACTTGCATCGCCGTTGGGCACATGAAGGTGGCCGACGGTTGCCTCAAGCCGAGGGCTGCCAATTGGGCTGAAGGATTCGATTTGTCAGGCATGAACCCCAACCACCAGCAGAGGCTGTGACTCGTGAGGTGTTCCTAGTGAGGTTCGGCCCTTGTCGCCTGTGATACCGTGTACGTATCCCTTTCTGAAAATGTGGATGTGCAGAAACACAGTATCATGCACCCCACCGCCCCTCCCCCCAAAAGCGGCAGCTCTGGTCTGGTCCGCCAGGGCCGCCCGGTGAGCCAGCGTCAGTACCCTCCACCACCATTTTGGCACTCGCATCGGCATGCACACGCTGGGCGCACTGCATATACACCCACAATCACACCTCACCCATCACACACCCACACCCTCTGATGCTCTCCCCACTACGTAATAGTGCCAATGTATTACCCTGGGCGGTGATACGCCACCACCCACCCTACAAGCGAGTCTTACATTAAGTTTTGCAATAAATATCCCGATGAGAATCTCGTGCTTGGTACTGGCTGCTATCGTGGTCGCCTGCCTGCTGGGCTTTGCCCTCTGCTGCTCTGCTGGACGTCACGAGCTCAGTTGCAGGGAGCCACCGCCCAACGCCCATGTCCAGGGGCCGGGCTGTTTTCCGGCCGGGTTGTGCGCTGGCTCGGCCTCATGTCGCAAACCAACGCCCATATCTGATAACGCACTTGCTTGCTTTTTCGCCTCATAGCACGGACATACGTATCTCATCAGGCGACCAGACCAATGTCTTCATTGGCCGGGGTAAGTTCAGCAGGCAATTTACCGTCTCGAAAGCGACATATATGATTGGCCCGAGCACACTTAAATTATCGAGGTCATAGCTTTGGCTGCCCTGAACAAGGGTTCCTATCGATGCCAACGAGACGTCAGAGTCCAATAATCGCCGGATAAAAAATTCAAGGCTAATTTTGCAAAGGTAAACTCCCTGTTTCTTGGGTCTGCTCAGCTCACTCGCAGTGTGCTGGATCCATCTAACATCATCTGCCTTTTGGACTATGGAATTTAGCGGGAGTTGCGTCACCCGGTTTGTTGGCCAATGAACGGCTCGTGTGATCCCGGCTTGACTGCCGTCATTTAGCAACTCTAGTCGAGCTGGTTTGCACCTATGGATGCTGTCTACACGCACTTGGGGAACCAAATCACTTCCGCGTCCAGGCTTGCACGGTTCCCCCGTTTGCCCACACGCCCCGTCATCATCCCAACATGTGGCTATTGCCCCCGTACTAGCTCGATCCCCAAGGCAGATGCGTGCCTCTCTCCCTGAGTGCCCCCACCAACGCTTATGTTCAGCCCTGCCCCCTCCGATTTCTCCCACCCTAAACACAGCTTCTGCTGTGTGTTCCAGCGGCCGAGCGGAGATCGTTCTGTGATGAGTGATAAACGAGCTCAGCTCCTGCTGCGCCGGATCAAAGTCCAATACTTGCCTCACTCATCTCGCTCGGGAATTACGCTGGCTGCCTATGTGCCTGGTTGGTTTGATGGCTTGGTAGTTCCCACCGGTTTAAGCCTTCGATCCTAGCTCCGGCGTGTGCCCCCCCAACAAATCAAACTACACTTCGACCGTTGCGCCTCCATTTCATTGATGAGCTAAACATGGTGTTCTTTCCTTATTCCAGCATACTCCAACCTTCCATTTGTCGGCCGAGGCGACCAAATGGATCGTAACAGTTCGGCAACGCTGTGCAAACCGTGCTGCGATCTGACCATTAAAGGAGTCCTGACCCATGTAATGGACAGGCAGAATTCCCGTCCGCTTTACTAGGTAACATGGTGCCCTAGCCCACCGCCATCGCTATAATCCTGGAGAAAATCCCCCTTCCCAGCGCCCACTCCCCCATCGGATAAACAAAGACCCCCAGAACTGCGCTTTGCTGCCTCGTGTGGCCAACTTCGCGACACAGCCTTTGATCTTTGGCTGGATCACCGAAATGGCCTCTCATGATCTGATATCGGTCCGCAAGGGGGTCGCATTAAAACAGCCCGGCACAGTGGTGAACGAGGGTGGCGCTGCTGCATGTCAGGCAGCTCTGCCATCCGCTGCCCTTCCCGAGTTAAATCTGACATCCTGGCAACTGGACTTTTACAGCCCCCCGGGATTACGGAGGCGTGCTGGGTGACTTCTAGTGCGTATTTTGAAGATGCACTACGGGTACAGCCGTGCTAAATATGGCATATCAACCTCATGTCCAGTTCTTCTGATGACAATATGTCAACAATTCTATATTTTCCGACACATTTTGACCACGATGTTATCGTATCATCTATAGGAATGCTCAAGAAGTAATAGTTACCTAGGCACGCCTCCATTATCAGTGAGGCTTGCGCTTGCGACGTGGGTGGTCTGATGGCGCGGGTAGCCATGCCATGGATTGAGACCGTGGTCAAGCTCGCTGGATTGCAGGCGAGCGGCACTGCTTCCTGCTTTTAGAACCACACTCCGGTACTTTTGGCCACCTTTCTCAGGAACCTACCAATCGTGGAGGGACCCCAGGGGCGCTGGCGTTAACGTCGGTAGGATGCAGGATGATGGCTTGCGTTGTTCAGAGTCACCCATGATCAGTCCTCGTTCACCAACTCAGTCTCGTTGATGACACTGAAGGACTTCCTTCAGCTTAAAAAAAAAATCTCCTCCCAGAAATACTTAAACGGCCCGGTAATTTGGTAGGGTTATCTTCGGATCCAACCTTCAGTCAAGTGGGGGAGTGCACCCCTTGCTTCCATTCGTGGTTGATATAGACGGGTGTCGCAACCCGGGAGAGGTCTCCAGTTCCGCTGCCTCTTTGCCTTTTTGGGGCATTCTGTGTTGGGGTCAAGCAACAAGACAGGAAGTGAATTAATAAAGGGCGACGTTTTAAGTGATACCGGGAGTCCTGTCCACTCAACTCGGTCGAACCACACCCGCACGCAGAGCCATCTTTCTCGCTGAACAAAAATGTAAACGAATGTAAGTGGCTGCCGTCGTCGCACACTAATAGTTCGATGTCTGCTTTTACCATGAGCAGGGCTATTCACACCCTGTTAAATGCTCTTGTGTGCGTATCTGACTAATTTCATGATTTGAATGAGACATTGTTCTTATTTTCCAGCAATAAGAAACGTTCAACAGACGATACACTGAAGACTGTTAATTTATATTATTTATTGTACATAGTATTCTCGTAATCGCCTGAAGTGGCCTATACATAGGTAGCTACCCTTCAATCTAACATTTCATTCTTCTGTCACGCTGCCAAGTGGCTGCAGCGGCTACACAGAACACCTAAGATATTTTCGCAAGGTGCGAATAGACCGACCCTCCTACCACACCATTTTCTGATTGATATCAGCTGATATGACGTGCTGTCTTGGGGAGGAGACCTGGAGGTGGCAGTCTGAAACATCCAGCCCTAACAAGTGCATGGTCACGGAAAGACAATGTGAGACGATTGTGTGTTGACCAAACCAAAGCAAATCAGTATCATAAGCAGGGTAACTAAGGAATATGTGGTAGAATCACCCCGATAACCCCCAAAACCCCGTGGAGTAAAAGCATCGCTATGTATGTCCTAGTAATACATCAACACGTATAGTTGTAAGTCAATCAAGGACAGTCACTTTTCTAGCCAACATCCTGACGAATGGCTCACCCATGGTAACACCATGGTATCAAATATCCCAATATCACATTACACTCCATCCAGCCTCTCGCTCGACCCCGGCTCAGCTCGAGTTGGAATCGTCGTCATGGTCGGGGTCAAACTTGGTCTCCCCGAGCATTGGAGCCGGCTGAGACGTCATGGCTGTTTGGGTGCTGGGCTGTGGCTGCGTTTCCACCGGCGGTCCGGTCGCTTGCACAGGGGGGTTTGGTGCGGATCGACTGGCCGCGTTGGCGCTGGCGGCATGTAATCTCTGATCCAGCGCCTTGAGAGCGATCGCCCTCCTCCTCTCGGCTTCCGCGCGAGCACTACCCGGCGTGCCACGCTGGAGGAAGCTATCGCCACGGGCGGCCGATACGTCCGCCTGGGAGAAAGGTGTGCAGATGCGCATGGCAACCAGAGTCTGAAAGACAAGATCCGAGTACGTTGCGACGAACGGCTTGACGGGGTGTGGGAAGAACTCGGCGAACGCAAATGTCTCGCTGGCGTCGCCGCGGAGGGATGCAGCTTGTGAAGACTCGAGGTCGGGAAAGACGGTCTTGTAGAATCGTAGGTATGTCCAGCTGGTGACGAAGCCGAACAAAGCCAACCACATCGAAGCGGTCGTGAGCAACGGCGTGAGAGCAAGGAGCGTAACGAGACCAATATAAACGAGCGGAAACCGTGGTACTCTCAAGGACAGGATGCCGCGGAATAGGGTCACAGTGTGTGCTGGGATGAGTTGACTGAAAGCCACGAGGAAAGAGATTTGGATGGGGATCGTGCCCGCGATAACCGTGAGCCTGTATATCTTGATTAGCAAAGAGCAACCCCACCAACGAGGAAACGATAGTTCAAGGATTGCACATACGTCCAGCGTTCATCGCGAGTTAGAGTAAAGAAGAAAACTAGGACCAAAAATGTCAAGAAGTTGGGTATCAAGGTAACTAGAGCCAGAAACTTGGCGAGTTCTCGTGATGACCACGCTCGTTCAAGATATCTCCCCCCGTAGAACAACGTTGCGCCGGCGATGCCCAAGGTGAATACATTTCCTTCAACGAGCGAAGTGCTGAGGAAAGTCCAGGGGTAGATAATCGACAGCTGAGGCACGAGCGTCAGATAAGGGATGAGTATATCGGCGGTTCCTGTCCATTGGCGGTACCGGATCGCGGCGCTGAGAATAGACTGAAACAGCAGTGCAATGAGCAGCGCTCGAGTCACCGGCGGGATGTTTATTCGAGGTGGCATGGCTCTGGATGGAGCCTGGATGGGCAGCGTTCTGCGCAGACTTTGGCGGGATAGGAGTTCAGCACTAATTCTGGTAGATACGTATTTGCTAGACACAGTAGACCACGGCAAATTGGTGATCTGGTTTGCTTCTCCGCGCACCGCCACATCCAACCCCTGGACACCAGCCACAAACTTAAAGGTACCCTGGCAGGTACCAGCCACACCCGAATGTTGATACCTGAGGAAGCAAATTGGAAACGTTGGGGAAATATGTGAAACTCAACTGCTTTGGAGCACGGGTAGTTTTTAGGTTGGCTTTTGCTGATCTTGTGCCACATTCACTGACCTCCGTGCATTGACAGCGAGATCCCAAGATGCGGCTGTGGAATTAGCAATAACGTGGCGGTGAAGAAGGCATACCAATAGCCAGCCGCTCTTCTTCTTCTTCTCCTTCTCTTATTCACTTGGTATGTCTCTGACGACGAATGCGGCAGGTCTTGGCTGACATTATCTAGTTTCTTGTCCAATCCACATACCACCAACCTTATCGGGTCCACACTAGAATGATGAAATTGTCAGTGCTCCTGTTCGTGAGCCTGCAGCATCACAGGCGCTGCCTAAAATAATCCATTGCCTGTGCATCATGTATGTACGGGAGCCTACATTTGGAGCCAGGATGCTAGAATGTGATCCCTCCCGATGGATGATCACTTGGGCGAGAAAAGGAAGGGTCATGTCTTTTTTAGGCGTTATTCAATGCATCTGCTAAGCCGAGGAGCAAGCCGGGGTAGGAGGTGGAAGGGGCTGTCACGTTCGTTTTGCTTGATCTCAGCTCTGGATACAGCCCGAAGATAGCGGGAGCAAGGATTACAGTTCCCAGAAGGCCGACCTACGGCCGAAGTGAGCAATCCTTGTGTGAGTTCAGCAGTACAGACGTCCGCATGCATTGGACATGGTTGGCACTGGCAGTTAAGCGCGGCGGTCAGCAAGTGGTTTCAGCGTTTGCCTACATACCCTCCGAGCCCCATCTTTGAATTCCTCCACGGGACAGGTAGGCAGGGCAGGTCACGATATTACATACGTGTCTAGGGAATACTAGGCTGGGCTGAGGATCCCTGCAGAGAGATGAGCACCTGAAGCGAAGAGTTGCGCATGAAATCGGTACGTATTCACTGGGTACATTGCAGATTGCGGCATTGGCCTCTTGACTGGTCCGGACGGAGGTGGACCCTGCGCATGTGCCAGGCAAGCCAAGGCTTGATGGTGGGCAAGGTTTGCTGGCGGCACCCTTTAAGCATGGGCCTGGGTCGCTCATGACGACTGCCACACAGCTGCAGCCTACATCTTCCCGCAGCGCCCAGACGCCAACCCCATTGTTTGAGCTGATGCTGCAGGCCTGCATGCAGGGCATGATTGGTGTGCATTGCACCAACAGACAGTGCCGCTGGCGAGAGAATCAATCCGCTTGAGGCCTATGTCGAGCTGGCCACCGTTAGCGAAGAACTAGACGGCGGAGCGATGGGTTGGGCCGACGGAACTTCTGGCTCTGCAAATCCTCCAGCAGCCAGAGGCGACGAAAGGGGAGTACCGATCAGTCTTGAATGGATCCGCTCGGGGAGGGGGGGCGGAGTGAAGGTACTAATAACGCGTCTGACCTTTTCTAGCCCATTATTTGGGACGAGTTATTATTACCCGCTCTTCCCATAATTTGCCCCCTCCCCAGGCCTAGGCGGAGCCAGGGTTAACAATCTTCAAATTGACCTTAAAAAGAAAAGGTTGAAAGATTACAAAAGGAAGACATGCCTCCGCTCGGCATCTCGAAAAGCAGGTTTGCGCTGGTTCGCCCCCCTTGGATGTGCAGAAGCGCACCTTGCAGGCCGGTATCTCGCTAGGCAGTTTGCGCATGTATGCATCATAAAGTCCCGCCCGTTGCTTGTCCCAGTCACCGCAGTTGAATGCTAGCTGCCGTGCTAAACCTTACGATCTGCAACAGTGATCGGTCTCAGGATTTCTCGGCCCAGGTGCCAACCCAGCTGCGGTGGGGGCGAGTCAGAGGGCACCCTCTGCAATATGCGTGAGGGTTGTCACTCGTCCGATGCCTCACATTTGCAACTACCAAAGCGGCCAGCCCGATATTTTTGCTGGGCTCAAGGTGAAGTTGCTTGAAGACGGCAGCCTAGGATGTTGACCGGCGAATTTGCGCACGGAATCGTTGGAGAGGTTCATGTGCGTCGCACCTTTTGTGGATGTGTCGGGGCGCCAAGACACACTCAGTGGCTGTTGAACAAGGAACAGCACCATGGTGGCACAGATACGTACCCTTAGATTGAGGTACGTTTTTTTTTGGGCTCCGCTCCCGGGGCAAGAGGAAGAAAGGGCCCTGCGCTAAGAACTTGCCGAGCCTCCACGTCGCTCCTCTACAGCCGGATGTACTCTGGAACCCCATCTGCTTTTCGTAAGCGGCTCATTGTGGGCAGCTTGGATCCCCAGCATTGACACGAGGGGCGCGACCACGCGCCGGTAGGCAAACGGGAGGACAGGGACAGCATCTCTACTGCCTAGGTATGTAGAAAGACTATGCTGCTCGTATCGTATTCGCGGTCGACAGCCAGGAGCTCGCGGTAGTGGGTACATCATAATAAGGGCACACATTGAATCTTGGGACCAGGCTCCCCAGAGTTTCGCCAGGTAGGGGCGTAGGGGGTGAGCATTTGAATTTGCTGGGCGAGCTGATCGACATAAAATGAATCGAAGCCTTCATAGAACAGAGCGGCTGGCCTAGTGCAAAAACCAGAGGTCGGATGCGAATTCGTCACAGCACAACCAGGTACAAACTGGGCCGAATGACTCTGGTGCCGACGACGGGGTGCATATTCTCAAAGATGTTCTCCGCCATCTTAGAGTGTGTGATTTAGTATTTTGTCACAATGTTCGCGCTAGTTTATCGCTCCATACGGTAGGTACGCTTGTTCTGTATTTGGACTAGCCCCACCCAGTATCGCCTAGATGTATCCGTGTGTGCTTCTGGATGGCCCTACCCACCCCCAAGACAGGGTACTTCTCCTAGCCATGGTGCGCTCTGGCTGGTTCGTGTCGGGCTGTATTTGGGGGCTTGCAGCGCTGCACGTTGTACCGGAAGATATGTCTTGCTTCGAGGTTTGGGAGGTCGAGGTTGGGTGGCACCTCCGCCAGTGCCCTCAGCAGCCCTGCAGTGCCTGGCCAGCGGCTGAGCCACGGACGGTACCTCGAGGGAACCTGCCTCCCTACCCGGTGGCGGTAGGCGCGTAGGTACCACTGAGGAAGCTGGTAGTGTGAGGCAATGTATGTCAGGCACGTTGTACCCTCCCTGGGCGGGTGGAGAAAGGAAGGGGAGTGGAGTCCAACTTACCGCTGCCCCGACACCAACTTTGAGATTCGATTTCATCTCTTTCTTGAATCTTCAACTTTGCTGCACCACATCGCCAAATCGCATTCCGCCGACGACCCAGGCCTCTTGGACCGCGAGAGCCTCCTGCCCGTGATCCCCAGCACCCGGCTCCGGCTTTTGACCTGCTCACCAGGCTTTTTAAGCGCTTGTATCGACCTTCCGCGACGGTGCGCCCTTCGAGGCGCGCGCCCCGGTCTCTCCTACCTACCATGGTTGTCAAGGAATTCATCGACTCGGACAGAGTCAACTTTCTCGTCTGGAGGTTCGTCCCACCCGGCGCATTGGACCGCTCTATCCCCTCTGCAGTCGAATTCGCCATCTCCCTCTTCCTGCCCGTCCTCTCGCTCTCTGCTGCCACCATGCCTCTTGCACTGTGCCTGCCTCCAGCCAGCCTCATGACCGCGGTCCCTGACTTGATCTGGCGCTATTTTACTGACTCGAATGCAGGTATTTGCTCGAATGCAGTATGTTGCACCCCAGCCACAGGCCTCTCCGCCTTGGTTCAATCGCCTGCTGCGTGCCCAGCAGGACAGTAACGCAAAGATGAACAGCTAATCTGACCACGCCCTTGTTTCTGGTCCATAGATTACCGCGAGACTGCCGCCAAGTTCCAAAAAGAGTGGCACGTCAAGGAACCTCACCAAGAGTTTCCTTTCGCACCCCACGTAAAAGGCCACGCTCTGGTATCCATCATCAATCGGGGCTTAATTTATCATGCGCTTGAGCGCCAACACATAGCAAATCAGGTACTTCCACCACCAACGACTTTGAATAGGGTTCACTCATCCCCTTCGGCCTTGATTTCATTGAATTATTCTATCACCCGTCTCCGCTTTTAGCCTCAACCCCTCCGCATCTGGATAGCCTTTTTTTTTTACCCCCAAATGAAGCGAGAAAAAAAAACTAATTCGATGGTTAGCTATCCCGAGGGGCGAATTTGGAGCATGATTTGTTGGATTTCGGTATTTTCGGCCCCCTGGTTACGCAACCCCCAGCGCAGATTGAGGATGTCGACGCTGCACTTGAACGGGCGTCAATAAACAAGCCCGCCACGGTTACCGCGCCACCCTCCGAGGATCTGGAGATTAATCGTAAACGACATCAGCAGCAATTACCCAATGGATCTCCAATTAAGCGCCAACGGCTCAGTAACAGTTCTGAGAATGGGCTGGATGCAGGCGCCGGCACCACCCCTATGGATGTTGACGCACAGGAAGGTCACCAGCAGCAACATCATGAGGATAATCACGCTTATCCGTCGCCACTGGAAGGCGAGCAGGCTACCACGCCAATGGTCCACACCGACGGCCCCGAGCAAGGGACGCAGGTAGACAAAGTCGAGGAGCTTTTGCCAGACACCACCTTTATTCGCCTCGGAAACGACTCCCTATCTTCTATTGAGAGTGACGACATGGTAAACGGTAACAACGCACCCATCCTTCTGCAGTGTGAATGGAGTCCGAAAGACCCAACTCTGCTGGCAGCCGCAGGTACAGATGCGCTCGCCCGAGTATGGTCAATTCCCCGTGGTTATGCCCCAGACCGGAAGCTGCCCAACGGTTACGTTTCTCCAGATGGACTGCCCCTGCTCGACCCTGAGACTCCTTCGAACACGACGGTCACGGCACTTGCCTGGGCGACGGATGGTCTAAACCTGGCGGTCGCAGTTGACATGCGATCAAAGGCTGCGATCAATATCTGCTCATCTGATGGAATGCTTCTTCAAACACTCACTGTTAGCGAGCCCCCAGTTGTCAAACTTGCCTGGAGCCCGCAAAGCACGTCGCTGCTATCGATTTCGCCCGAGAAAACCGGCGCTATTGTCACGGTGTATGAATCTTCTACAGGTGCTGCAAAGTCGTATGTGATTCCAGGTTACGATACGACAGCCAACAGCCTAGATGCAACTTGGACTAGCGAAAACGAGTTTGTTCTGGGTGGAGGTGACATGTTTGTTTGCCTACGTGTTGGGGAAGCTTCGATAGACCTGGTTCGCAAATTCGAGACCAGACAAGATGATAGCTTCAGGCAGGTTCTGTATGACCCATTGACGAAGATCACTGCAACTTCCAGCGAGAAGGGCGTATTAGATGTAAGTTTGTTGTTGTTTGATTTGTTCAAACGTCACCCATATACTGATCGTTTACAGCTATGGGATGAGGCTGGGCAGCGGAAATCCATAACCGCGCATCGGGGCCCTATTACCACAATGGCGTGGCAGCCTTTATCACCAACTCAAGCCAGGGCCGACGACGAGCGACTGATTGCCACCGGGGGTGAAGACTGCGCTATTTTGATATGGAATGCAAGAAGGCCAGAGAGCAAAACAAAGTGCTTCTTGACCATGGGCTCTCCAATCGTCCGCCTTGCATTTACCCCGGATGGCGCTTTTATTGCCGGCGCCACGGCGACTCAAGTTCTGATATGGAAAGTCGAAAACACGGCTGTTCCACGAGCTACGTGGACACGCCCATCGCATGCGGGATGGTCAAGCCCCAAAGAAAACTCAGAATCAGAAGAAGAGGATGAGCACTGCCTATGTTGGGACGCGAGCGGACAGAAATTGGCATATGGGTCAAACTCCAGAGTAAGCTAAACCACCCGTTCCTTCTCTGGTTGCAAATACTAACGCAAGTTCTTCCATCTAGCTCGCTGTAATCAACTTTAGTAGATGAACTCAGCTACGGCATAAATCAACCAACCGCTCAAGTGAGTCATGATTATGACGGTCTACACTCATTACATAAGTAATACGCTCTGGCGTTTCTGCAAATGTCACGTTCTCTTTTTATCGGGTTTTCTATGCGGCTTTAAGTAAACAATGCGCTTTTCGCTTCGAATATCGAGCAGACGACGCGCGTCCGGTTAGGCGCAACCACAGCAGGAAGGTATGGTTTACTATCTCGGTGTTTTCTTTTGTATACAACATTCGGGTTGCTTCGGAAATGGCATTTGGGTACATGGGAGGGCGAGTGTTTGTGGGATGTCCTCGTTGCGTCAATCTTCCGCTCTTCGGGTTTCTTCTGTCAGTCACATCTCATTCTCGACTGTTCCCATGTTATTGTTCGTTCTCTCTTCCCACCACCTTTCAGACGATGAATTGGGATAGAGTCAAAACTGGTGTATGGTTGGAGCTACAAAGCAGTGCGGGTGGGAAGGCAATGAATGAGTGATGACGGTGTCCGCTGGTAGTTGGTTGCCAGTGCAACTCTGTACAAAAAATAAAGGAAATAGTTAGGATGTAATTCATGAAATCTTTACCAACCAAATTAACTTGAGTTAATGCGAACGAAGCTGAGCAGCCAAGTGGGTGCACGAGATTGATGAGCAAGTGCAAGTAGAGCACAATCTCCAATAACCAGAATGATGCAACAAAGCTGATACAATTCGATGACATGGAATGCATTATCTGATTATTTGTTAATCATCATTACAAAGTAATCAACCATATTCATGATTGCTCTAGATGTAGCAGGACTGGAACTTTGGTGTCTCATTTCTTCAATCACTCAGCTGGCACCCCATTGGAGAGTGGTGACTTAGTCATCGAACAAGCACACCAATGATGCGAGCCGGTCGGGTCATGAAGCTGCGAGCATCATATGTATTGTCTTCCACACTCAAGAGCACAAGGTTCAATTACTGCGTTCACTCACATTTCCCATCATGTCGACTCAGAAACCGCAGCAGGGATCACCACCACTAACTCCGGCGTTCACTCCAGCCATGCGTGATCTGCAGGCTCGGGGGAAGGACCCTTTCCAAGGCAATCCTGGGCACGAGGACCACCACTCTGTGATGCATCTTGGGCTTGGGCAGTGGTAGGTCCAATTTCACGAACCCTCCCCCTTTCACTATTGTCCCACGCAATCTTTGATCCGTGTGAGTATGGGAAGAATGTGCCACTTACATATGAATGGATGGACAGCCTCCCCAAGGACACGTACGAGGCCAGAGAGCGCAGGGCCTATGCCATGTCGGTGCTGGACTCCCCGGAGAAGCTGATGATGTATGCCCAGAGCGAGAATGATGTACGTGTTGAAAACCCTGCTCGTTTCGCCAACTTGCATTCACAACCCCTCTTCTCTCTCTCTCTCTCTCTCTCTCTCTCCGTCCTTCTTTTGACGTACTCCCCGCTTCTGGGGGACCGTGACGGCTAACGCTTGGGCTTCTTGCTCGCCCATAGTCTATTCCCAGCCAGCGGCTGCGCTTCATGCAGATGGCCGCAGGCCTGAGCCCCGAGAGGATGAACCCGGACCTCAACATGCCCCCGGAGATCGGGTCGAAGAGCAACCCGCCCACCCAGCTGAAGGGTCCGGAGTTGGGACGGCGGATCGTGAGTGGTGCTGGCGGCTTCACCATTGCGGGACCCTCGAGCGGATGAGGGGCAGCCGGGTGATTGAGATGGCCACTCTGCGGGCAGGGCGTTTCTACAAGTGAGGGACTGTGAAAACAAGTATGAAGGCACGATTATTAATGATGTAATGAACAAATCACCAATTGAACAAAAAAAGCTATGTTAAATGTCTAACAAGTTTCTTATTTGCGCTTGCCGATGAGGCTGGTTTTTTTTCCAAGTTACAAACGTATAATCCAAAAAAGGGGGCGGAAAATGTCAAGGAACAAAATATCAATCAAGCCCCGAATACTGGGCATCCAGCCACCCACATCCAAGCTTGTTCGAACCCAGTGTGCTTCTTTGGATCCATCTATGCAAATGCCAATAACAATAATCATCAGAAATAGACGAGGAGAAGTATAGTATCATCAACCATAAAGGCGGGAAAAGATCAACCCAAAACGCCTGCAGAAATGATGCAACAACCGCATAAAGACCTGCTCAGTTCTAAGCAAAAAGGGAAAAATAAAAACAGAATCAATATTCGATGATCTATGATCAGGTGCGAAGAACGCTCTTTCTATGCAGGAATATACATAGTATCAAGCATATCTTGAGCTGTGAGTGCGGTTCCACGTCCTCTCCTCAATGGGCGGCACCGGCTCATAGTTTCCATAACCAGGGGGGCGGGATGGGTGACCCCCGCGAGTGAAAGCTGCTGCACCGTTGGCGCCGCTCATCGCCGTACGCTTGGCTGCGCCGTTCCGCATCCTGCGGCGCTTGCAGCTGCTCCAGATACAGCTGACGATGGCAAGCAGGAGGAGAGCACCAATGACACTGCCCACCGGGATGGCAATGTTCTTGTGGTCCTCGAACCACTCTTGGATCCTGCCCCAGGTGCTCGAGCCCTCGCAGACTCCAGTCTTGCACTTGCCCTTGCCGGCACAGTCGGTGCCGTCGAGGAAGTTTGTGTTGTAGATGGAGCAAGTATCTCCGCCAGTTGTGCAGGATATGCGGCAAACATCATACGCACAGCTCTGGATAGAGGAATTGCTAATCTTGCTGCTGGCAAGGGTAGTGCGACATTGCTCGGTACGAGAAGTGCACTGGCCCGATGCGCAATGCAATCCATTACCACATCCATCGCCGTCTTTAAGGTGGCTATCAGTTGGGCAATCACCCGCATCACCGGGGCAAGTCTCCTCAGGGTCGCATTGGCCAGTGCTCTCACGGCAGACGGTGCCCTTGGATAGGAACTGGCACGAGGATGTGCAACATCTCTCGTTGTCTGGGTCGCAGACGGCATTGGTCTTATACTTGCACGTGGTCGCATCACAGCACGAGTTGTTTGTGCACCCCTTCTCGCCACCGCAGTCGCAGTCCTCACCACTCTCGACGATTCCGTTTCCACACTGGCTGCCCGTAAAAGTACCAATGTCTTTATTGTCCGACAGACACTCATCGTCCACGGTACCCAGAAGTCCAGAGCAAATGTTGCCAATGCTGCAAGGAGAGAAGTTGGTGATGCCCGACTCCGTGGACGGGTTCATGATATACTTGCCGCCGGCGTCACAGGTGCTCGAGCTGAATGGACAGCAAGATTGCGTGGTAGTGCTGACGGGGCAAGTCGAGCTAGCGCAGTCATGAACGGCACCGAACGTATGGCCAGTTTCGTGTGCAAACACTTGCCATTCCGCGGATGTCTTCACCACAACGTTGGTCGCGGCGATGGTTTCGTTGCCCCCAGTGCTTCCCTTGGCCTGGGACGAGCCTTCACGGCAAAGCTGGCCTCTCCAGGCAAGACCAACGGCCGACTGGGTGGCGCAAGTGGTGAGGAGCGTCCAATAAGCATTCTTGTCCGCATATCGGCCGCGCCAATCAGAGAAAAGGTTCAATCGCTTGCTGAGGTCGCCGTCGCTGCAGCCCAAGTTCCAGGGGGACTGGTCGGAGGCAGTCGAAGCGCACTCCTGATCGATCATGGTCAAGTTCTTGATACCTAGAGAGATGTTGAAGGTGTCTTCGTAAAGCTGAGATGCGGTGTTGACCATGCTGATAACATGCTCCTGCACCTTGTCCTTGTCCTTGTCAAATGCCGACCAGTAGTTGCAGTCAGTCGCGATTCCGACCAGGGCAACCTTCCTCGTTGTAGGGCAGCCCTTGGTCTGTCCAATAGTTGAGTAGTAGTTGGCACCAGCGTCATCGCCAGTATCGACCGTCTGGCGGCCAAAGAGGGATGCAGCGCTGATGGATGCCAGAGATCTCTTTCGCAGGTTGGCATCGTACTGGCTGTTGAATTCCAATGTATCGGCACCGCAGCTGGACACCGTCTCCAATCCGCGCTTCTTGAGTTCCATGTCGGAATCAGGAATAACATCAGAGTCTCGGAATACCACCATCCTCTCCCCGTTCTCCTCGGAAACAGTGACTTCCGGATCGTCCTGGTGCTTCACCTTGCGATAGTTCGAAACCGTGTGGATGTGGTGGCTATCACCGTCGATTCGGAAAGCTCCCTCGAAAACAGGCTTGAGCCCATCCTGGCGGACCGTGATACGCGCCCATCCAGCATGCGACCAGCCCGATCGTCCATGGCGATGTACAAACGCACGCCCCTTGTATATACGATGGGACTCCGCGGGGATGGGCTCTGTCGTCCGGGTCTCGCCGTCGCTTCCGACATATGTAATGGCGAACTCATCGTGGAGTAGGTCGTAATTCGGCTCCAGGACAAACCGGATCGGCTGGTCGCCGTTGTGAAGAGTGAATGTTAGGTCGAAGCTTGATCGGGAGTGAACCTTGTGCGACGGAGTGTCGATGACGGGCTCGTCTACAAGCGAGACATAGCTGACAGGATTACGCTGGAGAGAGTGGCCTGGTTAAGCGGAGGCAGCGGCCGGTTAGCCGTTGGACCAGATTGTTTCCCTCTCGTGAACGACGGGAACCTACCTAGAGCCGTTTGGAACACTAACGCGGCACCCGCGATAGCAACTGCAATGGGCCGAAGGGCAATCATCGTCGAAAGGAATGAGGAGCGAACCCAAAAATGGGACTATCAAGAGAATGACGCTAGCAACTCCAAGCCATGCAGCAGAAGACCTCCACAGGGAATGGGGCGAAATAAACACGCTGGGGGAAAACTATAGGCCGGGCAATATATATATATAAATCTTAAATCAGGTAGCCAGCCAGCAAACGAGCGGTTGAGGCTTCTGGTGATGGGACCGAACCGACAGAGACCGGTGAGGAGGGTGCGGCGGTTGAGAGGGAACGCAGCGGGTGTGGCTCGCTCACGATGAATGGTCGGTGTGGTCGTCCTAAGATATCAGGTAGGCGGGAGTAGAGAATGAACGAGCGAGCTAGACGGGAGGAAACAGGATAGATGACACTGGCGTATGGGCAGGGCTGACCGGCTGACACCAACCAAACGAGCGAGAGACGATCAGAACGGGGCCAGCGCTGAGCCAAAATCCGGAGCGGCGTAGCGAATGTGGACACAGGACTCGTCAGCGCATAACAAAGTGGTGGTTGGATAATCAAGGCTGGGCGTAAAAAATGTGGGTGGTCAAGACATTGACAAATTGAACAATCCCCCCACCAGCAAAGTCCCTTGACGGGCAGCGGGGACGTCCCGTAGGCCACTGAGAGGGCCAGTTTAGGCTCTAGCGATCGCCCTCAGAGCAAGGCCAGGGACGGCAGCGGCCATCCTATTCTTAGCAGGGCGGTTGCAGGCAAGTGCGCTATGTGTGCACCAACTGCATGCTACTGTAGGTGGTTCCTTGCGCCGCACTGCCTCTATTCTTAGCACCCCCAACACGTGAACAGTCAGAACCACCCGCCATCCCTGCACCACGAACCATGGGAAAAGATGACTTCTCGGTGCATCTTGCTCGGGTTCTGTCAGGAAAGCTGATCTGGAAACAACACGCTTACAAGCCGCCGCACCCACCTGCCTGGGACACCGTGGAAGCCACAGACGCTGTGCACGCACCTACGCCCACAGCCCCCAATAATCCGGCAAATTGCTCAACCTCTCGGCGCTGCAAGCCAAGCCGCTGTTAGTCTCCCGGGCCATGGCTAGCTGGCTCTTGGCTGGATTGGTCCCAGTTATCACGATGCCGGCTCTTCCTCAGCTATTGGACCCAGTCAAGCCGCACCCATGGTTGAAACAGCATTGAGCCGCCATAGCTCAATGCGAGTGTCACAGAGGGATGCGGGCAATCCCCCCCGCGATACGAAAGGACCTGCGTCAAGTGCAACCTGGGCATTCTTCAGCTCCAAAGTACCCAAGCAATGAGCTGACCCTCGTCCTTCCGTCTGTCTCTTGGCCGCGCTGGTGAGTAATTTCGGATCGCCCAGATCCTTGCCCTGTACGTAGACCCCTGCCGCCAGGAGATTTAGCAGGCGCAGATTGTTATCTGTCTCATCTCATCGTGTTCAACCCTGCCAGGGGTCCTCAAATGTGTCAAGGTCAAGCCCTTTGAATCAACAACCCAGTTTACACAAGAAGGCGGTCTCTCATCTGTCTGCCTCCTTATTAGACATGGAATAGAATGTGTTTTCTGGGTCGATCTTGGACTTCCATCTGTGGGCCGCGATGGAAGATTGTATGTACAAAGTAGCGATCATTTCGTGGTGCATATACCCTTTTCTTCGTGAGGGATGCGTTTTTGGGTACAAAACAACAGGCCGCAACTATGTCATGCAGTGGACTTACGAATCCACTCGCGGGTGACAGGGAGATTGAACCCCTCCTTGAAGACTCCTGTGGAGCCTTATAGCGAGGGACATCAGTCAGCTCGATAGCGATCTCAACTCAGTTCATATTGAAATCAAAACCCCTCTCGGGGAAAAGGTAGGAGAACACTAGAGAAAGAGAGAAAGAGGGGGGGAAAACCCCCCAAAAAACTGATGATTCTTGGGGGCTCAATATCGTACGTATTCAACATATCACCGTGATCGAATTGACCGTATCGAATCCAACATAAGCTCTACTCGTTAGTCAAGGACTCACTAGCTCCTCACAGAAATTTGCAGACAGCGGAAGAATCATTTTTGGTGGTATTAAATCCACTATTTTCCCATCGATTCACAATAGCGGCTATTCTAGTTCTGATGGCTAGATCGGGGTGCGGACGAAACGCACACTTCCAAGAAGATCGCAAATCCATCTCCTTCCACTGACCCTTTATAACCGTTTCCTCCTATTCCCTCAACCCAGAACGAACCTCACATTGTTAGACGATCATCCAAAGATACCGTCATTCTTTGGTTCAAACTCAATATGCGGCCGGTCCTGAGCTGCCTCAGGAACTATGATCGGGTCTTTGGCCGTTATACCTTCCAAGATGGGGACTGTCATACCAAGCTACACAGAGAGTCAGCAAATCAGAAGCAGAGAGATGTGCGGGAAACGTGAAGTACCAAAAAGTATCTGATTTTCACCGTGTGCAACAGATTTGCGGCTTTGGACGTGACCTGGAATCGGAGGACACTCCATCCAAAAGGTGGCAAATCATGCACAATAGCGAGCGCTGGATTCTCCAGGTTGAGAGATCCATGGGCATTATTCGGAGAACGGATCGCTTCTTCTACTGTTTCTCCAGGAAAATGCTGTCCGGAACCGGAACCGAGAAGCCAGGCCGGGTCTCCATGCTTGTACAGCGGGATAGTGTCGTTGATCTCGTTCTCTATGATGAGATCAACTACGGATCCAACTGGCAATTGGCTAATGATAGGCTTATCCAAAGTCCCATTGGAATCAAGTTGATGGAAGAGGAGAGGGGTCATGGCTCCACGGAATAGCTGCCAGGGCTTTTCGTTCAGGTAATATTCGGGCACCTTGGGCTCTGTTTTGGACGGCTGTGAACCAGCTGATAGGCGAAAAGTAAAGTCAACATGCCCTATGTGGCTCTTGCTAACGATAGGAGGTGGCCGAGGAGGATAAGGAGGAAGAAATTGGCCCTCAGTTGTCTTGCAGTGGGCCTTCGTAGAGGCGTCAGCGAGGAGACACACGTCCTTGGGCGACGCAGGTACAGGGAATTCCATGGGCTCTCCATATCGGGGCAAACGCTTGGCCTTTTTACATGAACGCATCAGCCTTTGTTACGTATGGGTCCCCACTGAACGCACCGGATATCTCAAAATCGAGTAACCCTGAAGGTTTTGCAGTTGACTGGTTGACGAGATTCGGATGGCATAATCGCCCGGTTCAGCATCAAGTTTCACCAGGACGGTAATTCGACTGGCACTCGGTATGTAGACGACCTGTCATGGCCACATTAGCGTCGGCTGTCCCAGAGTCTACATATAGTTTACCGTACGTCGGTATGTTCAGGAACGACGAACCCGCCGTTGTTGGCAACGGCAATTATCCTATGGCCATCAATGGATACTTTGACTGAGTGCTCGAAGCCGTTATTCAGCAGGTTCATCATCATGTAGCCCTGACCGCCCGTCTCGAAGACCTAAAATGTGGAAGTCAATACGTAAGTCACCCACAACGTTGTCTTTTCAATATACCTCATAGTCCGCATTGGTAGGCGAACAAGACTCGTCTGGCAGACCTGGTGGCTGTATACATCCTTTACCATCAAGAGCCTTCCCATTGAGGTATTCAAAGTTGGGCTGGCGACAGTGAACGCGGCCTTTACCTATCTCACGGAAAGGGTTTATTAGCTCATCCCAATAGGTGCATACGAGTCCAGATATGCTGTGCTCACCGTTGACTAGGATTGAATCATAGCAGTAGTACTCGGACCCCTCCGCTCTCATGCGAAGCAGTTTCCAAACGGTATCGCGATGCTGGTGGTTCTGAATCACCGCATGATGGATCGCACGCTCGGCCTCTTCAATCTGTCGCAGTTCGAGGCGGTCATTCGTGATCAAATGGTAGGGGCGCGGCCGTGATGGGCTGGGCGCAATATAGACGAGACCGTAGAGTCCCTAGAGAAAATGTTATGAACGCCGTTTGACCCCAAACCCCACCCGGTAGGATACCTACATCTACTGAGGCCGATGAGGTGTGCTCGGCGTACCAGTTCAGGCCCCAGTTTCCGGTAGTATCGTATGCAGTTGTCCAGTTACCCCTTGGTAGCGTAGGGAACTGCGTTCAGCAGTGTCAGATGCGACATGTGCAATACCCGGAATACCTTCGGTCAAAGATATATCGATAGGATCACTAACCTGCGACATGCCAGCTGTGCCATCGTTCCAGGGGCCAGTCCTAGTGAAGGTCTCATTAGTAACGAAGAGGAAGATCCGGGGAAAGAAAATTATTCATCAGGAACTGCTGCCCAACTTACTTGGGGTGTGCAAACCCGGACCTAGATACAGCCCTTATTTTAGCATGCCAAAGGAGAAATAGTATGTAGTAGTACTCGTTCTTACAAGTGAATAGATGACTGTGCATAAATGTCGCTTCGAACCGATATTTCAATCACATCTCCCTCTTCGGCGTACAATGTTGGGCAAGGGCTCTGACCATTGCAGACAAACATTACCCTCCACCGGCCGCCATCTAGTCATGATGTTAGCCTGTTTATGGCTGGAGTCTAGCCGAAACGGTCGCTGACCTGGATTCATCCATCGGACACCCGTCTCAAGACTGTAAGATCGGGTCAGACGGGCCAGCCGTCCTAGGTCATCATCCTCCCAAGCGGAGAGGAAGAGCGGGTGTGAAAATCGTAGGTACCCGAGGCAGAGCGCAACAAAAACGACCAGGGAAACAATAGACGGCATCCGAGTTTTCTTTGAAAGGTGGCAGTGGCGCCTTGCTGTCGAGAACAGGCCGAGCCTGCTGTCGGTAACATACTTATCTTGTTTTTCCATACCTGATGACACTAAGATGCTCGAAGAGAACAAGTTGTTGAGATTATACGCCCTCTCCCGGAGTCGCCGAAGTACAAAAGATATATACTCGACACGTTTGTCAAGTTTTCCCCCGTGGGGATGCGACAATCTATGCCTAAGTTGGCCCGGAGAAATCGACGATGCCGCCTCGTAGAGGTTACATAGCGACAGACAGCCCAGCAAGTTGGTGACATAACAGATGAGGCACCGAATTTTACCGTACAGGGGGGGGCTGTTTCTGGAGCTAGTGTAGGATACATTTTTTGCGGCTGGGCATATGTGAGAGGTTAGTAACAGGTGTCAATGCTTACTGATGGGTATGCCCATGCAAGACACAATATCAAGACGCTGTTATCTCCTGCTAATAGGTTTTATGATGAAGCAGCCTGCCTAGCTGTCTCTTGTTATGACGAGCTGTAGCTCTAACTCTGACTTAGCTGTAAACTCAGAGATTTCTAAACTCAGAGATTTCTAAACTCAGAGATATCTAAACTCAGAGACATCTAAACTCAGAGGTATCCAAATTCAGAGATATCTAAACTCAGAGACATCTAAACTCAGAGATATCTCAAATTAAACTCCCATTTGGTTGTAACATCTATCATGAATTAACACCCTGCCCAGGAATTTGACCCTTTTAACAGGCCCACCAGTAGTGACAGACATCAGCGCTAGACTTCCTATCCTAGAGCATATACAAGAAAGCCCCTCCCCATACGATGAGTTCTTCTTTTTAATGTCGATCTGTTATGTCACCCACTTGCCTGGCAACTCGCAAATGATGGGATGGGGGTAACTGATCCACACAGCTTGACAGCCCCTTTCATCTTCTGGACCGTTGGAAATGCTCCGGGTCGCCCTACGCCCATATCCACACCTCCTTGGTGACATACGCGGTAGACGTCGATTCTTACTGTAATAGAGGCACCTCACGATCGATCAAGCTTGAGAGCCTGCGATACCTCATGCCAGGCTAGAGGGCCCGCGCCCAGCTCGTATACTTTGTTAGTTGTAGCCCTTTGTATACAGGGAGATCGCTGGTACAAGTAGTATCAGCCTTCTTACACCTAAAATGATGTACCTGGGATCTGTATTCAACCGGTTGGGCTAGACCCCGGGAACGCACATTTCAACAGTCCAGGAGATGGAGCGCTCACTATTAAACTGGCTCCCTAGCCCCGTTCCTTGTCCCGGTGGGAGTCAAAGCTCTGGGGAAACAAGCAACGTTCCACAACAACCCTTCGGCAGTTATCTCAAGGATCGTATTCATCGCCATGCGTCTCTCTGTTTTGAACATTGGCTTGATATTGTGGCTTGTGGATTCAGCAGCGGCTGTGAGAAAGTACAACTTGACAATCACTAACGAATGGCGCGCTGCAGATGGTCATGGCCGTCCGATTTTCCTCATGAACGGCCAAAGCCCGGGCCCTCTGATCGAGGCGGAAGAGGGTGAGGAGATCGAGGTGTTTGTCGACAACCAGCTCGCCACGGAAACGACCATGCACTGGTGCGTCTGATGAGTGTCCCATCAAAATATATTGTCCCATCAAAATATATGTTTGCTGCTGACTCGGTGGCTACCTAGGCACGGTGTTTATCAGGTTGATAGGCCTTGGAATGACGGAGTTCCAGGTGTGACTCAATACTCGATCCAGCCTCGTGACAACTACACGTACCGCTTCACTGTGCAGCAGCAATACGGCAGCTACTTCTACCATGGGCACTTTGGCCCCGCCTTCGCCGATGGCCAGAGGGGTCCGATATGGATTTCTCCGGCGTCGTCGAGACCGCGGCCCTATTCACTCGTGTCGCCTTCGCCGGGAGACATATCGCACATGAAACGCGCTGAGGAGAATCCTAGGCATGTCGTCATTAGTGATTGGAACGCCGAGCCTATGGATATCCTGCTCATTATGTATCGCGATACGGGCATTGTGCCGTGGTGTAGTAATTCTATCGTGCTGAACGGCAAAGGCAGGACATATTGCCACACCAAGGAGCTCTTGGAGGAGGTGGGCGGTGCTGGAAGAAATACCCTTGGCTGTTTGCTACAGCCCAAGCAGAGCATGTACACCAACGAACAGACCTGCGAGCCAACAGAGGGGCAGCTTGAAATCATCGAGGCCGAGGATGGAGAAGAGTGGATTTGGATCAACTTCATCCACTCGGGAGCGCACCACGAACTGCAGATTAGCATCGATGAGCACGAGATGTACGTTGTTGCTGCGGACGGCGAGTTTGTGCATCCTCAGAAAGTACATGCTGCCAACTGCAACTTGGGAGAACGCATCAGGTAAGTTAGTCCACGATTTCATTACGCGCAGTTCGTGTATTCATGCCATTGTACCTGAAGACTGATGTAATGACAGCATTCTAGTTCACCTGGACCGGAAACCGGGCGACTATGCCATCAGAATAACATCGCTCCGGACGGAACAAATCATCCATGGCCTCGGCATTCTTCGTTACCCGACCCAGAATAAGTTGTCTGCTCCCAGCATTCCCATCACGAAGCCATGGGTGTATCTTAACGGGTCGCTGGTCTCGCCCTCCCTGAAGGCCATGGATGAGATGAAGCTTGTCCCCTACCCGCGTCGACCACCCCCAGCAAAGTCGGACAATACGATCAAGTTCTTGGTCAATATGACGGGGCCTGGTGCTTGGGCTTTGGGCGTTGGCTCTCACCAAGCATTTCGCCAACAACTGCCGCCGCTGTTGTGGGATGAATCATCCCGAGGCGGGACAACCTATGGCAAGAATCAGCTCCGGAACGGGTCAGTTGTGGACATCGTCTACGAGAACGGGGCAAACGTCACATCCCAGCATCCGTTCCACAAGCACAACAACAAAGCTTGGATTATCGGTGTAGGCCATGGTGGCTTTCCTTGGGCGACAGTCGCAGACGCCATCGAAGGAGGTGCCGCGAAGAACTTCAACCTCGAGGATCCTCCGATCCGAGATGGGGCTAGGCTTGGAAATAGCACCGGAGACTGGACGGTTATCCGCTACGAGATTGCCTTTCCTGCTGTTAGCATGTTGCATTGCCACATGATTCATCACTTTGCGGTAAAGTGGTTCTCAAAATCTTGATGAAGGAGCCAAGGGAAAACAGCGGCTGACGAAGAGACAGGCGGGGCAGCAAGTAGTCCTCTTGGAGGGGGTAGAATCGATGGCCAAAGTCCCCAGTCACGTCAAGAACAGAGTTCATGCAGACTTTGTCCCGCCATTACGATATGGTCCATTGGATTAACCATATTTATGGACAGTTGGTCGTGGCAGAGATGAAGGCGAAGACAGGAACAGGAAGGGAGACCTAACTATCGCCAAGTCGGTGTTTGAGTGAGTATGGTATGGGGCTATGAAAGGAATCCCGCTGCAAGCTTGTGGCTCTTGATTGAGTTAGACCATTGCTGCATGGTCATGACTCTAGGTATATTCGCGAAGTATTACGTCCTGGGGTAACGCTTAGTAGCTCCCATAGAAGCTGACTTAAAACCCGTAGAATGGCAATCAACTTGGTAGATACAAGTCATACAGCGAAAGATGAACGAGAACAAAATATGAGCAGTATGAGACATATTTACAATCGCCTGATATTGAGAATAATCTAGGTAGTGTTTGAATATCCAAACTAAATAGCCAAGCTCCTCATTTCGCCATCACTATCGGGAATATATACAAGAGTTAACTATCAAACAATCGCTGGGGCAATCGTTATATGGCTATCATTATGTAATGGGAAAGCTTTGGGCATATTGGTAATTATGGTCCTTTTTTTCTTTGTTTTTCCTTTTTTTTCTTATTGTGGCCTGCGCCTTAGTTCTTCTTCGCAGCGTGAACGCTAGCAATGATGCGTTCCACGATCGTAGGATCAGACAGCTGTGTAGATATCTCAGTTAGCCAAATGCACAGTAATAGGAGAATGAGTGAAACAGGCAAACGTACCGTTGTGATGTCTCCCAGTTGGTCCTCCTCGCCGGCGAGGATCTTCCTCAGAACACGGCGCATAATCTTGCCACTACGAGTCTTGGGCATATCGGGAACGATGTAGACGGCCTTGGGGGCCGCAAAGGGACCAATGCTTCGGCGGACCTGCATGATGAGCTCCTTTCGCAGCGCATCATTGGCATCCTGTCCTGCCTTGACAGCGACAAAGGCGTTGACAGCCTGGCCGGTGAGCTCATCAGCAACACCAACCACAGCAGCCTCGGCGACAGAGTGATGCTCAATCAGAGCAGCCTCGATCTCAGCGGTAGACAGACGGTGACCACTGACGTTAACAACATCGTCAACACGTCCGCGGATCCAGTAAAAGCCTTCGTGATCCCTGCCAGCACCGTCACCGGTAAACTGAAAGATATGCATTAGTCAAGGTGCTCAATTATCCACCGGAGGGCGATATATAACTCACGTAGTAGCCCTTGTACACATTCAGGTAAGTATCCATGTATCGCTTGTGGGCACCATACACGGTGCGGGCCATGCTGGGCCATGGCTGCTTGAATGCGAGAACACCTTCAACGTCGTTGCCGTGGATCTCCTCTCCGGAAACAGGGTCGATGATGGCGGGCTCAATGCCAAAGAAAGGCAGAGAAGCGCTACCAGGCTTGGTAGGTGTGACACCACCCAGAGGGCAGATGACGTTAGATCCGGTCTCTGTTTGCCAGTAGGTCTTTCAATTGAAGTTAGCACTGGAACAACCAAGGTCGACATGGATCTTCTTGAACTTACATCAACAACGTGGGCCTCCTCGTGACCGACAACCTCGAAGTACCACTTCCAGATCTCAGCTGCAATGGGCTCACCGACGGAGCCAAGAACACGGAGGTCCTTCATCTGTGCCTTGACGTGCTCATCACCAGCGCGCTTGAGCAGTCTCAGGGCGGTGGGGGCGACGTAGAACTGTGTGACTTTGTGCTTCTCAATGATATCCCAGTATCTCGAGAAGTTGGGGTAGGCGGGGGTGCCTTCGAAAACGACGGTAGTAACACCCAAAAGAAGAGGAGCGTACACGACATAAGAGTGGCCGGTAATCCAACCAACATCACCGCCACAGAAGTAGCGATCACCGGGGTGGATATCAAAGACGTACTTTCCAGTCATGGCACATCCAAGCAGGTATCCACCGGTAGAGTGCAAAACACCCTTGGGCTTGCCAGTCGAGCCGGATGTGTAGAGAAGGAAAAGGGGGTCCTCAGAGTTGACGGGCTCGGGGGAGATGTAGGCAGGCCACTTCTCAATCTCCTCGTGCCACCAGTAGTCACGGCCCTCGGTCCAGGGGATCTCAGAACCAGTGCGCTTGTACACCAAAACATGGGATACATCGGGGCACTGCTTCAAGGCATCGTCGACGATCTTCTTGGTTCCAATCAACTTGCCACCACGCTTGCCCTCATCCGTGGTGATAACAACCTTGGATCCAGCATCGGTCACACGGTCGCGCAGGGAGTCGGATGAGAAACCGGCGAAAATGACTGAGTGGATAGCACCGATACGGGAGCAAGCGAGGATGGCAATGATGGCCTCGGGAATCATGGGCAGGTAGATAGCAACGGTATCGCCCTTTCGGACACCCATCTGCTTGAGGACCCAGGCGGTCCTGGACACTTCCCGCAGGAGCTCGCCATATGTGACGTTGCGGCCATCGGCGGGGTCGTCGGCTTCGTAGATGATGGCGACTCGGTTAGGGTCTGCGTGGGCGTGTCTGTCGACGCAGTTGTAGGAAGCATTCAGCTGGCCCTCGACAAACCAAGCGTTGTCTCCGTGTTCGAACGAGCCGCTGTGGACGGTCTGGAAGTCGCGGGACCAGCTGAGAAGCTCGCGAGCTTTGCGGCCCCAGAACTGGTGGGGCTTTGTGATGGACTCCTTGTACAGTTGTTGGTACTCTTCTAAATCTAGCGACGGAGACTTGTTAGCATGGTGAACAAGTGCAACCGAGAGAAGTGCGCTCAAGAGCCCAGCAGCTGGGCATCTCCGGGAACGTGGTGGGACATTGACCAATCACAGCGTCGGTAATGCGGATGTCTTCCTAGTACTTACTTGAAATGTGGGGCTTGCTGGGATGCTCTGATAAGAGTGAAAGCGTCGGTTAGCAAACAAAAACGGTTCAACCTCAAGCCAGTTCTGGAGGGGAGGAGCTAAAAGCATACTTTCAAACATCTTCTCGGGGGGGTCTACAAAATAGTTAGTACGCGCAATCCTGGTTGCCAATTCGGCGATGGGGAATTGGTTCTTACGGAAAGTGTCGACGCCATGGGCCTCGGACACGACCTTGGCCGGTTGATCAGCAACGGCTTCAGCCATTGTGACTATGTGCAATTGAAATCGGCTGGGCTGGGGTTCTCGATAATTTTCGTATCGTATCTCGGTGTACTATTCCCAGCGAGTGGCTGATAACACTATATCTCGGTCTGAGAAATGAGGTAGTAGGCGCTCAAGGTGGTATCGTGGGGGTGATCTCGCTATGGTGCTGCCACCAGTGCTTCGATGCTGCTGGAGGGGTCGATGCGGGGTACGTTCTAGGTTCTCCAGTACAGGGGCCAAAGTCGCATTAATATCACAGGAACCTGCCGGTCACTGAGCAATGGGCGAAGATGATGCAAGAAGAGTCCTCGAGTTGAAGCAGACAGGAGGGAGCAGGTGGGAGAGGTGAGGAGGAGGAAGAGAAATTGGCGGGCGAGACTAGTGGAGGGGCGCAGAAAGGCGAGGGGGCACGCGATACTTTTATGTTGAAATTGCGACGGGCCGGGGTACAGGAGAAGGAGCTCTCTCACGGCTGCGGAGGCGTATGATTAATGGTGTCGAGTAATGGGTACCTAGGTAGGCAGAAAGGATCCATGGATAACGGGAGTTGTCCATCCCTGGTGAAGCAGCCATTTCAGACGGCCGGCCGGTATCGCGACTCGTGCCTCTGCCACCGCAGGTCCAGGCGTAGGAACGTGGCGTGGGAGTGGGTGTGGTCGGCTACTCAGTAGGTCGCCTCTAGCTGCTGGTGGACACTATCCCGGCTATCCCCAACATTCCACCTCGCCAGCACTCATTGGACGCTGCACGCAGCTGTCCGCTGTACTGGGAAAGATGGCGGGGCGAGCTCGCTGCAGCCTCCAGGGCCGGTGGTAAAGCTGCATGCTGCCGTTGGGAGGGAGCTCCCTGGGCTCTGGCAGCCGCAGCGACGGTGTCTTGCTGAACCCAGTCCCACCATTGGCTCCTTTGCCCCGAGCAGCGACTTGGTCCTGTCTCTCTGCCACCGGCAAAACCATCGGCTCTCAATAACCCCCTTACCACACATCCCATCGCCCACCACGCCCTAGCCTGCGTGACAGCCTATTCTGAGACTCGGTTGCTGGCCCGGCCGCCCTCCTGTCGGCCGAGCGACAGCCTGGATTGACAACCTCATGCGCTAACATCTTTTGGCTGAGATACAGCCATGATGATCACACGCGGCATTACGTTCCGGGCTAACCCAAAGCCTCTGATCCTCCCGCCTTTGGGGTAAGGTCATGATGCTCAATTGCTGGCCCAGCATTGGTTCCCTCGGCTGTCCCTTCAGTCCGGCCAGGCATGCTCCCCCAGGCAAGGACGTAATAGCTGGGGGCAATCTGGATCTTCAGACATCCAGTTAGATGTCTGCCACCAGCCTGCATCACGGAGGGCTTCGGGGCTCAACAAATCTGATGCTACATGCCTCTACCCAATGAAAAGCATGGCGCATGCATGGACGCAGCCCTGGCACGTCTAATTTATTAAAGAGTCTTCTGCGAAATCGGTCCCCGTTTTATGGAGCGTTTATGGTAGCTTATTACGTACTGCGAAGATATTTATCACCCTGGAAAACATACGATGCGCCTCTGCTACCTTTGTCCTCTAGAATGTAAGTTTTGGGGGGGTCTGGTAGAGATCGATGCCTTGTTGTCTGGACTGGTCACCCATGGGAACGGCCGTGAATCTGCACAGGATCTTGATCAACCTTGCGATTGTTGGGGTTTCCATGTGGGAAGGGAGCAGAGGAAGGATCACAAATTACCACCTTCGCATCCCAGTTCAATAAATGCTTGGCTCCGGAACTTCCATTGGCTCACGGCTTGCTGTTTCCAGGATTACTTGTTGGCACCTGGGGAAACTCGCCGTGTTTCTCCATGGCGGACTGCACCTACAGGAAATTTCCAAAATGATTCATCGTCCCACGACAAGGATGACGAAGAGCAGCAAGGGACCACCTACAGGGATAATCGGTTCCACATTGCACCAAAAGCCCCCATTCTGTTGGACCCTTCGTCTCTCAAGACCCCAACTCCTGCAAATTGGCTGCGATCTAACTGGAGATCCGTCCAGCCCAACACGCGACAATCGGTTCAGGAGCCGGGGATGATTCACAGGTGCTTGGTATTAGGGTCGTGCATCCAGAGAGTCAGTCGGCAGATGTGGAAAGCTCCCGCTTGAACTACTCGCTCACTGGTAGGACGAACTGCTATTTAAAGAGGGTACATATTGGAAGAAAACCAGGTCCTCAACCCCGACGTCCCCGAGTGTCCCGGCAGTCTGCGTATCCACGCTTCCCCCGCAATCTGCCCCGTTTCTTGCCAGGGTTGCGCACCTCGAGCCACTGAGACACAGACGCAGCATCTCCTGTTGCAACAACTATGGATAGCATTGTGCATATTGCCATCGTCACCGAGCAGCATTTGGGGATTCTTCGACCCCATTGGTCCTTCATAAAATGCCATTGACCAGCAAAATCCCCACAACGCGGTGACAGATGTCCTGTATCGCTCCGGTCTGCTGCTTCATGCCAGCCTCCGAAGATACCCTACACACACAGCTACATGTACTACACATCAGACACACCAGCAACAATCCCATTGTGACTGTATATAAGAGGGCGTGTGCAGGAGATACATGTAGTCTTCCATATATATGGGCAGGAATTCGGGTTCTTTCGCCTTAATATTTTCTCCTTCGCTCAGACGGGGGACAAACATCACCACATGTCTACGGTTGTTCCCGAATGTAACTTGTCACTCCGTTACCCCAGGTCCTCGTCGCCACCTCTGGTCCGGGGTTGGGACTAAGAGGAAAGGAGCGCCGTGTTACCTCCCACGCTCGGTAGCTTATCAGCGATGAATCATCCCTTCCTCGGTTGGCCGCTGCGTGCTGTGGGGGTCCCGTCAACTCATCCGTTGCTCCGCCTGGTGGCCTCTGACGCATTGGCTGTAACACTCATCTTGACTTAACCTAACCTTCAAGATAACCGTTTCTTTGATTCATTAGAACTGGATTCATGGCTATAGAAGTTCAATTTGAATATGAAATTCATAGATTACCATACCGTGCGATATTAGAATTCACAGCACAATGGGTAGTCGCTAGAAGCACCCGTCTCTGCTTGCCGCCCGCCCTCTGAAACTAGGCCATTCTCCGCAAATTCAATAACTCGGGTTCCTGATCTAGGGGCCGAACGTTTCCATGCTATTGCACATGCGTTAACCGTGGCGCCGCCAAGCCAAGTGTCAGCCCTTTGACGTCTTCTGCGGTGCGACATCGCAGGTCTCCAAATGTCATTGCCTGCCTCTACCATTAACAAATTTTGTTTGAGTTTAGCTTTCTAAGTATGAAATTGTTGGGATTTTCTTCTACGTCCTCCATAAATGACAGTTGTCCTTGCCATTGAAGAGGTTCTGAGTTGTTCAATGGCGACGACATAGGGGAGGGTGACTTCGGCTGGGGAAAATATCTAAGCTTCTTGACTCTAACTATTAGTTTGTGTACAATACAAAGCTGAGCTACTGTTTACTACAGAAGGCGGGCAAATTATCATTATTCAAACGATCAAATCTCAAAGCAGTACATCCATCAATCGAGTGTTGGGGAACGAGAAGATGCTTATCTTGGAGCGAGCCTTGCTAGATAAACAATCCACGTTATAGGATACTCCTATCTATTTTCAAAGTAACACACGTTATACATGATGGGTACCTACGGTAGGTAGGTTCTTGCTAGACTTGTTGAGCTATCATTGCGTGAATTCACATCAGACGGTGATGAATTGAACCGTGTCACCGCTGTCACCCGAGTAAGCAAAACCCTACCGAGTCATTGGAGTTAGAATATGTGTATGCAAACCTGCTATGAATAGGGAGTTAATTTTATTGATATCGGAGGGTTTGGCTGATAAGAAGTAAAACCTACGATTTGGAGGCTCTGTTTAAAGCGAAGAACTCAGAAACTCAATGTCTTCCCCACCAGTGAAAAGCTTAGACGGTCGGTTTCTTGACACCTTGATATTTCATTGCAAAATGCAACACGTAATTCTCCATATTGATTACGGGGCGCCTTCCCATCAATGTGTTCGTGGGAAGTGTCACTGGCCCACCGCCATTTTCTGGCATATTGCTTCGCTTGTGGAAACAGTTGTGGTGCAAATCACGGATGATAGACTCGTCGACGACGGCTCGCATCCGATTAGCGCTTGCTAGACGCTGAGATTGTCCAAATTGCTGACGCTCTCTGGAAAGTAGATGGCGCTGCCCTGTCTAGATGTGGTGGCTACGGCCTATAAAGAAATTACATCTCACCATATACATGAATGACTCTTAGTCTCTTCTTCGTGTGTAGTGAAGCTTAATATAGACCAATCACTCTTAGAGAGAGGACCGCTCCTAAAGAGTCGGTGGAGTGTCATACCGGGGAGGACTAAAAGCTTCATATTGGATGAGTCTCCAACTACTTACTTCGATATACAATTGAATAGGGAGGTAGATCAACCACCCGATTCAACCATACACAAATAAGACTGAAGCACTCGATGAATCGGCGATAAATATCAATTACTTGTGAAATATAATATAAAAAAACTGGGAAAGGCAGCTTTGATGGTTGCATCGGAAAGCGCGGGTCACTTTTGATTCTCGGAACACCACTATCACCCCCACCATACTTGATTGCCACGCCTATCTGTTATGGATGTTTGTGCTCTGGGTGGTTATGAGAGCGTTGCTGATCCGAATTTTAGGGTACATAGACTACCCAGGCACTGCACAGCCGTTGAATGAAAATAAGACTGATATCAATGTCGATTTCTTTCCTAATTCCACCCAGCTGCTCTTCAACAACTAGAAGATCATATTCAAAAGCGATTTGATAGCAATTTCTTAAAAAAGTAGGGAAGAATCATCCTTTAGGAACGCATGTTCCTGCATCTGGCGCTACGGTGCTGTGAGGGATGGCAAGGCAGTTCCTCAGTACTTGCCACCCTTTATCCGAATTCAGATTGATGATTTCAAATATGTATTACCGTTTGCCACAGGCTCTGTGAATAAATCTCGGAACGACGCATGCATATACGCAATCCTTGCTTCTTTGTTGTCTTGATCTCGGTAGGTCGAGATGAAAGTAAACATGGTGAAACGTCTGACTCCAAATCCTGATACCCCGATGTAAGTTAGAGCAGGGAGATCCTTTGAAATACTTATCTCCAGGCGATAGAGACTCAGGTTAGACGGAGATTTATGAAAATTAGTTGGAATTGGATGTCGAGCCCGATTATTTGCTTAACCGTCCTTGGCTTAGGTTCATCTCGCAAGTTATCCGAGTACAACATCGCTGGTCTCGATGGATTGAAGCCAACCTGAAACATACTCACCATAGTAGAATAATTCCAGAAACATACACCAATGAATAGTAGATGCCCTCAGTATGAATCAGCCTAGCTCTCCTGACTCTGGCGGAGAAGGATGGGGTATGAGTAGGGGGGCGAGGTTGGTAAGAGACAAGTGAGGTACTTAGTGCCCCCCTTCAAAGTCATATTGTGAATCATTGGCATGCGCATGCATGCCTCCTAGATGACTGGTTGCTATATTGCTGAAAGCGAGATGTACGAACAAGCATATGCAAGCAACTGCGCATCGCATCCATGCCTGTTCTTGGGGGCCGCGAGGTTGTGCGCACTCCTCGCCTAATCTGTATACCACACACCGCGGTACCTTTGCGTTAAAGAGATACACGTATTACGGACGACCAAACATCCAAACTAATGCAGACGGCGGGGATGAGCCGCAATTAAGCGCCTATGCATGTTAAGTACCTGTGTAGAGCCGGCTGAGATTCTACTAGACAGATGATTCTCCCAGGTCTGTGATAGCAACACGGTGAATGCTATTATAAGTGAACAAACGAACTATACAAAGCTATGGGATATTGAACACCAACGGTGGCCCAAAGATGCATATTCTCAACTAACCAAGCCAATATCATTGTTTGATTATGGGTGATTAGATGGATGTTTACACTTGCAGGACGCGGCCATAGCCTCTGCCCTGTTGCAATAACTGCGGCAAGAGACGAAATGTGGCCATCAGCACAGCCCGAGGCATTTCCATATCCTAATACTCTATTTTTGGGTGTTGAGAAAATAACTTCCCGTTCGTGAGATCGAGGCTGGTGGCACTGCTGGCTACAAATCGAGACTCTCTTGTTGTCTGATATTTCCATAAACAGTCCTTTCATCTGAACTGAGCAGGGTAGTCCTCCGGTAAAGGTACCCTGGCCGCCGGGACTCAGCCTCGCGCTAGATACTCGCCTGCAGATGCCCACGAGGCATGGCCTCGTTTGGACCTGATGGGACGGGCTTCCGGCTGCAGGGGTGAAGCAGAATATAGTATTTATGTCCGGCATGTATACCGAAGGAGGATTGACCCCGCCAATTTGGGGGCTTATACTTGGAGATATCCCACCACTTCCTTCGCATTAATGATGGAATGCGGTGAGGAGGATTGAGAGCATGCATGCCTGGGCTATGCAACAGCTCGAATCGTTGGGTGGTGGAAAGGTATGAGTCAAACGGTTTGTACCATAACGGCTGACCATAACGGTCGACTCGAGACAAGAGTACTACTACGATGAAACGGGCGAGTAACAAAAACGAGGCGTGGGGTTCACATTGCTAGGTATGCTCCTCAGCTCAGCCCTATTGATGATTACCCCCCCGGATACCTTGAATGCTCAGGACAAATACCCTCATTGATAAGACTACGGGACGGGTGTCTGATGGAGAAAAAATGTTTAATATAGAAAACCCAATTTCCAAGCACATGGCTGGCTCGCAATGCTACCTCTTGGACGGATAGTTGGGGGCTGTGCAGTGTGTAGACTGCTCGTTCGTGTTTGGTCGTGTTGTGACTTACACCCGCCCTAGAACCTTTGCCGGGCTGGCAGAGCGTGCACTAGATGCTGATTCGTCGCAGCTCCAAACCGGCATGTAACGTTAGGCACGACTTACCGTCCAGTGTAGGGATTGACTTTGATACTAGTACCTTAGCAGTTTAGGTACTGGTACCTCAATCCCGTATCCAATTCCTTGAGGTTGCCTGCTCCGTAGAATTCGTCAGCGCCTGAGCGTTGGCATACCGCTTGTCGATGATTCTACTGTGTGCACGGAGACAACCTGGAGACAAACATGTCTACCTAGTATTTACGGCAGGAGGGCAGTGTGCTGTCACCCTAGGGCTAAACAACGAATGGAAGCACGGTATCCTGTAGATGTCCACTAGGGGGATCCATTGACGGACTGAATACATAAGTTCTATGCCTCCAGTGGCTGGGCGGGTTTCTGTGTCCCGCCCAACCGCTGTAGTGGCCCCGGTGCCGCTAATCACTGCGACGGGCGTGGCCCGCTAATTAACCCCTTGTGCTTAATTGCCCTACCGGCCAACTCTGTTCGCTGCGCCCTCCAATATCATTGGGACCCCCAGATGAATTGCTGAGATCCAGTCGTGGAAGCAACCGAAGGGGCTTTGGCTGGGGGCTATTGTGGAGCGTGCCGAATCCTTCCACATCGTAGAACAGAGCTGTAGCAGCTACCCTGCCCTGCACGGAAAGTACATGTAACAGTATGTCAGAAGGGGATCGAGAAGAGAGCGGGCTCATCAATTGTTCTTTTCAGTCGAGGCAGATTTAGTGTTGCAGGGCTGTCGGGAGCGGGAAGAAGGCCTCCCCCCCTACACGGCATCAGACGCGACGCAACGTGTGACATGTGCACTTGCATCTGGCGGTGGGCTGCGGCTGAGCCTTCTGACCCAACCGTGCAGCTCTTGCCCCGTCTCACTGCCACCCACTGCCTTGGAGCTGAAAGGGATCGGCTAGGCGTTAATTAAATTCTGGAAATTATGGACGACAGGAGGGTGGGTGGTTTGACTGATGGGAGGTACCTGCTTGGTATGTTTGAACGCACGCGTAGTATAGGGCTGCATCTCCGTGGAAGTCGCCTCTTCTACCTGCCACTACCTTTGCTTCTGCCGGGTGTCACACACGTGATGACTTAGCTCCCCCTCGCCCAGGCAACTGTCGAAAAGATCGATTAATTACCTGTTTCTTTCTGCGTTCATTTTGCCATAAACGGCGGGTTGATTTGTCCCGCGTCATCCACACCACACCCCTCCTCACCCCTCCCCCTTTGGCCAGACGGACGGACAGACGAAGCCAGGCCTGCGTTACATCTTCCCTGCCTCCATGGAACCGTCCGTTTTCGTTGTCCACGTCCGGGGCATTTCAATATATATCTAGGCCCCCGTACGCACCCGCGCTTGGTTGTAGACTAAGCCTGGAGACAATCGTAAAGATAAACATCCGAGACCAAAACACTTTTCCGCCCAAGCCCCTCACCATATTAGACGTTGAGCGCATGAGGAGCAACTGACGTATCCTGCTTCTCCTCCCATCGACATACCCTTCATTCATCCTCACTTCATCCCGCACACCACCTAGATGGGGACTTACCTCGCCATGGACATGAACCATCACCTGTCGCCCTCATTGCTGGGCTACAGCGCACCGGACTTCGACCCTTATCCCTTCCCACCGGAAGACGAGCTTTACTTTCAACCGCCTTCGGGGCAGATTCTCTCACCACAATTGCAGCTTGGCATAGTCCCGCCCCCTCCACCATGCAATTTCTCAGACTCCTCCGCCGGCGAAAAAGCAACCACACCGAGCTCTGATTGCGTGAACTCTGAGATCGTTCGCAAGACTGCGGCCAAGCCGAGACTGGAGCGAAGGGGACATACGAAGAGTCGCAGGGGATGTTACAACTGCAAGAGGAGGCGCATCAAGGTACGTTCAACCCGACAAACCTCGCGGTGACCAACAACATGACTGACAGCTAGGCGGAATAGTGCCAAGAGACACAACCAGCGTGTGGACATTGCGTCAAGACGGGATTGAAATGCGAATATCCTTCTCTCCCTCAAATCACCCATCAAGTAAGTGACTTTTCGTATTAGGTTATGGTGTTCCATTTGCTAATCGTCTCGCGTAGCCTCACAACCAGATCCCCATATTCAGTCTGCAAGATATGCGCCTCTTCCAGCACTTCCTCACCCAATGCTACCCACATCACCCATTGAAGCAGGAAGAAGTTTGGACACACGAAGTACCCTGCATCGCTCACAATGTACGGCATCTACCAAACCACAACTTCCATACCCTGTTTGGTTTCTTTGCTGACAAGACATCCCGTAGCACGAATATCTTATGCATGCTATTCTCGGCTTTGCAGCATCAGAACTTCAATCGACAGATAGCAGCCTCTTAACAGCCGCCGTGAACCATCGAGTCAAGGCCATCAAAGCCATCAAGAAGCGCCTGGCTGATGCCGCGAGATCTATCTCTTCTGCTGAGGAGACCAATGCTATGATCGCCACCTGCTTTGCTCTTACATTCCAATCAGTCAGCTTGGATGATGGATTGGCAGAGTTTATGACCTTTATCCGCGGTATCTTGATTGTGGGGATGCAGATGATGTTCAGAGGTATCAAACCTATCTTCACGACTCTAATGGACGAAGAGCAGAAGGAAAAGCTTTTGGAACCCCTGATGGAAACCCTCCCCTTGATCCAGAGGGGTTGGGCAGATTCTGCTCTTGAGGCGATCGGCAGTTTACGACCACTGTGCATTGAGCAGGTACAGATTGAGTATTACGACAAGTTGATGGACATAGTACAGAAGCTCTACATAAGTTCTTGGGATGGTAAGTGCACTAGTAACGTCCTTGTCTGTCTATTTTCAATATGGACCTAGCTGACATACTGCGTAGCGTACAAAGCACACGGACAACAGTACGGTTGGTGGATGATGCTTCCACACAGCGTCTTTCAGGAGCTCATCAGCCCTGACAACCAAGTCATTTTGCTTCTACACACACATTGGATTGCTTTGGGCGAGGTGATGGCATTTATTACACAACAAGAATATGAGGTGCGGGAGAAGCACGCGTCTGGTGAAGGGCGCAATATCGACCCTGGAATGCTTCGATGGTTGCGGTACCTGAATGCACGAGTCGACTATGAACACCAGATGTATAACCAATGGCCGATGTGGGTGGAAGCGCAACTGGATCGAGATCTTTCATTTTTTGGGAAGCTGAGATAATTATTTCACTTACACACACTCCTTTTTGGCTCTCGGCCTTCTCTGCAGAGACCTAAAACACTGGGCGGGTGTCAGCATGGCGTTGGGAAATCGAAGGGAAAGGCTACCGAGAAGAATGCTATGACGCCAGTCAGTTGTCACAGCCAAATTGCTGCGGACGAATGATGGTGGCCGGGGCCGGTATTTCTACCTAGCTAAGAATCGACATTTCCTCTCATCATCTGACCACGTCATTCTTGTCCTTGGTGAACTGGTCCGAAGGGTCAATTTGCATGCCGGGCTAAATTGATCTTAGAAATGTTCCTTCGGAACGATCAATACGTGACCCGCGCCACGCCAGGCGGCCTTAGGTTCCTAAAGTACCTTTTAGTATCTACGCACACTTGCTGGCGGGCGACTGACGGCGTCCTACGCTTCATCTGGGTGTGAGGGTCTTACATGCCTGGTGTCACATGCCACATTTTCCCAAGCTGGCTGACCGAGCGAAGCCATCTAGAAACCTATCAAGGCTCGCCATGGGCGACAGCCGAGACTAATCCACCCACCACAGCACACATACATACTGCACCCATGACGCCTACCGCCAAGCATGACGCTCTGGCGATCCAGTAGCCAACACCGTGGATTGATCGGTTTCCCCTCTCGTGTTCGTCGTATTCCGGGCCATAGCCTTTACCGACCCACCACTGGCCAATTGGCGCCATGGATGAACGTGGCTTGGCTGCCTAGCGTTGCCCCAAGATCGTGGGTAGGCATTATCGTTGAGGAGATCCGGCACCGTATTTCGCGTTTGTTTGATTTAGCGTGCATCGCGTTGATCCACATGGCGATAAACTCATCAATATGTGCCTGGGACAATATTCAAGAGGCTCAACTGGAACAGCGAGGAGGAAAAGTATATAGGCTCAAGGACTGGCACACATTTTGAGAATTTATTGATAAATGTAGAACAAGCATACAGTCGAGAGCCCTTTGAATTACCGAAGAATCAAACAACGATCCGGATCTAGCTGTCTATCGCATCGTCTTAGTACTTTACCGAAATCCATCATGACCACAGTCCAGACGCAGACATTTCACATCAAAGGCGACCTCGATGCTGGCGCTCCGTCTCCCCCACCTTACTTCCATGGGGAGACAGTGGAGCTGAGGTCTATGGCCTCTGCAACATCTTCGTTATCCTCTTCATCTCCGCCTGTCTATGAAGAGGTTTCCTCCTCAGCCGCTGGGTCCGGATCCACTGGACCATCTGGCACGACATTCAAACCAACCAAGAGCCTCCAAGTAGAGAATAAGGGCTTGCCTGTAATTGCTTTTCCTCTGCCGCCTCGTCCCTATCCGATCGAGGTGTACGCTGTTGGTGATTCAGGAATACTGAGTAGCAAGGCATACGAATCAGTTCGACCAACGCGTGGTTCAGGAAGCTGCATCCTTTTCCGTGGCGACCCTGCTGCAGGCGCTGAGCCTATCTGCACTACCATCTACCGTTTTGGTCCCGGTCGGCCACCGAAGATCCGCCTTCTCGGGCCCGACTCTGATGTCGACTTTAGCACGCTGGGCGAGGATAAGGGAGAGCTTGCCGCTGGGGAGGAAGAATTCGAGGTGCTCAGCAGAGGCGTAACAACCCGTGCTGTCTCCATCCGTACACACCTGGGCACATTCCTCTGGCGCTACGCTGGCAAGGCTGAGCGGCGCGAGTTTGATGCGGATAGCCTGGTGGTGATGGATCGCGTCACCACCGTGGCCCTTGCGGGCGGCAAGACCGAAGAGAGGTACCGCCGGGTTGCGCAGCTGGTGCGGAACAAGGAATTCAGGACTGCTGGCTCAGGGAGGAGCACTGCTGGCAATGGTGGGCGGTTGATGATGGATCTGAGCGAGTGGGACGTGGACAGGAAGGGTGAACGTGAGCAGATGGAAGCACTGATTTTGGCCGGCTGCATTTGCATGCTGAAGAAGGAGATGGACCGAAGACGATTTCACCAGAGCATGATTATTGCTGGTGGTGGCGGCGGCGGTCCGTAGATAGCAAGTGCCGTCATCTTTAGGGAGGATTCCTTTGTTTAGTTATGGGATAGAATGGCCTTTTCTTTGGTTCTTGTTTTTGTCAAGCATATTTCATAGAATTATAGATGATATCAAATGCATTTCAAGCGAACTGCCCTCCGTAATAGTCATTTACCGAGCCGCTGAAGACACTGCATTTGGATAAGTTGACTGCGTGATAGCTACCTATCTTAAAGAGACATCATTGTTGCAATTGTTGTACAGTCTCTATTCTGGATGCTCATATTTCTGGTGATGGAGTCGTGGAGCACGTGACCTGGCTACTCCCGGAGCTGCGTGCCTCAGGCTCGGGAAAACTAGCCGGCAATCCAGCAGCCCCATTCTGCAGATTCAATCTCAAGACTAGCCGAACAAATCCAACCTCCCACCTCCATCACGAACCAGAATCCGCCAAAATGACTGCTGTTTGGAAAGCCGCCGGCCTCACGTACGTCAATTGGACCTCCATCTTCCAGGACTACTCGAAGCTTCCTGCTCAATTCCATCCGGGGAAACGGACAAATGGAAAGCTAATGTTTGCTTGAATAGCTACAACCGCTACCTGGCCATCGCGGCCCGCGCTGCTCGCCGCAGCCTGAAGGAGGACAAGCGAATCCTTGCCGAGCGACGTGGAGAGACCGACCTGAAGTTTTCCAAGTGGCAGGTGAGAATGGCACGCCCGAGCAGCTTGTTGCTGTGGTCGGAGAAAACGAATGCTAAATTACCTCAACGAAACAGAACGGCAAGGCCGGTGAGCCCCAGAACCTCGAGAAGGCCAACACCGCCGCCATGGCCGAGAGCGCCTCCTAAACAGTTCAATCCCTCATAGAATTGCGAATGGGTCGAGTTATGGATGTTGGATCAAGGGACGCAGGTCTCTCTGTATGAGGAGGGACTAGGTGTGCTAGGAAGAAAGGAGGTACAATAGTCCCTACACGCCAGCAAGGTGCACATGTTGCCTATTGTACAATAAACGCAATACCCCAAAACAATATCCATAATCTTGCTCTTTGACAATTCGTTGTCTGTGCCCGTAGGTTTGATCATGATGTTGTATTGTAGGTTTGGCCGCGTTGGTCCCACAGTGAATAAGAGCTCATCAACAGGCGCTATCGCGGCTATGGTAACAACCAAGCGACCCATCCACCTGTATGACTACCATGAATGTGCAGAATGCTGCAGCAAGCGCCTGTTATCGGATGCACGCGTTCTACTACTTGAGATAATTAAATATATGCATGTCTGATTCATTTTAACTGGGAATTTGACCGGAGTTTTGAGTCACTGACCAACTCGCACATACATGGTCGATGACTCTTAGCGATCGGAGGTTAGTTGCTTGCTGAGCAGCCCTTTTGCAGGCGCCAATATGCCTGGCTGCACCTGCACCTTTACCACCTATTTATACCCTACTTGCATGCAAGGTACCTTTGACCACCAAACGCGGGCAGGTGCAAACCAGCCAGTTTTCTGCATGCTTGCCTCTGAGACTGCAGCGAAATAGGAAAGACCCTTGGCATTTTCTTCAGATACTCAGATGGCCGACTTTGGCATTGGTGTTCCCGATGGTGGGTCATTATCATCCAGCACCTTGCACATCATCATGAGAACAAAATTTCTGACCTGAACACACCCACAGAACTTGCGCGACTCTCGTTGGGCAACGGGGCAGAACAACCAGACTCCCGAGCTCCAGACATGAACAGCGCAGGGATCGTGGCTGTCGATATTACCGATAGATTCTCCCTGGCCGTTAGGAGTGAGTTCCCCCCTCGCATTACATCTTTCGGCAAAGTTGGGTTCGATGCAGGAGCGTCTTGGACGAGTAGTGGCTGACAGACCGATAGCTTTGGAACCCGGTGAGCTCATCAAGGATGAGTTCTTTACCCTTTTCGAGTCCGTTGGGGCTCTAGAGGTGTGTGCATGAAGGGGCATTTGTCCTTGTCCCCAGGATATGGCTAATGAGAGACTCAAGATCATGGATCCTAAGATGGACAGTGGTTGCATACAGCCTGGTGATGAATTTGAGGAGCTCTATGATGTTGGGCAGCCCCTCTTACCTGAAGAGGTCCTAGGTATAATTGACCAACTGATATGCCATGAGGTATGTAACCGGGCAAGCCCCTACTGTTTCATCAACTAATCAAAGACTTCCAACCGTACAAGATGTCTTGGCATCTCGGTTACCCTCTATCGCAAACACTCTTTACCAGTGTCTACGTAGAGGCTTTATCAATGCCCAACCCTGTCGGCATCGAGCAGGCAATATTTGTGAGAGACCCGAAGGATAAATCGAATGACCAACCCATGCTCCAAGTTCTGAGAGCGTACTGCTTAGGTTTGCTCAAAGCTTGTGGATATGTTAATGAACGTGTCAGAGCTGAACACTCTTACGAGGTAGGGTTGGGCCCTTTTTGTTCAATTATTTATCTCCCAGTTTGTGAATTTTCTCCATCTAACTGTTCGTAGGAGGAGGATTTCGTTACCAACACTTACAATCGGACTCTGTTGGCAAACGTATCGACTGATTCAATCCGGACTGCCATAACTGAGGCCAAGGGTCTTCTACAAAGGCTTCGGAGTGACGCTGGCCATTCTTATCGGGCTGAAGTAATAGATGCCCTTGAGGTGCGCCTGGAGCTCAGGGATATATTCTTGCAGGCCACTGAGTGTCCTCAATATATCAAGGAGCCTAACTTAGCACAAATCCCCTGGCAGCAAGGCATATCCCTTCTTCCGGCTCTGAAGTCGACACATCATCTTTGCAAGCCTGTGGATGATTCTTTCAGCGCCAAGTTGCAAAGAAAGCTGGCGAGCACAATCCCACCGAGGCCCATAGTTCAGCTTGGATTCGACGATGCCTTTGGGAACCTCATTCGACTCTTTCAAGACGGCCTCGAAATAATCGGGGTTCTCCATTATACTGACACACAATGCCTGCAGGTATGTTAAACAAGAAAAGTGTTGAACCCTGAAATTTCTCCATGTGTTTGCTGACCATTTGGGGGGATAGACATGTGTGTCGGCGTTCCAGTCCAAAAAACCGCAGCCTTTGGTCTATGTGAGAACGCTGCTCCAGACATTCCTTTTCGATGCTATGGAGGTACTGGGTTCCATGAGCATTCGCCAACTCATTGATGATGACCTCTCAATAATCACCTTGCCTGCGAGCCCTCTGTTGGACCGTTTAAATGACGAAATCGAGGTTGTTCATGATCCGCGGTTCATAGTTTCTCAACAGATGGAGTTCTTCCGTCAGAGGGCTGCCCAGCCTTTTCTAGACATACTGCGTACTCTGTGTCAGAATCGCTGTCGCGTACGAAGGACATTATGTCACACTGTCCGCGCTTGGGATAATCTTCAAGTCGACGCAGAGGAAGTTGACCAAGTCGTTCAAGCACAGATAAAGGAATCGCCATTATCACACATGTTCCTGAATGCTTCTCAATACGCTGATTCTTTGCCTTTATCTCTGTCTTCATGGGCCTACTTTTACAAGTTGCGACAAATGGAATGGATCATTCAACTCGGCTTCGAGTTGGAAGTGTACCAGGGCGACGAACTTGCAGGGATGTATTGGTACCTCAATTACCTCGCAAAATGCCGACTTCGGCACTTGGAGCGGATCAAATCTTTTACCGTCAGCAAAACGGAAGAGATCCGTGCACTGCAGGCTCGCGAGGGCGGTCACGCTGGGCCCCAAATCAGGCAACTCGAGCGTTCGCTCTCTTTCATCCGCCTCTCACTCCTGGACGCAGCTGCTACATGGGAACTTTCAGATGCCCTGTCATGCCTCTACACTGTCCTCGCGCGGTTGGGGCTTGTCAAACCCCCTGGGCGACCGTATAGCAATGATGAGCTGCGGTATGAGCTGCGGATGAAACCATTTGCGTCTATTGGCTTACCAGAACTTCCGAGCTTTGAAGATTTTACAGCAGGCACGAAACAGCAGGGCACAAGCACAGATGACATTCTAGAGTACTGTGACAGATCGTTGATGGGTGCTAAAAGGGCCTTCGAAACCATGACGAGGCTACCACCCACGGAATCGTTCTCTGTTGGATCACATGAAAGGTGGCTTGATACAGCGAAAAATGCGCTAAAATCGTGTATTGCAGCGGGATTGGCTGTCAAAACGATACAGGCGACACTGCGAAAGCGCGAGAAGGTCGATATGAAATTCAAAGTAGAGATACCAACTCCCGACAAGGCGTATCACGACTGGTGGCTTGTCCCAAAACTGATTACTCTTCCATAATGTACACGGGTATGTAGACTTCTACTAATCTTGTATAATATTGATGATTATTACAAAAAACGTCAACTTTCTAGGTTGCGTTTCCATATCTTCTCGCTGGTGAAACTGTATATGACCGGAAACCAAGGAAACCATGCGTTTCCGCACGTAAGATTCCTCATTTATCAGTCTTCAACTACACTCTTATCGACCGCAATGCATCAAGGATAGCGAGACCAAAGGTCCATGCATTCAGACCTTTGGCCACTTGCTACACGGCTACGTTGTCACCAATAGCTGTGGGTCAAGGAGACCAATGCATGCCTAACGAGCTTCACGACTTACGCGCCAACACGCTTGCGAGCGATGTTAGTGCGAAGCCTGACGGTCTGTTCATATAGGACATCCTTGAAAGCAAACAGCAGAGCGGCGGTCAAAACACTCTGCGTGACCTTGGGGCCGATACCTGCGCCAACCAGTTAATGACAAAAACTGCGCGGGGTGAATATGAGCAGAGAACGACAATACTTACCTTTGTACAAGCCAGAGTATCCTTCCTCCTTGATAACACGGTTTAGAGCCTGGAAGGTTCCCTCCTTCTTGCTACTGGAGCTCGCGACGTGCATCTGGCTCTTGACGGTAATGTAAGGGTAGGTAATAGACGTGGCAAAGAGCTTGCCAAGAGCGCCCAGGAAGAAGACCGTCGCAGGGGTGATCTTGCCCTTCTTCTTCTCCACAATATTCTTCATCTGTTCGAATAACGTGTACTGAAGAATGGGGTTAATCACGAGGATCAGGGCGGGAAGTACACCGGAGAAGAGTGCCTTAGGGCCCTCGTTCTTCAGGAGCGCCAGCAGCGTTCCGATTGTGCTTGGGGCCTTGGGCTTCGCGACCTCGGCACCGGCGCCGGCCTCGACATCGGAGGATTTCCCCTGTTGTCGGGTGGTGACCCGGGTGTTGATGACCCAGATGGGGTTGGTGATGATGACAGTCGCTGATCCAGCGATGGCACCAGCAATCATCGACTCAACAGTGGAAAGCTTCTTGTTGGCGCGGCCGGCCTTGGCTGCGGCCTTCTCAAAGAAGGACTTGGACCACTCATACCAGTAGTAGTAGACGAAGTTGGTGACGCTGATGCCGAAGAGGGCCGAGTTAATACCGGCGTACAATCCCGAAACACCTTCACGGGCGATAATCTGCTGGACGGCATTGATGAACTTGGTTTCAGCCTTCTTTGACTCCACTTGTGCGCGAGTTGAGAGTGTTATGAGCGGATATCTGGTGAGGTCGGTTAATTTTGATTCATGGTGCCAAGGGATGGTTGCATGAGTGAGTCGCATCAGGGACTGGTGATGACATACGTCAGAGCCATGGACAGGATTCCACCACCCGCGCCGGAGAGCGCATGGGCGACATTGTCGTTTTGAGGAACAGGGGTGTTGGAAGTCATTTTTAGGTCTGTATGACTTATGATTTTGATAACCCGCGATAGAATCTGAGAGTGAGAGGAGAGACAAGAACTGGGCGAGGAGGGTTTAAATTAACCCGATGATAAAAGGGTGGATTGCAGTTGGTTGGGGTGTAAGTGAGTCGCTGTTCGGCAAAGCTAGCCTGATTACTTTGGAGCCCGGGTGTATCAACGGGGAAACTAGCCGAAACAAAAGATTGGAATTTGTCTCTTCCTCGTCCGACATACACGACAGGGACCGAGAAGATATATATTTCTGCTACCGAAGGGAGGGACCGACTGGCAGATGCACGACATGAGATTGAACGCCCCGTTCAAGGCTAGGTAATTGGGGCCGAGGTCCTTGGCCACTTTGTACCGACACACCGGAGATCCTTGCAGCGAAACGACTCCACGCGATCTCATTTGACCTCTCACTCGAACTGCCTGTCACGGCGACATGTGACGCCACAGCGAGAGGAGATTGGTGGGGTAGCGGATGCACTATTCTCCGAACCGAGCGCTGGCTTACCTATGTAACGGGAGCACCACAGTTCTCGGCAAAGGAAAAACAGAAACTGCGAAAACGATCCTAAAATCCGCTAGTCTGTTTCTGGTCATGAGTAAACAAAGCAAGTCGGTGAAGTCCACTCCTGCCGCGCCGGAGTGGGCATGTACCTACCCACGCACCCGTCAGAGGCCGTGCGTGCCACCGCCACCGGAGAGCTCGTCGCGATCACGAACACCGTCAACTCGTTATTGTTATCTCAACGCCCCCCTCCCGCTCCCGAGCGTGGACTGTCTTACCGCGCATCCCTTTTCCATGTCTGAATGCCCGCCTTCTTTCACCAATGAAAAGAAAGCGGGATTCTTCTGCCACCGCCGCCGCTCAGTCGTTCAGCGTACGCTGGCACTCCATCGCAAATCCGGCAACACCCAGCGTCGACATCATGTCGTCCCCTGACCCCCTCAACGACGACACAATGACTTCGATCGTACCCCCGTCTTCGCGTCGCGTAACACGGAGCCAGCGCTCTACCAGATTCGCTTCTCTCGCAAGCTCGCCTAGGAAACAGACTTTCGAATTAGAGGTGGGCGACAACGTGTCGCCGCAACGACTGTTGGTCACTGTTGAAACAGAGGATGGCAATCCAGCAAGCACTACGAGACGGCGGTTGTTCCCATCATCTAGCCCGTTTCGGAACCCTCGGCCTGGAGTTGGAATGACAACGACGACGACCACAGTACCCCTCCGCCAATCGATAGAGGACGAACAGGGCGATCTCACTCTGGATTCTATGGCAACTCCCAGACGAAGAGGTCGTCCACGCAAGACGAATGGCACGCCAATGCCAAGCGCAGCGAAGAAACGCAAGGCTGGGACTCCTATTAAGCAAAGGACGCCGCGGCGCCAAAGCACAATTAATGAGCCTGACCCTTTGTCAGATCCTGTCGTTCAACCAACACCAACGCCCAGGAAACGTGGCAGGCCACGGAAAACAAACACGGTTGAGCCTTCAAGTGAACTTGGTATTGAATCTGCTACAAAAATCGTATCGGGGCGGAGGGGTAGGAGGCGACGTCAAGCTTTAATCCCAGGGGAATTAGAAGAGTTGGCTGAAGAGGCGGCAGTCCTACCAGAAGCCATGCCAAGCGAGAATGATATCGATCTTATTGAACCGCCGCCTGAGGCGTTTACTGATGAACCGCAGCCTCAGACTGCCTCAAATATCGAAATGACACAAGCACCAGCAGACCCAGCATCGGATTTCGACCTGTGGATGAATGAAGCGTCCCCTGAGCGGACGCCTCGAGCCCGGGCACAGCCTGTAGCTCTCGACCCGGTTGACTCTCGTCGCTCTCCCTCCGCTGATTATGAGAGCATAGCATCAGTAAACGACGACTTTGGAGGGGCTCCCAGTCCTAGCCCCGGCATCCAATCTCATTCTACTGCTAGTCCGGAGGCGGTTGAATCGCGGCATCCCGCTGTTCCGGACAACGGTGACACCATTGCCCAAGGCGAGGACTTCAGTATGATTTTTATGGAATCAATCCAGTCATTCCAGGATTTCAGAAGCTCTGTCCCTGGCCCGCGACAGCCACTACCTTTACCAGACAGTGATATCGACGAAGAAGCCAGTCTTATCATCAACAAAACTCTAGAGTCTCTACGGCAGTCTGTGCGGCAAGAAGAACAGAATGAAGATGAAGAGGGTGCAGAGGAAGTCCAAGAGGAGCTGGAGCAGGAGCAGCAGGATGAAAGAGCTAAAGAGCTAGCAGAGACAGAAGAGGCTCACACGATCCAAGACCTATCGAGAGGATCGGAGCAAAACACCAATACCGGGCCTGAATTGGTGCGAACATCTCCCTCCGTGGCACAAGACCAAGACGAGTTAGCCTCAGATGAGACAGCACCTGTCTTTTCACCAGCCTTTGTGTCCTCGCCAAATCGCCTGTTGTCGCCTCAGTGGGCGAAACGTGGCCTGAGAAGGCCGAACATTTCCCCACTAAGACAACGTCTATTGAAATCGCAGGCTAAACAGCTTGATGCCACACCAGCGGTTTCTGAGAAGGGAGATACTGCGCCAGAGGCTTCGCCTAGCCCTTCAACAACCCGCATTACTCAATCTCACGATGTCGATTACGAAGATTCGTTCTCGGAGATTCCGCAGACCGTATTGGAGGCGGCGACCCCACGGCGACCCGCCTCGTTCTTTCCAGAACCTGAGGAGCCAGCATCTGAAGAACCAGCTCCCGAAGAACCGGCTCTCGAGGAAGACGATGGCATCGATCAAGTTGAATTCATCGATGAGTTAGAGGAAGAGGAAGTTGAGCCAATTCATGATGTCCTGGCCAGGGACCCTACCCCAGTCGAAGACCTTACAGTGACCGAGGCGCCTGAGGCGCTGAGGTCTGATGAACTTTCGGATCAACAAGAATTAGAGGAACAACAATATCAACATATCAACAATCCATACCCCTCACATCAACAATTACCCCCTCCTTCAAATGCTAGCTCTGCTGCACAGACAGATCGTCTACCAACCCCTGATGATACTCCCCCAAATCTGCAGGCTGAACCCAGCGAGGACCTGAATAAGCCCGAAGACCAAGCAATGCCCTCTTCGCCTTTGGTACCCCAGCTTCAGCTTGAGAGCCAGCCCATTTCGTCTTCAGTTACCTCAGAACCACTGAATGAACAGCTTCTTCCTGCTGAAAGACCGGCAGTCTCGATTGAGATTACACCTGTCAATCAACTTTCCTCGCCAGTCAATGAGCCACAGTCTGTGGCTGTAGAGTCTCCCATGGAGCGAGCAGCTAGGCCTGCTCTTTCGGCCATTGTCCGTGCAGGCAGAGCACTTCAAACAATTACCTCGGATCCTCCATCACCTGAGCCTCAAGAACACCAACTTGGCAGCCCTTTTAGGAGCTCAGTAAGTAAAGACTCTTGGTCAGGCTCTAGGGAGAGCGCGACTGGGAGACGTTCCAACATGATAAGCCCTTCGCGCCGGTCTATCGGCCACCAGCGCCAATCAGCTTCCATTGATGACCCGTTCATCTCGGCATCTCGCAACACTGGTCAGTCCAGCTTTATGCAAGCTCTTGGTTGGAGTATGAGTCGGCAGCAGTCGCCGGACAAGTCCCGACCACAGCCGTCAGGATCAACAAGTAGCTCAATGCGAGCGACTCCCCCAGATGATGGGATGAGCTGGGTGGCAAACGAAGGCCCAATCAGTCCGAGACTGAGAGGCGACAATACTCTCCGGGAGGCTGCGGGGCTACCTGCGACACTCGCTGACCAACCCCGCAACCCTCAAAGTGAATTGGAGGAAGAGCCTGCTGCGAATCTAGACCAAGCTGAAGAGTTGTCTCAGCAGGATGATGAGACTGATATATGGGAGGTGGAAGCAGAACGATCATTACTTGATCCTGCCCCTGAGCAGTCGTCGACGGATGTATTTTCTGCCTCTCTTCGTCGCGGAACGATACCCAGTCCCTGGACAAAGCAAAGCACTTGGTCACGAGAGCAGGCTACGACGCAACCTGGAGAAGCCTCGGAGGGAAAAACCAGAGGAACCAGTGCTCACGCCGATGACGTAGCCCATCAAGAAGCTGATGAAACCGAAGAATATTCTTTACTGACTCAAAGACTGGCGGCACCTGAAGGAGCACAAGAACCAGCTACCTCAGCCAAGGAAAGCAGAGTAGACTTGTCTTCATTTTTTTCTTCGCCCGCAGCTATCCCCGGTATACTGGTCAACAAGTTGTTTCCATCTAGAACTTCCGCTACTGGGGCCTCAAACTCTATGCAAACCGAGTCTGCCCATGCTCCTGCCATTGCGACAACATCTATGTTCCCTCAGGTCGCCTCAAATCCTTTCCGCCAACAGAGCGAGAGCCCCAGGCATCTGACGTCGCCCTCCAAATCATCAGCACCTCCCTCTTCTCATAAGAGATCGTCGTCTGCTCCTGTTGTTCACGAGACGAACAATTTAGGCAGTACGTTGGGCCGAGATCTCTCTTCACCCTTCAGATCATCAGGGATGCCAAATCCACAAAGGGCCCCCGCTGGCCCAGAATCCGGATCACCTGCCACTCCAGAGAAGATACAGATGCCTATTGTAGCTCAGAAGCAGAACTTCACACCCCGCCCAAGGCAACCGAGCCAGTCGTTTTTCCAGCCTTCCTCGTCTGCTCCTACGCCACCCAGGATGCAACTCTCTCATGCCGATATTCAACGGTGGCAACAACAGACGTCCAATGCAAGCGAGAGTTCTCCTGACCTAGGCCGCAGTCTTCTACGGCCTCTTCCTCCTAGGAATGCCTCGCCCACCAAGTCGAGCCTCCGGTCGCCCTTGAAACCCCACACACCCGGGCGTGTAGTCGAGTTTACAAGCAGCGTGCTCTCTCCAGTGGAGCAGGCTCGAGCGCGTCAGGAGCGCCGCCTTTCGAATGCATCATCATCAGCCCTGGCTGCTGTCACGCAGAACCAACCAGCCAGTAGAGAAGAGCCGGTGACTGTTATCGAGGGCAAGGAGAATCATGATTCCGACATCTCAATGTCTGATGCATCGCCCCTCCCGAAGCAACGGCAAACCAATCTCCCATCTACGACTAGTGCTAGGGTAGAGTCTTCAAGCTCTGCTTCATCCTCGAAGAAGCTCTCACCAACAGTCTGGACTCGAGAACACTGGCTGTTCCTGGACCGCATCCTTGAGCGGCGCCTCGTAGGCGACTTCGAAGTCGACTTTCCCCGTCGTGCAGAGAAATATCTCGGCAAGAAAGTTAAGAGCCAAGGCGAGGCCATGGTTCTCGAGCGATGGCACCTTGACTGTGTCGACGCTTTCCGAGCCGTCGTCGGCGGCTGGGACGAGGGCGACCTTGCCAAGCGCCTCTTTTCTCTTATCTTGGCGGAAGAAAGGAGAAAGAGAATGCGTGGTCACACGACGAAACCCTCAGCAATGATGTTTCATTGATACAAAAAAACTCTTTATTTTATCTTTATATTATTCTACAAGCATGACGGAGTCAAGGGAAAAGCATGCCCGAGATTAAAATTGGCGGAAACACATATGAAAGGAAAAAGCATGCGTTGCCTCAAAAATTGTGGCTTGATGGTTAAGGCGTTAGTGGATGAAGGCACTTGTGCCCTCTATTTGGTTATTAGTTTCTTTCCTCTTCTCGTTTTTCCTTCGCTTCGCCTTATTTAAATTGCATCAGGCGGCGTTTCAGGTTCGGAATCACTGTTGGGGTCGATTTGTTTTCTTGGTTTTTTAGGTTCACTTTCTTTCTTAAGATACCTCGTTTGGGTAAGGAACTTGTTACGATGGATGGATTGTCAGACATACCTGGACTACGAAGTAACGACAGAGCGTTGAAACAAATCACATCATGAATGCGAGAATAGGAATCATCCTTTCCCTTTCTCATGTCTTGAATAAATAAGCCCTATACTGAACATTGCATCTATTCTGCCATGAACACCAAGCCGTCTCTATTTTCCTCAGCCTATCCGTATTACTCTAGCAGAGAAGCCTGGTTCGTGTATAACGCATCCACCACATTGCTCAGCTTATCAATAGTCTTCAGAGCAGCGTCGTAAGATTCGTCACGATGAGTCTCATCGAAGATGATTAGGCATCCTGCACCTTGATCGAGGACGCCAATGATGACCTTGTCCAGGATCATTTGTGATAGCTTGCGCTCAACTTGCTGCGTATCAAGACCGACCATCTTAGCGATATGGTCAATCTCAACGCGAGAGAATGGCTCGATAACCTTGATCAAGTTCTGCTCCAACATGGCATCATAAAGTCGTCGAAGATGGTTGCGGATGAAAGCATCACTGCCCAGCTCGTACCGGTAGGCAGAGAGAGCCCTCTCGTACTCCTCCAGGGAGCGATTCGAGTGCGCGCGAGCAATGGCCTTCATAGCCTCAAGGTTCTTCCCAGCATACTTGAGCGCCTGTTTGGACGACATGAGCTGGTTGACGTCCTCAACAAGGTTCAGCATAATCTTGCAAAGCAGCATGTACTGGAGGGCCGCCTGCGCCTTGCCACTCTCCTCCTGGCTGTGGTATCCGTCCAACGCCTCGATGAAGTATGAGAATGCGGTATTGAAGTCCTTATCCTCGGCGTGAAGCATACCGCTCTGCATATCGAGGTTGGCTTGAAGCAATGGAGGGGTGTAGACGCTGGCGGCGCTTGTTCGGGCGCTGGTCAAAGCAGCGCGGGCCTTCGGGATGTTTCCAAGGGCGTGGTAGACTCGGGACTCGAGGAGCTGGACTTCGACTAAGCGTAGCTTGTCATCGAGACGCTTGAGCTCGCGAAGAAGTCCATTGATGAGGGTAAGCGCATCGTACCAAGATAGCTTGGTCATGTGAAGGGTGACGAGTCGGACTTCCAAGTCCTGTCGCTGAAAAGCGCGGCGTTCGGAAGTAGCCCATTCGATACAATCTTTAGTCACAGCAATCTCGATGTCGGTACTGTTGGGAATGTCTCTGAAGATGTCGAGCAGTTGGCGCACTAGGAGTTGGTCGTGTGTCAGGATCTGGTGTCGTATAGGACAGGCTCGCGGGCAACATGTAGACTGCAAACTTACCCAGCTTAGCAGACTTGGCCTTTGCAAAGGAGGAAAACACTGATCTGCTCTCTTTTACAAGGTTGACCAGGTCCTGTGTCCGCCTATAGATATATCAGTCAGCTATCCAAGCTCCCGATGTATCATCAGATTAGGAAACCAACGTCTGGTCTCTGTAGAGCTCGCCTAGGCTGATCAGAGCAATCTCATATTCTCGGGTCGCGGAATCGGAGGCTGCACTGGGGGCAGTAGATGTGATTTCCTTGTAGATGGCCTCTGCTTTGCCAGGGTTGGTCTTGGTGAGCTTCTGGGCTTCTTGGACACGGTCCGAGTCACCGACCGCCATTGTTGAGGCTGCTGAGAATGAAGGGGTGACTGATTATATCGTAGGTTCAAGGTGTTGAGTCCCGAGACTGGGGGTGCGGGAGAGCAGGGTGGTGTTGGCGGGATGCGTTGTGGTGAAGATGAGACGGTGCGAAACGATGCAGTCAAGCTTCCAACGACTTCGTTGCTCTGCCCTTGCACTGCGGTAGCATTTGTTTGCCTGTGCTCTAGGTTGCCGCACGAGCGACGTAGGCAAGTGGGTCGCGGGTACCTCCAGGCTCGCTCTTGCCTGGGCCAGGGCCTACCAGGACCCGGCCGGGCAAGTAGCACCTACCCCACCATCCCAGTGCTTCTTGCTGGCTCTGTCAAGCTCTCTGGATTGGCTGCTGCTTCCCGATCGGGGTTAATTGCCCGGATTATCATTTGGCCGCGAGCCCTGCGGTACCGGTCCCGATCCCTTAGGCTTTGCCGGCTACAGCAGGCACATGCGCATCCATGAAATTTCAGACTCCATTCTCGTTGCTCTTATACTCGAGAGCTCATCCTAAGCTTCACAGCCAACCCTCCTTCTATTTCCTCAATTCCGCCACAACACCACTAATACACCATGTTCCGACACGCACTCACCACCTCCTCCCGGGCGCTGCGCTCTGCCGCCCCCAGAATGTCAGCCACGAGCTCTTTTGGCCCCTCACAGTTCCGCATCGTCGCTGCGGCCTCTCCTAGACATTTCACACCTGCAATGGGGAGGTGGTACAGCGACGCAAAGGAGACCAAAACTGAGGAGACGAAAGAAGAGGCTAAGGAGGCAAGCGCCGAGGCTGACCCGGTTGCTGAGCTGAAGAAGCAGCTTGAAGCCAAGGACGCCGAAGCTCGGGAGTGGAAGGTTCGTACACAACCTACTTTTGTCTTTTTCCAATAAGGTACATTTGCTGACAATATCCAAACAGGACAAGTGCTTGCGCACCGTTGCTGACTTCCGCAATCTTCAAGATCGCACCCAGCGTGAAGTTAAGAGCGCTCGCGACTTTGCTATCCAGAAATTTGCCAAGGATCTCATCGACAGCGTCGACAACTTGGATCGTGCCTTGACCACAGTCGCACCCGAGAAGCTCAATGCTGACAACCAAGATCTCAACAACCTACACGAAGGTATCAAGATGACTGAGACTGTGCTGATGCAGACTCTGGAGAAGCACGGTCTCGAGCGTCTCAGCCCTGAGGGCGAGAAGTTCAACCCCAATGAGCACGAGGCTACCTTCATGACACCCCAGCCTGAGAAGGACGACAACACCGTCTTCTTTGTTCAGCAGAAGGGCTACAAGCTCAACGGCCGAGTGCTCCGCGCAGCCAAGGTTGGCGTTGTCAAGAACAAATAAACACCTAGCCTCCCACCCGAGAAGGCACAGGTGTGCAAGCCACACCTGTTGTAATTTTAGTTGGACACCAAAAAAACGGATGGCGTTGGATCAAAATGTGTAATGCTCCTCTCATGTTGACGAAAGAAAAAGATGATTTCAATGTTGTTGCATGGCGGCGGTTTTGATCATAAGCAAAGACGAGACTTGTTCTTGGACGAGACGACCCCAGATTTTATTCGGAATGGGACAAACAATGTATATATGTATATTATACCATCTGGCTGGCGGCTTATGCGCGAGACTGATCTCGAGAGGAGAATCGCTCCCTCTCTAATTTACGAACACGGAAAAACCTCTATGCGGCCCCAACAGGACCAAAGCACGAGGTTTCGCTGCACACTCCACCAACTCTTCACTCTTTTGAGCATATACGTGACTAATAGACGGCAACAGGGGAGGCATATTGGATTTCTCGACGTTCTTGATTTACTTGCTCATAGGGACTTGATCATCGCGTGCCAGCTACACATGGCCTCCGACGGTGCTGTGGCAACGATTGACAACTGTTGCCAACTGCCAGCATCTGCCGAGGCCACACAGACACACTGTCCTGCAGGCCAGAGCAGGCTAAGGTTAGCACAACAGTACTCATATGTAAACAAAGCTACTTCTTCTACTACATCCTGCTTGTTTCTCGTGACGCTCTCGCCCGTGCTCAACCTCTTCCTCTTGCCCCTTGCTTACCGACAACAATGCACGCCTTCTAAGAACGAACAATACATATGGCCTAAGACGCCCCTCACATTCGACAATTTATCTATCCCTTTGGGAATGGCTTGTTTTCGCCTCCCTCGTTTCGGGAGAGCTCGCGCTGGTGTTTCTACAACGTGCAAGAGCACAGATGAGACATTGAGGGGTGACGTTGAGGATGTTGAAACAAGAGAAGAAGAAGCTACCCCGATCAAGACAAGTAAGTATACCTCTATGTGTCCTTGGGTCCAATCTTGACTCTTATGGCTGTTTGCGATTGACTGACAAAAACTCACTTACCTACCTAGTCCGGAGAGTCCCCAGACTCAATCCGCTTTCGCTGAGAATCAGAGACAGTGAGCTACCTTTCTTTGTTCCATTCCAATATTTATCAATACATTGCTAATAACTACTCAGGGTGCGAATCAGCAGTAGAATTCCATAATTGCGATGGAACCACCACGATGAACGCAGCAGCCACATTTCTTCAAGGAGAAAACATGCCGATCATGCAGCAGAACCACCATGGCATAGAGAAAGTTGACGACTTGGAATTAGGCGACCTGGGTGGTGATGATGAGTCGCTTGCGAGTATGTCCAGGTCCAATACAGAAGCTCTAGAAATGATGGGCATCCCATTTCATTCCCCAGTCATGGGGACATTCGTTTTCCCATACCCTCCAACTCACCGCCATACAGAATTCGATCCAAAACCCACGGTAGATGAGGGTTCCAATGGCGATGTGGAGGGTTGCGAATCCCGCCTGAGCAAGCCCAGACACGTTTTGAAAAGACGCGGCCAATACAGCATCATTCCGTCTCCCAGCACCGAGATATCTCTGCTCAACCTAGAGGAAGACCAGAATCACCAACCAATCCCCGTTATGGGAAGCTCAAGCTCCACGAGTAGCGATGAGTTGCCATTGCAATGCCGTGCCGATGGCATTGTACCTCCGCCAAGCTTGTCTCACTCATCCCACTCTTCAGATTCATCTCTCCACGGTGCTGCCGCCGGATTGGCTCCCGGCTGCACTGCGCCAACTGGGTCTCGACATTGGCGCCTAACAAACTCTGCTCTAATGGCCTACAACTCAATGCGCGGGCCTTTCAGGGAAGCTGGTCGGGATGTCTACTGCTGGGCGGAGCGGTGCCAAGAACTGAACCTCCTGAAGGTGGTGATGGGTGAGGGCGAGGGGACTTACGATGAGTGGGTTATACCAATACATGGTGCTCTCGCAACCAGAGCTCTCACAACCAGAAATCCCATTCCACAAGTTCTTATCCCCTTTTCTTATTATTTTCAGCCCTCGAGAGTCTTATGTTTCAGCTCTCGGGAGTCTTATGTTTTAGCTAACATTGATTGTAAATGTAGGATCCTAGCTGATGTCAATTCCTTGTACCATAGCGAACAGCCCTCCCCGGACGATCATCCAGGGAGGAAAGATGTATTCTGTCTTCCTCGAGCGCCATATGAACATATTCACAACCCGGACACTTCTCAATCTCATGATACTCCAGCCGCCGATCCCGTTCTTGCGCACAGCCCACGAGCTGTACAATACCAAGTCCCACAAATCGGACATGAGAACTTGTGCATCGACTCTGAAAATTGGGGGTATTCGGATCAGGGAGATGGGAATATCGAAGGCATTGCTCTTCCAGAAGAAGGTATACTGCGTCAAATCTGGTCAATACCAGGCTTCGGGGAAATGTACTAACACATCAGTCCCAGATGAGTTCGTTATCTCTGATGACGAGGGTCATCCAGACGACGGCCGCATTTCACCCTGCACATTCCGACTGTTTACTCAGAACTGCCGCCGACGACGCGATACGCACCAGATCATTGACCAGGTACTGCAGGTAATCATACCCCTAGCCCGTATATCTAGGATCTTCTGTATTCACTAATCTGCTCGCAGAACTACCAGCCTAGAAATCTACGCCTCGAGACCACTGGACCCCTCGGGATGGGCTATCAGGCCCCAAGGTTTCCAGCCCAATACCATCCGTTTTCTTCCGGCTCTGGTTACGCTTGTGAAGGTGAAGATGGAGATGAAGATGAGCAGGGGGTAAACTTGGTACACATGGCCAAGATCGTCACCATCGAGCATTGGGTTTTCACAGGATATTGGCCGGATTTTTTGGACGAGGTGGCTTATGTTTGAAGGTCTTGACAACATATCGTGATAAGCAATCGGTATATACCCGTCAATAGCAAAATACATGTATGACCCCAAAATGATTTATTACTCTCTAAAGTTACAACGAAGCGCATGCAGCCAGTTTATTTCTTGGCTTTCCCCTTCGTTCCCGACGCCTTGGGTTTGGCCGCAGCCTTTGTTGCTTTCTTCGCGGGCTTCTTAGCCTTTGGTTGTTTGATGTATTTATCCTTCTTCAAATCAAGCTCTTCATCATCAGCTTCCGGAGCTTCGACGACTTCGGCTTCATCTTCCTCCTCAATAGCCTCCTCCAGGTCAGGGGCCTCCTTGGCCTGGACCTTCGGGGCTGTGACATTGCTTGCCTTGATGAATGGGACTGGGTGGTTCATCGAATTGTACCTGTCAAGAGTTAGCAAAGTTCGGGGAGTGCCTCAGTAGGAGTGGTGATGAGCAAACGTACGTTCTAGTAAAGGCGGCTTTGACCTTTGAATCGACAGACACATTACCCTCATCCATATAACCAACACCAAGTTCCTGGATGGCGTCTACGTCGTCTCGGGTGAGGTAATAACTGTCCATGAGCTCGATAATGTCGGAAACAGCTTCGTTACCGTCACGCTCAAGTCGTTTGACTATTTGGTCCCAGAGCACAGGAAGGTATTCCTGTCTGACCTCATTGTGATCGCCAGATGACTTAAGACGCATATGAGAATGAAGCTCTCGAGTGTAGCGTCCCAGTTTCCCTGTTTTACTGTTATTTCCGAGCCAGCTCGTGAAGTCTGAGCCCATGAGTTGGCCGGCAATAAAGCTTGCAGGTCGAACTGTGCTAAAAACAGCATGTGTTGGCATGAGGCTCCAGTGTTGTTGAGGGCCATGGATCATTCTATCCACCAGGTCTCCGTCACTGATGCTCTCAGCAGCCTTGTCAAAGAGTTCCAAAGCCTTCAGCTTTTCTTGTCGTTTGTTGTAGCCTTGGCCATTCAAGGCCATTGGCTTGGTCTTCAGGTAATTTTCTTGGATCATGAGGAAGCTGAATTCATGATCGTTGAAATACAACTCAATCTTGTCATTGAGGGTCGACTTGCTGGCTGGTGCAAATAGTCCACCAGCCAACATCTTTTGGCAAATGTCCCAAGGTTTCAACACAACGTGTTTCTCCCACGCTTTGCTCATTGCCTTTCCTTTGTCAAAATCCATACTTTTCTGGTCGAGCTTTGCTGTAGAAATCATATTGATGATCTGCCGGATATCCTTGTTGCTCCCTTCGATGAGAGCATCAACGACAGGGACTGGTAATTTCAATCCCTCTCTATGGCATATAGTCATGATGCGGCCTCTGACCTGCTCTACCGTTGGGCGGTTGAATCTTATATCCAGGGCTACGTGGTCGAAAGGCTTCATCTTTGGCAGTTTGCGCTCATTGCAAATCAAGATGAGCGGAATTTCGGTCTTCTTGCAGAATTTTGCCAAAGCACCAACACCACCACGATCACCTGCCGACATGCCATCGACCTCATCCATGATGAGCACAATCTTCTTCTTTGTCGAGTCCACAGATTTACCATCGCCTGCAAAGTATCCGAGGAGCGAGGTGTTGTTCATCACATCACTAACACCGGCTTCGACTAGCTTTTTGCTTCTTGAGTCGCTCGCGTTGCTCTCTATAACATCATAACCCTCAAGCTTAGCCGCAAGATGTGCGGCTGTCGTCTTGCCGATGCCAGGCGGGCCAGAGAGTATGATAGCACGAGCTCCGAGCAGTCCATCAGCTCCCCGTCGTTGGAAATCGTATTTTTTCGCCGTCGCCCAGCCTTGCAGCCATTTCTGTATCTTTTCAACTTGCCCCTTATTTCCGCAAATATGGCTTAGCTGCGTTGGGGCGTACTTAGAGGTCAACAGTTGGGCAACTGGAGCTGGTGGGAGAACCGCCGACTTGTCCGTGACACCTCGAGCAGCGGCAGCTTTTTTCGCCGCCTTCGCTGCCTCCAATTGTTTAGCCTTCTCTTCCGCTTCCATTTCAGCAATTTGTTTCTTCATCTTTTCTTCATCTGCCTTCTTTTTTTCTTGCGCCTTTTGAGCTCCTTTACCTGAGCCACCAAAGGCAGGCAGTTTTCGTATAAGATCAAATAATCCATTTTCGTCAATTGTCTTGATTCCCAGTGACTTAATTTTAGACAGCTTGCTTGGGCCAGCGTCTTCGCCAAGAACAACAAAGCTTGTCTTGCTGCTGGGTTGTCCAGTAACTTTACCTCCATACCGCTTCACCAATGCCTGCGCTTCCTCTCGAGCAATTGTTTGCAATACGCCGGTGAAAACAAAAGTGAGGCCGCTCAAACATTCCTCTTCGCCATCTGGTATTTCTGCCGAACCTCCCATAGGCTGAGCAGCTGAGTTTCCACCACCATTTGCTTTTCTCCAGTCAAACTTAGCATTGGGATCCTTTGGCGGAGGCGTTGGTGCTCGAACTGTCGTAACGCTATTGAGAATGTCTTGAATCTCGGCATCTTCGGGTTCATCTGGCTTTTTCGTCCGCGGAGCTCGTGGTTTCGCAGGGGTCTTCCGCTTTTTTGGCGCCTCATCTTCAGATTCTTCCGTGTCAGGTTCAGGGGTTTTTCGCTTTTTCGCCGCTGAGGGCTTTGCAGGCTTCTTTTCGTCCGTCGCACTGCCGGCAGCCGAAGCTCGAGCTCGAGATGCCACTCGTTTCGGTTGAGGAAGAACATCTTCATCCGAATCATCCTCCACATAATCGTCATTTTTGCGCTTGCCACGACCCTTTGTGTCAGCAGCGAAAATATCATCTGCATCTTCATCGGCGTCATCCATATAGGCGTCTTCATCATCATTGGCTGCGTGGCGAGTATAACTGATAGCCGTTCGCTTTTTCGTAGGTGAGGCGCTCTTGTCAGGGCCAGCTTGGGATTTCGAGGGTGGGTTCCTTCCTCGGGGGCTTGATCTGACCGGAACGTCTGTTTTCTTCTCCTCTTTCTTCAAGGAGGAGGTCGTCGATCGCGTCGTGGAAGAATCATTTGTCTTGGTTGAGGCAAAGTAATCCTCGGCGGAAATTGATACGCCTGTAGGCTTGCTGTCTCTAGGAGTTCAAAGTTAGAAACCAAGTGTTTTCTTTGAATCAAACGAACATACCCTGGTTTCTTCTTTGTGGAAGCTTTCGGCTCTGGTCGCTTCTGTCTGCCCACAGTGTTAGCATCATCTCGAAGCGATCTGAACAACTGATGTCGAACGCACTCAACCTCCTCCTCATCACTCTCGTCAATAACTTTTCGGTTTTCTAAACTATGTAAGCAATTGATCAAGGTATTCGGGGTCTAAATTCCTCACTTGAACGTTTGGTCTCTGCCGGCGGCTTCGGCGTAGGCTTTGGGGCAGCACCGCCCTTAGGGCCAAAGAAAGATCGAATGTCAGGCATTATGAACGGATAATTGAGAAGTATAAAGCCAAGGTAGTATTAACAGAGCCCACGGCGTTGCATCTTTCAAGAGAAACCAAATTTACAAGCCGAGCTTGGCGCGTGGCTGCGTATTAAAGGAATTCTTGTCGAGATGAATGTAGGCAGCAACCAGTGAGTGACGTTAAAGACTTGGTTGATTAGCAGGGTGGTGAGACGCGAAGATGACGCGAGATGCGTGACCTGCTTAAGAGGTCAGGTGTACCTTGGTACTTGCCAGCTTGAAGGCAGCACTGCAAGAAGTGGGGAACTTCCCTCCCAGGCAATGGCAAGCCTAGCCAGTCAGGTCCCGATTTGCGCCCCACACCAACGACACCTTGAGAAGAATTTCCAATTGCCAGACAGAGGTCAAGCTATCTGCCTAGAAGGTGCCCAATCGACAATTGGCAAACGATGAAGCCCGTCAACATGTCAACACTGCTCGGGTCTTTCCAGGCACTGAGCCTCCGAACCTCTACACCTTTGCGCCTACTCCGGGCCCCCATCCAGAGACAGACACAGCAACTCCAAAATGCCAGGGCTTTCTCGACCACGACTCCGGCCCTCGGCAATTGGCTTGAGCCAAATATCGACAGGAAGAAGAAGATGGCCAAGGGTCGCCCCCGCGTTCCCACCGGGGGCTCGGTCAAAGGCACAACAGTGATCTGGGGCGATTTCGGAATCCGCATGGTCGATCATGATCGCAGAATCAGCGCAAAGCACCTAAAGATGGCCGAAGACACAATCAAGACCCGACTACGTGGAGAGAGATTCCGCCTGTATAAGCGCAAGTGCTGCAATGTTGGCGTCTACGCCAGCGGCAACGATGTGAGGATCAGGACAGGTCAAACTGTGGAATGTCGAGGCTAACCTGCTTCTCAAACCAGATGCGTATGGGTAAGGGTAAGGGTTCGTTTGATCATTGGGCAACTAGAATGGCTGTGAGCCAAGTTCTATTTGAGCTCAGGGGCAAAGTTCACGAGCAAGTTGTTCGAGATGCTTTCCGCCTGGCGGGAAACAAGCTGCCAGGTCAGTATAGTCATCAAAGTCCAATGTATACCATCGCTAACCATTCTTGGCCAGGCCAATGGGAATTCGTCAAGAAGGGAGATCCCCCAGTCGTCGGGATCACGAAGTTGGATGGTGTGACTCTCGAAGAGTTAAAACGCCCGAGAAGGGTGGTGCCAACTGAGTTGGCTGGAACTCCCACCGAGCCTGAGGTTACAGAAAGCCCCTCAAAGACGCCCTGAGCATCGTTTTTTCATGAGGATTAACCTTGACATACGATTCTTGGGCGCATAATCATGTATTCAATGGGTTCAATTTGACCCCAGTGTAACCACTATTACGAAAGAAAGCATCGTCATATAAATATTTAGACAGGTCTCACAAACAATTGTTTACACTGTACACCGTTTTTGAAGTATACCAGAGTCCCTCGACAATTTCCAATTCCAAGTTGAATTGGCCACTTGCTTATAATAATGGCTGTCCAAGTCGCATGGTATGACGGTCGCTGATGTACATTGTACCTTCAGGCAACTCCCAGTGGTCCGTGCACTCACAGAAATCGACATGCCCGTGCACCTACCACTTAACGCGATCGACGCGTCTTCCAGAATGCTCATCTTTTTGATTTTGACCCATCAGCTTAATTGAGTTCACCCATCACCAGAACGTAACTTCAAAATCAACGATCATGGCTCTCATCGTGGATAAGCATCGGCCACGGTCATTGGATACATTGACCTATCACCATGAATTATCAGAACGCCTCAGATCTCTTGTACGCTCTTGCACATCGAGTCAAGTATCACCGTCTGCTAACCCAACCGGTTACTAGGCGCAAAGCAGCGATTTCCCACATCTCCTTGTTTACGGCCCGTCTGGGGCAGGGAAGAAGACAAGAATAGTAGCGACTCTAAAGGAACTGTACGGACCAGGTGTAGAGAAGATCAAGATCGACGCCCGCGTTTTCCAGACATCCAGCAACCGCAAACTCGAGTTCAACATTGTCTCATCCATCTACCACATGGAGATAACGCCTTCGGATGTGGGGAATTACGATAGAGTTGTTGTGCAGGATCTATTAAAGGAGGTCGCCCAGACCCAACAGGTCGACCAGTCGGCGAAGCAACGGTTCAAGGTCGTCGTCATCAACGAAGCCGATCATCTCACACGCGACGCCCAAGCAGCCCTACGTCGCACGATGGAGAAATATTCGCCCAATCTACGATTAATTCTTCTAGCAAACTCGACTGCGAATATCATCGCTCCTATTCGGTCCAGAACGCTGCTGGTAAGAGTAGCAGCGCCAACACACGAACAGATTTGCGACGTTCTCGCTCAATCTGCCAAAAAACAAAACTGGCCAGTTGCAAAGGGGCTTCATCAGCGGATAGCCATTGAAAGTGGTCGCAATCTGCGAAGGGCGCTACTCATGTACGAAGCCGTCCATGCCCAGAAGTAAGTGAAGATGATTTAAGAAACTCCATGGCCATAAAGTAGCATTGAAAGCTAATCAAATACGATTTCTCCTACGACAGTGAAAAGGTTTCAGACAACACCCCAATCCCACCCGCCGACTGGGAGGCTCTCATTGGCCAAATTGCCAAGGAAATTATCGAAGAGCACACTCCCAACCGTATACTACAAGTCCGCGCCAAACTATATGATTTGTTAACACACTGCATCCCGCCAACAACGATCCTAAAAACTCTCACCTTTAAATTGTTGGCCCTCGTGGACGATGGCCTCAAGGGTGATGTAATTTACTGGTCAGCTTTCTTTGAGCATCGGGTCAAGACGGGCACAAAGGTCATCTTTCATCTCGAGGCCTTCGTTGCTAAGTTCATGAGAATCTTGGAAATGTACCTAATGAGTGTAGATCTATAGCCTGTTGCAAATGGGAAAGTTATGGTGTACGGCGTCCGGTCTAGGATTTTTTTGTTCTGCTGGCATTGACCGCAAAGTCAGCCAGCGTCAAGTTGCAAGCACATCACAGGCATTCCATTAGTGGCCATACACAACCCGGGAACGTGGTGTGTGTTTCGGCCCTACTTGTGTGGGCAGGGGTGAGGCTTTAGTTAACTAAAAGTACAATTCATCAGTCTGTCTGGCACTTGACTCTTTACATGTATTTTCTCCAAATAGCAAAGCACTTTTCCTACTTAGCTAGCTTCAAGTTCTCAGCTGCCAACTGACCAAACGGAACAGCTTCAAGCTCATGGTTTCCCTCATTTGCTACCGACGTGCATTGGCATTTGGGTGGGGCATAGCGTCACTGTTCAATCTGCTTGTCTGAGTGGGCATTCGACATCAGATGATCGTGGGGTAAACTTAACGCAGGCATCACTTCGATTACGCACTGTAAAAACAATTCCCTTCTTAATCCAACGATCCGAGAGCACGAAAGCGTGTCTTGTGCCAGCCTAGTTCGCCCACCATGCCCGCCCAAAGCGCCGCGCTCTTTGGTGGATGCTCGCTTCGTCTGCTCTCTTGGCGGCGGCAAATTGTGCCCTTTGGTTGGCAGTTGGCCTGACTGCCGGCTAGAGAAGCTAGCAAGCTCAGCTGTTTCGGGTAATGTGGGCGGATTTCACATTCTGCCGTTGGTCAGCCCAGTTTCCTTTACAGGATGTCACTGAGCCTCAAAATATACCACGCTACAAGGTTCAGAATATGCAGTTGGTTCTGCGTTGCAGAATCCTCCCTAATGCACACTCTTGGCCGCCCACATGATTTCCTCCAGCCATCATACATTCCAGACTGTAGCCCAATGATTGCATGAAATGACCCGTAATAATGAAAAGCGTTGGCGCTTAACAGTCACTTTTGCCCATTCGGGGAAGTACCTTGGTTAAGCGGCGAATTACGATACGCCGAGCCAACAGCACCGCCAAGAGTCGTAGAAAAGCAAGTAGACATACAAACAGCCACCCCCCAATTTCAGTCTCAATGTCAAATACCACTCAACACACAAGTGAGAAGCGTCCTTATGGTTCTAGATAGCTCCCAGCATGACAGCCCGACGTCAAGAGACGGAGCTTCCACTCTTACACAACGGAGGCCGACAAGACCGACCAAACCGACAAAGGCCAAGGAGGTTGGCCAGCTCTAGGCCCTTCCCAGCCCAAACTACCCAAAACTTCGCCAACAGTGATGTGGACCATTCCAGGACGACCCCTTGGTCTGTTGACCGCGATCAAGAAGGCAGTGTGCTCGATGGCTATACCACTGAGACATCTTCCTCAACACAAACCATGGTCATCCCTAGTACGAGGCCGAATGATGCCAGCAATAACACTAGATCGAAACTTTTGCGTCACAAAGAGGTCCCCGTACGTTTGGATGGGGGTGGAAGCGAGAAATGGCAGCCGTTTTGGTTGCGTCCGACCGTGCTAGGGACATTCTCTGCCCTTTTCTTATGTTATGCTATTGCACTGCCAGTTCTGTTATCATTTTCCCACAGGAACAACGGACTTCTAGAAGCACGGCGGGACCTTGAGCAACTATGGAGATTTGGGCCAACTGCAGGTGTGTTCTCTCTCAACTTATATACTAGATGTCAATTCGTTGAGTTGACTTGAAATGCCGTTGACAGTGTTTACTCTTGTTACGATACTCTGGAGCAGGGTCGAGTTACAGACTCTAAGATATTTTCCCTGGGTGCAGTCTCAGACTTCAAACGACTCCAGCATCTATATGCTGGACTATACCTCCAAGATATCAATTACCATTCTCATTCAATCTCTGCGCAAGAAACACTTTCTCGTCTTCATAATCACGCTCACCACACTCCTTCTCAAAGTTCAAGTTGTTCTTATACCCAGTTTATTTTCTCTCAAGACTGTTCAGGTTTCTAAACCTGTGCCTGTACAAATCTGGGATTTTTTCGACCCAGAGTTTAGTCATCGTAACTTTGGCGAGGGTTACAAGACCGGCTATTGGAATTTCCGGGCAATACAGGATTTCAACACAGGAATCCCCTTTGGGGTTGGAAACAACTCAATATATCAAACTTTTGCGCAAGCGAACACCACAAATGCCACGCGTGGCACTATCGACTCTCCTCTTACCACTATTGTGGATGGGTTATTTTTCGATGTTGAGTGCCGACAGGTGGAGAGTTGTACCCCGGTTTACTCATACTATTCCGATACAAGTCAACCACAAGTTTCCGTGGATCTCAAATTCGAGGGCTGCCCTCAAGCATCACGGACACGTGTGTACAATGCTTTCTCGCCACTCTATTGGCATAATAAGACCAGCTTAGACGACAGGCTCTCGTCGAACAGTCCGGCAGACCATTGCTCACAGCTACCTAACCAGTTTAATCACTCAATCTATCTTGCATCAAGATGGGTTCCTTCTCCAGAAAACAGCTCCATCCCTATCCTCAATGCTTGCGCTGGTGTCATTTGCTCACCTACCGCATGGATAGCTAAGACAGAAGTGCGGGATGACGGAAATCATCCCAAGATGACACTGCTACCAGACCAAGAAAAGACTCCCATCAAAACCAACCCTTTTGAGCTCATCGAAAACTCGGTCCCAGATGCGCTTGGGGGGAACACTTCATCGCCATTGATGATAAATTCGTTTTTACTTGAATCGACCGATGTCGAAAAAAAGTACCCCGACGGCTTTCCCCTCTCGCTCTATACGAATCAGGTCATGTACGACTCAGTATTGACCCTCAACCAAGCACTCGGACCTCTTGTTGCACATCATGAGCTCCGAAACAAAACAGAGAGACAGACAACAGGTTCAAGACCGTTTGAAGTCGACCGACTCCAGCTGAATCGACCAATCTGCATATGCCTAGCAGTGATCTCAGCTCTCTCGGCATTCGTTTCCGTATGGGCGATACTCCAATACAAGGGAGCATTTAAGAACTGGCACAGAAATCCAGCGACAATTCTTGGATTAATGAGCTTTTCCGATGGCCAAAGACTTGAGCCTTCATCAGAGCAAAAGGAAACAAGAATCAAATCATGGCGTCAACATCAAGAGTCTCCTCTACCCCTGCCTACTTGGCTGAGGCTCATAACTACAATTTATGTTCTAGGCTTGATTATCAGTCTCGTCACTGTGCTTCAACTGTCTAATGCATCTAATGGGATATTAACACTCAAAGAAGGAACTTTATCTCTTTGGTGGACCGCAGGTCCCACTTTGGCCATATATCTTGTCACACTCTATACTACTTCGTCAGATACAGTAGTCCGTGACCTTGCGATACATGCCAAGCTAGGCGTTCGATCTTGCACTGTAAGAGAGCTGGATATTTCACTGCTGGATATGCTTGGGCTCAGGGCTTTATACTATTCGGTCAGATGGAAGATACATACTGTCACGCTTACACAGCTGCTAGCTATTGCTTGCGGCTTCTTGGCGTCATTGTCATCTCTCCTATTCTTTCCTTCGAACTTTCCCGGCAGTTTCGATGTAAACATCAAGCAACAAAGTTGGTTTGGTTCTCGAGCTCTGGCACCAGAAAACGGTGGGAAAATGAGCGAATACAACATAGCCAGGTGGGCTCTGAACGGCCTCATGATTACTCAAACAAAATCCAATTTCACCTGGCCTGATTTCACATACCGCGATCTCATCTTTCCCCGTCTAGAAATCGATGGCCCCAGCCAGGATTGGAATTCAAGTGTCAGCTTTGAGCTTGAAGCACCGGCTATCAAATTGATGCCAGAATGCACACAGCTTCCTCAAGATGTTCTGATACGCAATCCCACCCATTATTCGTGGGACTTTTATTACACGGCGAATTTAACTCATACCTGCCCAAATGGTACCAAATTCACAATGGAGTATTGGAATAGTGTATACCCCGTTCAATATGACTCCTACATGCTCGCGGAGCTTGAACCCAGGGTCGATCCATGCCCCACCGATCTCTGGATGGAAAAGACATATTTCTGGGGCAAGCGATTGAATTACACCTTCGGCCATACTGCGGTCTGGAGGTGTAACTATACGTGGGCCGAAGTTCCTACGAAGCTGAATATGCTGTGGGCAGAAAAGGGCTTACAGGTAGACCACCAGCGCCCTCCATCACCAGACTATTCGAAAGCCAAGCCATTATATCCATCATTTAGCACTCCAACATTCGGTGGTGACGAAATCGACACTTTTTGGCCAAAAACTACCTTCAGTTATGACCAAGAGGGTATCGTGGAGTGGCTCGATACCCGATATCACTATCTCTTTCAGCCTACTGGTTCTTTAGATGTGACAAGGATTGGCGATCCGGACTATGACCAAACACTATTAGAGGCAATACACTCCAGCTATGCTTTGATTGCGGGTCAGCTAGCAAATGCTTTGAACCGACTTAACATCGACGAAGCATCAACATCATCTCCATCGCACTCTGAAGAGTTACCTCTCATCAGCGCAACAGCGACAGATAAAAGACAGCGCCGGCTCTTCCAAAAAGCGGATATGACCTATCTCATAGTCGGAATCTTATCGCTGTGTTTTCTCATCAACACCTGGGCATTGGTCTCGTCTGGACTGAAGCGCTTCATCAACTACAGGGGTAAATTCTTTCTGGACTTGGAGATGAAGGACTTGGTGCCACCTGATTATAACAGTATTGCCATGGCTACCTCTCTGCTCTCTCCGTCGAATTATTCCAAATACTTGGACTCTGGGGACGAGCAGGGCCCGGGAATGTTAGGTTTGCGATTCCGAATGGGGTGGTTTATCAGAAAGGGTGGTCAGGAGAGGGAACTGACAATTGGCGTACTGAATGACCCAGACTTTCAGTTTCTGGGAGGCAAGCAGTCAAATGGGTAAATTTTCCATGAGCCCAATGTATATCCTTCATTAATATATTATCTGGATATTAAATATCACTTTAGAGTGCAAATACTATCATCTAGAAAATCACACTGGATCCTGGCATCACGAGAGTGTTGAAGCATTATTAACCGCCAGGACACAGAGATACGCCAATTCTCCGGTCTTTACCATTATGTCCCGTTCTAAAATCCGCATTCATTTCACTTGTTTCTGCACTGCATCAAGTTGGTATCATCTAACGCTTATCTGGATTGTGCATTGAATGACACCTACATTTCTAAGCCAAGCAGGATGATCACAGGTAGTGCTCTAACGAGGTCCTCAGACAATAGCAATCAGCCACTGCCCTAGGTGGTCTTCTTTCAGCCCATATTTCCACCTCCAGACGCTGGCAAGAAGATGTTAGTGTTTATCTCGACTCTATGAAGTTAGCACAACTCTGATTTGAGAAGACTATTGTCGGGAAAATGTATGCCCCATTCTATAGCCATTCTTCTATTCAGGCTTCAGCAACGTCTATTCGAGCTACTGCTCAGAAATACGACATCAGCAGGTGTGCTATCAAGGTGATGAGGGCTAGCGCCGCATTTGGAGGTCCAGCTCCCGTGGCTAAATAGATGGCTCATCTCATGGGATTAACTGACGATAGAGGGATAGTTCTCCGCCTAAACGTGCGAATTACCAAATTTTCCATCTTCTTATCGCATCAGCGAGATGAATTTGTTGAATATGAGCTATCGAGAGGTCTCTCAGCTGTTCACCGGCCGGGTGGAAAGAATGCCTTGTGAATGTGCTATCACAGGAGCAAGACATTGGATGGTTAAGCAAATTTGAAATCGTAACAAAAAAGGAATAACTTTCCAAACTGAAGAGAATATCCTCAAATGGTGAGGCTCCTCTCATTTATTTCACCAAAATCAGAGACATGAATTTGAGGAGTCCATGAAGCAAAAATAACCCAAACCCAACAGAATCGGCGGGAGGGTGCCAATGAGAGTTTGAGGGTGAGCGAGTTAGAACATTCCGCTTAATACCAGACCCAAGGAGGTTACACTCCCACTCTCGGCTTGGTCGGTGTTACTGCTCGGCGCATAAAATCAGAAAAAGCAGCACAGTGTTTTCAATTTACACCTCAATCATATACTTACTTTCTGCAATTCTATTGTCGATGACTCGACAGTTAAGGGGAAGCGTTTACCACTTGCTTGAAACCACAATTTGCAGGATGACTGTCGAGATCTAGTAGGTCTAGGGTAGTCTGGTGATGGGCGAAGTGTTGCTTGATATACCCTGGTTGCCTGGTAGGTAAGGTAGGTATATAGAAACTAAAAACTGCGTGTTTGTCATCATCGCCTCACTACAGCGGCTGTCCACAGCCGATCCGCCCACTCTTGCTGGGGTAGGAATTCTTCCGTAGTATAGTGGTCAGTATGCAAGCTTGTCACGCTTGAGACCCGGGTTCAATTCCCGGCGGGAGAGACCGCCACACAACTTCAGTTGTGATTCTTTTTTTGGTCCTGGGGATAATTTTATATGATAAATCTCTCCCCGCCGTTTCTTGCCATGTGCAACGTCTGAAGAGAAGAGTTCTGGCCATCGAAGCAAGAGGCTTCGAACACTGATGCCCTATGGAGTGGGCTAAGGAGTGACATGTACAACCCAGGAGAAAATCGGTGGATCAGTCGATAAACACCGTCGTGGCCGTTTGTTTACCCCTGCCATATGCATGGACCGACCTGCACATGCGGCCTCCGATGGCACAAACCAACCACGATCAACCATGTGTTGGTGGGGTTGGGCCGCACATTTGGTCGCTCTGATTTGTTCCTCTGTCAGTGGTGGGAAGGAGACGGTCAACGAGCTTCAGTTAAAATGAGCATTCACCAAGAATCGAAATGCTTGCTAATATATAATGCACAGTGGGTTTAATGAGCATTGCGCAAGCCTTGTACGCAATTCGAAAGCTTATGTGGCAGGGATATGCGTTTTGGCGTGCTGACATCCTGCTTTCGCTGACCTGCATAGTAAGGTGGTAATAATAATCGAATCACGAAACCTTTTCAGCTTGATGAGCCCTCTAGATACCACTATCCCATCGTGGCGATCAGTGCCTAGACAGATTAGCATGGTGAGGGACAAGCTTTTCGTTTGAAACAACCTCATCCAATCGACTACTGAAAGTTACGGCAACGATACTAATGATACCCGACGTGCTGGCCAGGCCACAAAAAAAAAAGTTCGAGAATTGACGTGGCGACGGGAGGTAATTTCGGTTCATGTTTCACCATACGCCACTAGCCAATTCCACTTCGGAAAATGGCGCCAATACTGAGTCGGGTTCCGATTTGCTAAGATGTGGCTACTGATCGGAGAGCTAAGCCAGGCACACAAAAGATAAACATCACACTAAAAGGAGAATTGTTGGCAATGATGAACGCAAGGGGATATCTCTTATTCTTCCAGAAGCTGCAATAAATAGAATCATTGAGACCTTTGTTGTTAAGATGGTTGATCGGCTCCTGGTGGACGCGGGAAAGGATTTGCAATGGGCACCGGGGAGTAATTTAAAGAGCTTTCCATACCAATGGGATCAGATGTCGGTACATGCCTGGCAGCAGGCCGGTGGTAGTCATGCATAGTGTGTAGCAGGTGCGTAGTAATACACCTCACCTAGAAGGTAGGCGAGGGGTAGACAACCACCCTGATGAGGCACGAGGCGGCTAGGATCTTGCGATGGACTCCCTAGAACCGCGGAAATTGCCTAAGATTTCCCCAGGTAGCCGAATATTAGCTGTGGCCATGAATAGACAGACTTTTTCTTGGCTGGGCATCCTGCCTGTGCCGTTATCAAATCAGGTCAGAAAGGGTAGGTGGAGGATGAGCTGCTGCAGGTAGCACACATCAGGTGGCAGGGACCTGGAGGCGAGGTATCTGGTGCCTCTACTGGCGGCGGAAAGGGGACTTGTATACGAAGTACCTTGTGATTTATGCGCAGCTGGTCATAACACGACTGCGATTTGGCAAATTTGCACCCGCCGGCGAGCAAGCTGGCAGTGACCACGGACGTTTCTTTCTTTCCTTTGAGTCTGTACCTACAGAGAGGGTGGTGGGGTGGGGACTTTCGGACCAGTGAGAAGGTGCCCCGATGTTTCAGTCGGATGACCGTCAGGCACGGAATGGCACTAACAGGGCTGCTGACCGGTTCATTGGTAGCGGTTGGGGGCTGTAGCTTCGGGTAGGCAGGTTTTGATCCCATCTGGTTTCTTTCTTTCTTTTGCAGCCAGGGGGCCGGTGCGCAACAACCAGCCCGCTCCCTCTCTGGTCACCTCTCCGTAATCAGGGAGTGTTCCATCCAGGATACGTCCGAGCTACCAGCAGCTTTGCCCACTAGGGCCTGCTGGGCCACGTATCGCGGATGTCGCCAAACCGCCACCAGCTGGGCATCCATACTAGCCGACACGTAACCGACTAATGTTTTGAGGACTTTCTTTCTCGGGCCCATTAATGTGCTCACTAGCCGTTCGGCGTCAACGCTTCCAGAGGCTGACACTCAAGAACTTCGGCGGCAGCTCACACAAGCTACTCTTCTTCATTTCCCCTTGGTGAGCTGGGCCGCCTTGGACCGGCATCAGCATAAATAGACACATCTGCTTGGGAGATGAGCCAACTGCCTTATCCATCATGCCTCTCTAGGGCCTGGGCCCGGTGCGCACATGGCTGTTGTGATGGCACCAGGCAGTATTACGACATCTAGACCCAGGAGGGACAGGCCCTTTCTTGGCCTTGGACTAGGAGACGAATCCCTGCTTCAGTCTGAGTAGTCTGCAAGCCATGCCCTCTGCCCCTGTGAGAAATGGCCACTTTTGGTTAGACAAACGACGGCTTGCTGCCAGGGGCACGACTTGAGACCCCGGCGCCGTGCCCGAGCCCTGGTATCCGTTAATAGATCCAGGTACACACCATGATGCATGGCCTGAGTGGGACTCAGTCCGGTCTTGCCAGCTGTGTGTGGTGTGGTCCTGATACGATGCCACCAGCAGCAAGAGGCCCGCAGCAAGAGCTTTCTCTCTTTGCTTTGCCCTCCTTTCTCTGGCTTCATAAGTTCTCAGACCCCCGTCAATCCCCCATGAGGATTACCTCTCTCTATAAACCCATACACTCCCTTGGTTCTGCCAGACGTTTATACCGTCACCCACGTTCTTTCGGCTGCGCCGTCCTTGAAACTGTTAAGCTCAAGCATTGCTCCGCTGCTTCACGCAAGGACCACACATTCGGCCTTCATTTTACAGTAAAGATCCCTCATCCTTGTCGACGGGTCGCAAGGTTTATCCAGTTGTACCAATCCTTCATTCATTCAAGAACCCCCAATTATCCGCTTCCTTTCCCAGTGCCCATTCACAGCAACCTCAACCTTTGGTCCTCGTCCTCAATCAAACCACCAAGATGATTGGCAAGCAGATCGTTGCTCTTACTCTGCTCTCCGCCATGGCGGATCAGACTCTGGCTGCTCCTGGCCACCAGCACCGCCAGCTCCATGCTGTCGAGAAGAAGCGAGCATTGGAGATCGAAGTAGTCACCGAAATCGTCACCGTCACCGTCACCTACGGTGCGGAACCAACCAAGGACGATAAGGGCGGCATCTTCGTTTCCGTTCCTGACACCACCTCGACTTCTGTCGCCGCCGCCCCAACTGTAGAACAGCAGGTTGACAACCAGAAGCCTGCTTCCTCCAGCAGCTCGGCCCAGGTTCAGGAGAACGCCAAGCGACCCTCGTCCTCTACGTTAACCTCCACCGCTGTTGTTACCACCACTGCTCAGCCTACTACCAGTGCTGAGCCCACAACTGCCGCTCAGCCTACAACCACGGCTGTGCCATCTTCCTCTTCGACCAGTTCGGCAGCACCTGCGAGCACATCCTCATCGTCTTCCGGGGGCTCTGGAGGATCGAAGCGTGGTATTGCGTATAATGACGCTACTCTGATTAGCAAGCTCAACAAATGCTCCTGGATCTATAACTGGGAGACCCAAGCCAAGGGCGGGCCCTCTGACAAGTACATTCCTACGTTGAAGGACGCCTCTCAACAGTGGATTACCTGGTTCAATGAGCAGGTAGCGGAGGGAGTCTCGCTCACCTCGAGCTCCCTCAACACCATATTCTCTGCGAACGAACCCGATAATGGTGGACAGGCTGGCGCGACTATCCCGTCCGTTGCCGCGGCTGTCCAATTCCAAATCGACCACTTCAACAACCTAAGGGACAGCCCACTTTCAAGCGTGATCAAGGAGGCTAGTGTTGGTGCTCCTTCAGTCACAAACGGACAGGGCGCCAACCAGGGTCTCAACTATCTCAAGCAATGGGTTGAAGCCTGCAATGCCAGATCGAAGGAGGGTTGTAGGTTCGATTTCTGCAACCTCCACTGGTATGATTACATGAAGGCCGAAGACAGCCTATTCTCCAACCTGGAGAAGGCCCATGAGATCTGTGGCGGCAAGCCTGTCTGGCTGACAGAGTTTGCTGCTCTCGATGAAGACGAGAAGACGATCTCCGAGTGGCTTCCTGGCGTTTTGAGCAAGCTGGATGCTTTGGATTATGTTCCAAGATACGCTTACTTCATGGCCGGAAACTCCCAGAAAGTTGGCTGGAACCTCTTCAACTCTGACGGCTCGCTCAACGCCATTGGCGCTGCGTATAACAACTAGACATTTCATAGCTCGTGACACTCGAATTCACGAGTGGCAATAGGACTGGATGGTCCATTTCGCCTCAACATGTTGGAAAAGATCTTTGGGTTAATCAATATTACGGCGTCGGGATTTTTTGAATATTCCTTTGTATATACTTTTGGCATCTTGCATGTCTTACAAATGATACCTAGACCAAAGGCCTATTTTTGCCTCTCTGACGCTACTTGGTTATCGTGTACATCCCTAAGTTGAACATGTTTGTCGATTGATGGATATTCTGGTGATGTAGGTGTGATAAGCAATCTTGCGTGTCACTGATGAGGGTATCTCTACTGATTGGGCTGGCAGAGAAACGCGGCCAGGGACTATCTACGCACTATGACCTACTAGCGATGGCTATGAATATATCCCTGAACGCTCGATGGTGTGCCCATCCTCTTATCTGTCTTACTTTATTGATTTGGCCCTGCCGTTGATTACTCGCCAAGCCGCCAAACTTCAACGATTGGGTGAACGAATAATTGGCGAAATTGAATGGCGCTCGAGAAATGCAGGAGGCCTCGTCGGAGTCGTCGCAAAGTCTTCCCTCTGGTGTCATGCGCGCAACGCCACTTCCGTCCGGCGGAAACGATATCATGGTAGGTTAACAATTTATTAATGTGCATATCTTCTTATCACTCGTTAGACCAGGCCGGTACCTTTCAATCGTGTATCTATTGTACCAACATCCCATCCGCATATGTACATGTGTGTTATCATCGATAGCCCAGCTAGCGATAACGAGATGGGATGAACTGGCAAGAAATTAAAATCAACACAAAGAGCATTGAGCACGTCCACCAACAAACATAGATCGGACGATGAAGCGACGTCGAGATCTGCCAAGGGATATGCAGATGAACCAACAAAGAAACAGGGCAGGGAGCAGGGAGCTCTGCCCATCACCCGCGCGCCGGTCCCAAACTCTAAAAGTCCCAATGCCGATCGCTGTTAAACACCCTTGAAACACATCGTTCGACCAACGGCTTCCGATCGACCAACACAAATCTCTTGTCTTGGCACCAAACGAAATCACCCCCACAACGAGGATCAGCGTTGGCTCTGGGGTGACCCTCCGCTGATCCTCGTCTGCGGGTTGGAGAACCCGTCTCCTCCCCTGACCATCGTCGTCCGGGGCGAGTGCTGGTAGCAGTTGTCGCCGATAGATATGCTCCCGCCGCTGAGGGGTTTGTTGCCGGCGCCGTTGGGCCTGCTCTCGCGTTTGATGGTGGTGGTGACGACGACGGTGCCCTTGGGGTTGGCGGCCTTGGAGAGCACGGCGTCGGCCTGGCTGCAGGACTCGTCGTCGAAGTCGTCGTCGAGGTCGGAGTGGCGGCGGCTGCTCGGCCTGGCCGCCGTGACGAGGGCGATCTCGTCCATGGTGGTCGAGGAGGGCGGGGGCTCGGTGTCGGAGCCGCTCTGGCCGTTGTGCCTTCGGGGAGGGGTGCCGCCGTTCTCGGGGCAGCCGCCGTTGCCAGCGCCGCCGTGGGACGAGAGGCTGCCCGAGGTGCCGGCGTTGTCCTTGGACGTGACCCAGTGGATGACGGCAGCTGAGAAGAGGACTACAAGTGAGGACTGATTAGCCCGGCCGCTGACTTGCTTCCAATTGGGGAATGGGGGGATTGGTAGGCCATCTCGAGATATCCACGTGGCTGGAAAAGGGGGGTGAGAAGGTTTAGAGCAAGGTTTAGACTTACCGTCACAGTTGCAGCACATGAGGCAGACCCAGCCCGGCTCTCCGTTTAACGCCATCAGCACGGTAAGGTTTCTTTTAGGGAAGGGATTGTTAGTTTATGACTCGAGATCAGGAAGAGAATGTCCGAGGAGAAACAATTTGTAGGGGGATACTTACGTGACGCTACTGATGAGAGTGCAGAGCGCTCCGATAAACGTTCGGAGGGCGACATTTTGGAGGTGATGATTTGCTTGGGTTCGTGCCAGTTTCCTGAACTTGTAGATTTCTATCATCTCACGTTAACTGGGCCAGTACTCGGGCGCTCAGCTGTCAAAGTTGTACTCACTCCTTAGCGGGACGAGGAACAGAAGGGTCAGGTAGGTGTTGGCAAGGGAGTCGAATGTGATGAGCGGTATAATACCGACACCTTCCATCCCGATAAAGCATTGGCCTTGTTCCATTCGTACGATTCGGCTGGCAAGTGATGGTCAGCCACGCTCACTCCTGAAGCTCGGCCAAGCCTGGCCATTGAAACCACATACTAGATGAAATTTAATATAATGACAATGATGAAGACGCTCATGATACCGAAAGAGTTGAACAAGTATAGCTTGGATTTCAGTCGCTTCTTCGTCGTGCCGCGGATAATGTGCTACGAGTTTGAGGTTAGTGAACCGAGTGAAGCAATGCAGCACAGGGGTCACTCACGGCTTTCTCCACCAGGAAGAGATAAATTAACTGTCTTTTCATCAGCATTAGAGACTTCGATATGAACTTGATGATGTCTTACAAGCTGCAGAGATGAGTGTTAGTCCACGAAGGTTCATTATGCTCAGAGCGAACTGGAGTGATTGCTTCAACATACCTTGGTTGTGACATAACAGGCAAGGCAAAGTAAAATAGCTCCCTCGCACAACTGTTTACTGTAATTGACACCAAAAGCATGCTGTAGCAAAGCTGTTGTAAAGACGAATAGATACGAATCAATGTTGATAGCGAACACAACTATTGGCGTTGTTAGTTACAGCAAAGGATATCACAGGGAAGACACTCACGCCAGACGATGTAGGGAAGTCTCCCCCAGACCTTGATGGCTAGTGTTCTTTGAGCTGGAAGGATACATATTAGCGTCAACAGCAAGCTAGAGTATTCAGATGAGGTAGCTTTGCGTACTGATAAACGACGTGATGGCAGTGAGGGCAACCATCGTAATGAGAACACTCATTACTTGGCCAGCAACAGGTACCAGGACCTGGGCGGTGCGGGTCAATAACATTGGAGCCATTGTGACCTGCACCCTATCCTCTCGAGTCTAGCTTGAGGATATCTTGGATGAGGGTAGATGAAAGGGCTGGCATTGACACCAGGTCCCTTTTCTTCTCAGTGTCTCTCCTTGAATGTAAGAGATTGGCCAGTCAATTGGGAGAAGTCTGTCACCACTCCCAATGCAAAACCCGTGAGAGAAGTAGAGCTCGCCGACCGCACCAGCAAGATCAATACCAGTATACCTGATACTAATACTGTAGGATGGGAGACGATTCGTGAGTGAGTATGCGGACTGTTTCTTGGTATGAAACCACCCCGTCAATGGTTCTGAGACGTGGTAATTGTAGGAATAGCCGGACTGGAGGCAGAAGGATGAGGATTATCGTTCGTCTATGACCTTTATGTTCCGTTTGTCTATCTTTCGTTTACGCTGGGGTATTGGAAGAAAAATACAACATTGACAGAAGTAGGAAGAGATCATTGCGGAAGAGCGAGAAGGTGGCGTGCGCCCTTCTTCTCTATATAGTCTAACTGCCTTCTCTCACTTTCCCAATCGATTGGAACGAACGGAGAATTAATGAGCCAACCGTCTCAGTACCTCGTCCATCCTCCCGACTTCAGCCCAGCGGAGACAAGAGACCGTGAGTCGAGCTAGGGCAGTCGAGCTGCGCGATCCCCAAGCCACATTATTGCCTTCAGGTCACAGACTGGCCAACGAACGGCCGTTCTGCGACTAAGACATGAGCTCATCAGAGACATACATTATACACGGCCCCGAGTTTCTTCGCCTTGCCCCTGTGGCCCATTGCCTGGGCCCTCGCTCAGACCTCTCTCTCTCCTCCCCCGCACCATCCACCCTCCAGAGCCTCTAGCTGGCCTTAGTCGATGGAACCAGAGTCTGCTTCATCGGCAGCTAACGATGAGCAGACTGGGCGATGACGGATGTGGTGATGGCGTCCAGCACCTTCTAGCCAGCACAGTCTGACTTGGGCATGGCAAAGTGAAGGGTAGGGTAGAACCAAAGGGGCAAGGACAGACACGGAACTCCCGTCTGGTCGCTGTCGATCTACACGTGTGTATATCTAGGTTTGTTTCTGTTCTGCGGCGATGGTGTATAATGAGATTGCCTTGGCACGGGACATGAGACAGATAGACTTCTTCCATGCCGCACCATCCCCATCCATCTCATCTCAGGTAAACAGATAAGCGACTGGCTGGGCTTTGTGCCCTATCATATTTTCCTTTATGTTTGTTTCTTCCTTCTTCTCGTATTGCTTAGCTCGCAGACAGATGAGCCCAGGCCTCGAGTCTCGACTCCCGACTCCTAGGACAGGACTCGGGGTCCGAGCCTTGAGGCGTCTGACGAATCACTTTTCTCCTCAGCTGGGAGCTCGCTATCGCCCAAATATTGACTTTTCTTGCGACACCTCATGTCTTGGCCTCTTTTTTATTTCTTTCCTTCTGGCATTGTCCGCTAGCGAGATAGATTCATCAGGATCAGGCCACATCATTGTTTCTGCCTATCTACAAAAAAAAAAACAAGGAGAAAATATCAGACATGCATGAAGCTGCATGCATGCACGCATGTACACAGAGATATGGACTGCATCTTGTCCCGACACCGTACGCTGTGCTCCCAACGAGAAGAGACGAAAAAGATGGTCGAGCAAGTTCTTTTCTTCCCTTCCCACATGCTCTCAAAACTATAATATGAGCCTGATCGGCGGCGACGGCTCCCTTATCTAGTCCAACCCGATTGATCTCCACGCCACATACACACACTCATATTAGATTTGTCTTCTTATGTGCGACTTGTGCAAATCTTGGATCTATCGCCAAATCTTGATCCGGAGCTTGCCTCCCACCCCCTGCCCACCCTTTACAAAAGCGACCGCCCACAGGTTATGATGCATGTGGCCCAGTGTACCTACTTAGTAGCACCACCCACCCCATTCTACAGATACGCGTGAGTTGCTCAGATCGCCCCGTGGGAAGGGCATCTATGGAGCAAATAGGTTTAGCTACCGACCCTACGGCTCCAGTAGCGCAGCGGGAAGGGAGGGTCGCTTGACTTGCGCGTAAGCGATCTTGGGGAGAGCTGGGAGAAGAAAGCCAAGCCAGAACAGGATCAAAAATCCAAACTCGACGCAAAAAAAAGGCAAGTTCAAATGCTCCCAAACTCCTGGAGGCCGTGATTGGTGCAAACGAGCCAAGCAAAAGGGAGACGAAGGATTGAGCCAAGGGCGTGACAGATGTTCCCGGAATTGCGATACATCAATACGTTGTGCAACACAACAACTGAGAAATATAGTACTACCCATGTTAGGCCGTGGGGCCGATGATGGGGAAGCGCCTCTCAGACTTGGACTCGACGATCCCCCAGGCGGCCTCCAGTTCCCTCCTCAGCGAGGCTGGGAAAATGCCAACCACCGGGAGACGCGAGCGGACGGAGCTGAATTGGAAAACTCGATAGATCGAGCGCCATGTCCTCCTGCTCGGAACCCGCCAATACGAACGAACAACCTGTTTGTCATTAGAGAGAGGGAGGAAGGGAGGAGCGCGTATTCCTCGTTCAGACGCTCACGCAGCGGCAGAGCAGACGGGCGTCCCTGCGGCTGGCTGACTCGTGCCTGATGTCCTCGACGACAGCCGTGGTGCATCTTCTAAAATGCCTCTTGTTGGAAAGCCGCTAGATCTGCACTGTCTGCGTCCTTCGCCACATCTCAACTCGAGAGACAGCCCTCATCTACCGGTAGCTCGATACCATTGCCAACGAACCCGGCTAAGAGTACCGCGATCTGCACTTTTAGCTTCCCCATGATGCATATCTGTATAGGCAAAGCAGAAGCCTATCTACTCATTCAAATCCAATAACCCACAGTTTCCCCGGATCTTACTACACCAATCAGATTGCTACGGGCTTTTACGGACTTTGAAGCAATTGGGCAGTGATGCCCGAACCTGGTAAGTATCAGGGAGACAAAGGATCACATGCTTGAAAGAGTGCTTCATTGAGTCTTCGAGATCTATCATGTGCGACCGACCGAAGCTACATTCCCTCTTTCCCTCCCAATTGTCCGCGAGTCGGTCGTTACTTGGTATATATTCGTCCTGTCCAGTCTCATTCCATCCCGTACCCGCCGTCGGTGATGTGTTGTGCTTCCACCAACTACCAAAAACGCCTTGCAATGCTTTTAAATCTCACATCTATGGTCCCCAAGGTTGCCATAGTCAACTGATCCCAACGCCTTTATCAATTTGTGATGAAAAAATGTCTTCCCCCGTTCGTTGCCTCACCGCTAGCAGTATGCGGTGCCAAAAGATGATTATGAATATAAGAGTGCGATCGTAGACACCCTTAGGGTATAAGTAGTTATAAATCGGCGGCCTATTTTTTGCCATCTCCCGCATGGCTCGCTCAGGAGCTCCGCCCCAGTGCCGACTGAGACTTCGTCAGAATACGAAACTTCTCCCTCAGCTTGTCGGCAAAGGGGGTCCCTTGGTGGCGCTGCTCCTCTTCAGCTGGTTGACTCTCTTGGAGATCTGAAGCTACACTTTCGCGAGTGATTCTATCCTCCCGAAGCTGCCTCAGAGCCTCCATCTGCTCTTCGGCCGTTGCCTGTCGAAGCCTGTTGACGTCAAACAGTCTGGATACTCGGTTGCGGTACGAGCTCTGAATGGCATCGTGTTCGCCCCCCTCCCATGCCAACGGAGGTGGCAACGTCATACTGCCTTCGACTTCGTGACCATCTTGAGATTCGCGGTGTCCTGGGCGAAGATCAAGGCGGCTATAAAACTTTAGGGTCAGCCATGCGTCGACGATACATCAGAGAATTCGGCATTCTAAACTTACCATAGTGGACAGGTCCCAGAGATATTGATCAGCCAGGGATCGATACAATTGGGGTGGAATTGGTGGTTGCAGGGGAGGACCCTGACATCCTCACCAACTCTGAAATCTTCAGTGCAGATAGAACACCCCATATCAGTTTCCGAGGACACGTCGCTATCGGTCCAGACGTCTGACGGGCGCCGTACGCTCTCGGTCCCATCAACTGCTTGGCCGGATTTGAGCTCGCTCGTGTGCGACATGGCACGCGTGGCAGGTGTATCGTGACCGTCTGTGGTTGCTGTCTCCATTTCAAGGTCGGGATCAGGCTTTGATGGACGCTTGCCTCCGACGAACTTGACGATAGGTATGGTTTCCAAGACAGCCTTAGCCAGTCCCTTTGCTCGGCTCTGGGATGGCCGGTCCCCATCTGCTCGTCTGGGGCCATACCGCTCTGGATAACGATGAGCTCTTACGGCTCCTGTGACGATGATGAGAAGAAACAGGAGAGTGATGAGTCCTGTTATACTATATAGAATGCTCATTGCAACCTGCGACTTCTTCCCACCCGCGTGGTCCGGGGGCACAGGCTTGGTCATGTCCGTGGTGTTTCCATAGATGGAAACCCTGACAGCTGGCGCTGAAGCCGTTTCGTTGATGTGAGAAAGGACAGCAGTAGCTTCAGCAGGGTCGACCATGGAAAGGATGCTTGGATAAGGTAGATCTCTGGTATTATCGAGAAAACACCAGTTCTTACTAGTAGTGTACAGGACGATGGCTCTGGGGGCGGCATTCATCAAGACATCAAGCATAGCTAGCGGCATGGGTTTTGAAGCGTCGTCGGGCTTGTCGCAAGACATGTAAGCAACGTCGTCTGGATCCGTGATATTCATGTAGGTGGAACTCTTGGCTGATTTGAAGGTGCCATTGAACTGAACAATCTGATAATAGTTAGCTGGGCCGAATCTTTCGGCGAATACCATAGTGCCAAAGACACCCTCTCTCGTACCTGGCGCGAAATACTATTGCTACCAAGCCCCAAGCCTTCAGTCAGCGGAATGACGGCATAGTTAGTGGAATCTGTCGTCAACTTCATCTGGAGCGTGCTCTCGAGTGCCCATGGCGGGAGGTCGTCTTCGGCCGTGAGTCGTACATCGCGAATATCTGCTGTGACGGTGTTGGCGTAGAGTAGGAGTGCGATACTCGCTCGTGTCAAGGTGGAGAGTGCCAACATCTTGAAGGGCCGGATTCGGGACTCCGGATATCAAAGTTGGCGGCCTCCGAGAGGGCGGTTCAAGATCCACCTGACGGACACACTCGACGAGGCTCGCGAGGCTCAAACTAGGTTCGCAAGACAGGTAGATATTATCTAGGCAGCTGGGCTAGAGTCCCACATCGCCAGGCGCAACATAGGATACGTGGGCGAGGGAGCCCAGGGATCCCCGCCGTGGCCAAGATTGGTTGCGCGAACAGGTTATAGGACACGGAGGAAGCGTAGGTCGGGCAATTCTGGTCGGCTGGGTGCGACGACGGGCGGCTAGAGGGGTGCGATGGCGGTGCTTTTGAGGGAGAGAGACGGAGGTGATCTGAGATGGTGTCGAGTAGGAGCGAGCGGTCATTCCTCAGTAGGCGATGTAGGGATATACTTGTGGAAACCGGGCATCCAGCATCCAAAATGCTGGGCGAACGGAATCAACAGCTGGGCTGGTGGTTCGCTACAGCACTACGCGCGCTACAGGCGTATGGCCAAGTCGCTAAAGGCAGATGACCTGCTGTAGCACGCTGGGCAGACGCTACTCAGCGCTGTCCAGCAGCCTATTAGCGGCCCCGCCAAGACTGCCCAGGCGGCCTCTCTCTCCACCGACTGTGATGATGTTTGATTAACGAGCGCTGTCCCCAGTCAGTCCCTCCCGTCCTGTTTCGTCAATCAAGAATGGATCAAACCGTTTATGCTTAAATTGAGGGGGCTCGAAACGGCCCTGGTAAGGCCGCGTGCCTCTGCTTCTAAGGCAATGCAGTTCTCCAAGTAATCTATTTCATGTTTCCCCAGGCTCCTCGCCAGCACATGAGGTGATGGTCTACGAGGGTCGAGATCCCCTTAAAGCCTGGGCATTGTCTCGGCGGTGTCTGGGCATTGGCTCGGCACTCCAATCAGTGGATGCTAACTTGTCTATCACTTCCCCCCACCACTGACCTGACGCCTCACGGCTGATGATTGGACTGATTCTTGAACCCAAGAACTGCCGAGAGTCTGAAGATGGGAAACATTCAAAAGCCTTGGCTGAGTCAGATTAGCTTGGCAGACTTGAATCACGATACGGAGAATGTGTCGTGAGATGCACAACTCAACTCGGGTATCACAACTGTTGGGGACTAAAATGAGAGCCCTCTTCTTACCGATCAGCAGCCACAATGTCCGATAAATTCACCGGCTAATTGACTAGGTGGATGGCATGTGTGGATTAGGTAGCATTCTCATTTCAAATACCACTTTATTGTTTGATAACTGTAGGGGCAGTAATAAGTGGCGTTCATACTAATGCATCATATTTGACGGCGTACACTATCTGCCTACCCTGTAGCTCTCCTAGAGCCTTGATGTGGCATCATCAGTTGACATGTGGTTCAAGCGTCCCTTTTGTTTCATCTCCTAACACATGCAACGCTTCGTCTCTACACTCTTACGGATCGCGAACCTAAACTAAACAGCACATTAATCTTTTCCACCAATGTCGCTGATTCTGCCTTGCTGGCAGAAACGTTGAGCTGTCATCCTCATGATGAACAAGTGTGGCACTACCTGAACGCCACCGCACTACACGACGCCTCAAAACAACTAGCAATGACGATCGAATTGCGACATATACATGGTATTGGGATGAGGAAGACAAACAATGAGAACGAATGAAGGAGATGAATGAGCGTGGCTGAGGATTTGAACCATGACACAATAACAAAGCTTGGGCTACTGAACTCTGAATTGTACATGTTTTCGCGAACGTGGCTATCCGAACCCAGCCTAGCCTTGACAGCTCAGATCTCCTCCATGTCCTCCAGGTCATCAATGGCGGGATAGTCACCGATCTCTACCCGTTCCGGACGCACAAAGACGCCATGCTTGAGCTGCGACTCCTGGCCCCAGTAGCGGGTGCCGGAGATGCTCCCGTCGTTTTTCCCGACCGGCTCGTCGAGATGGACGCCAACCCAGGGTCCAGCGCCCCCAGGGATCTCCTTGACCTCACCGACATATCTGACCGTGCCCCTCCTGAGGTCATCACCGCCAACTCGGCACCGCTTGCCAGCTTCGATCCCCCGCTGGGCGATCTCCTGCTCCAGGGCGGCAAGTCTCGCCTGCTCGAGGTTGGGTGCGTTGGGGTCGAAGCGACCCAGCTTCTGCGCCTTCTTCCAGGCCAGCACGGAGTCCGTCTTCTTCTCGTACTCCTCCTCAGGCATAACATACTTCTCTACGTCTGTTGTGTCTGTGTAGTTTGGACGTGCCCCTGGGGGGCGGGTATCTGTCACCTAGTTCCGAGGACAGCATGATTAGTCCCAGAAACAACACCGCTCGCCAAGCAACCACTCCCCCTTTTGATCGGGTCAAGATAAGGAGTAGATCATGCTTCTCTGCGTCAAAAATCTGGCAAGCATCGAAAACGAAGACCTGGCAGCAACCGACTGGCCTCCCCTGAATCAATGCGCCGGAACGAGAAGGGGGAGGGGAGTGTGAGTGGGAGAAGGGGGGGGGCGAGCAAGCCGGCAGGCAGGCAGCAAGACGACGTGGCAGGCTGATACTTACATGTAGTTCTGCGTAGGGGGTGAGGTTGAAAATAGAGAGGCGCGTGCTATCCTCATCAGGGGCCTCGATAGTCACCTTCGTAGTCCCCGTATGGAGGCTGAGGAGTTGAGATGAGGGCGGGATGCCCGTGATCGGCTCCAGCTTGGCCCTCAGCTGGCTGATGGACCACGAGGGGGTAATGCGTCGCTCGGAGGCCGCATTGTCGGAAATTACTTGGAGGGGGACGTCGGCCATGACGATGATGGCTTTGTGGCGGTAAAAATGAGGTGTGTTATTATATGCCTGGTGACATGAACAGCGGTTGGTTCAGATGGAGGTTCCTGTTGGCTGGGGAAACCAGTTCCTGGTAACCCAACAGCTCGTGGCCGGCTGCAAGTCCAGGAGGTGAGTGGCGATCGGAGATTCAGCTTGTGTAGCTGAGCAGTGATCCGGAACTTTGAGCCAATCGCGTTGTTTTGCAGTAATGAGGAAGCTGGATGCCTGGGAATCGCTGTTTCTATGGCAAGGCTCTGGTCTGATGAGTTGGCTTTGGAGACTTCGCTTGGTGATGTGTCTAGGGGTGGCTTATCCACTGGCGCCACACTCCAGAGGCCAGGCTTGGACCAATTAATGGCTTCGTGCTACCGGGCAGTGAGGCAGTACAGGGTAGTGGCCACTGAGGCCTGTCATATCAGATGCACCCCCAACACCATCTCTTGCCATGCTTCCTTTGTCATGTCTATCGCTTAAATCATGTCCCGTAAACATATGATGGATGTCCACGCATTTTGCCCAGTGAACTAGAACCAGCGTCGCGCCCGCACATGTGGATCGGCCGCCGATTCAGAGCATGGATTTTGGTTTGGAGAATATGCGGCACTGTGTCCATGGAAGGATGGATGGATGGAAGAGTTTCCATGGGTTGCAAGTCAGCGTAGAAGAAAAGGAACGCCAGCCACACACACATATGCAACTCTCATCTCTTGGTGTAACGCTCCCCTGAGCTGATTGGTTGGCGCGGCTCTTGATGACCTACCTCATTCTTCTTGGAATTACCGGCCGTCTGGTATGGCTGGTGACACACTTCTCTACGGTTCCTTCTTCTTCGCCTCTGAAATCGTTAAAAACGCCCAAGTGCCAAACCATGCCGCATGACAATAAGCCGTAGGTCTCGACCTCTTTCGATGATCTGGAACAGGGGGGGCAGGCAACGAAGACCATTGACACGTACGAGGCAATTTCGTACACATGGTACTTTGCAGTTTGCACCGACGTATATCCCCCATTGTACATATGCCGACCAGCCACCGTCGATGCTCCTCTTATGCCAGTCATCGTGTCCTCATCTAACTAAGTACATGCGTTTGTGGGGGGTTCGCTGGCCTGAGAAATCCACACTATGGGTTCCATCGTAATGGAACCTAGATCAGGTAAAGAAATATAAAGGATTCAGCGATATCTCGTTTCCACCTCGTATACATGGAAGCAGGGAGAGTCAATACCGCCTTCTGAGGGAAGGGGGCCTCGACTTGGGAGCTTGAAACCGAGAAACACGTCACTGATAACCTGCGCCCCTACCTGATCATTATGTGGCAAGGCATATAGATGGAAACCTGCCCCATGCCAGCCTCCCAAGCCCAACAGTTGGTGGCAATATCCCGTATACTCGCTTGACTGTGACTCCCAGAGGGCACTCAACACCGACGTTTGCTCGCTGATTGTTCCCGTAACGACACGCCCTGTCGGGGAAAGCTAAGAGCGAGTAGTGAGACAGCGAGTGCCGTTGCAACCATGGACGTACATGTAGGCATGTAGACATAGTGCGAGTGGCTTGGACTGCTACTCTTGCACACACACGTTGCTTTTTCTATTTTTGCTTTTTGCTGTTTTCGGCGTTCACGACTGGGTGGGTGGCAGAGTGAGAGTCAGAGGGGACGGTGTCTCTTCCCCCATTCTGACCTAAACTTATTAAGCCCGCGCATTTGTTCAGCCAGTGTCGCATTGAGGCTGAAGGACCCCCACCGTCTAGGGGTGTTTCAACAATGGGAGAGCAACCCTCTAGCATTGGTATTTAGGCGGTAGAAGTGTTGGGTTCAGAGCTGATTTTAGGCGCCTCGAAAATTCTCAGTCGTCGCACACCATCGACATCATCAAGTCGTAGTCGTTTCGAACACCTATCACACTTGATGCCCAACCGTTCAATCTTACTAACCCAGTAGTATGTGGGCATCATCATCATTAGGGTATCATAGGGTGCTCACCGCCACACTGCCGCCCCGAGGTATGCGGTTCCTGTTGATCGGGCGGTAGGGTTTAGGTTCATAAAAGTTCCTTTTCAGGCTGAGGGACAGCGCCATAAAAAAAAGAAAACACCAAGCCTAAGCAAATTTTGAAACAGGTTCTCCC